TAGTGAGCTCTGTGCATGCAGCGGTCTTCTCGATTGTGACGGCACAAGATGTGTTAATCCTTTGTGATATAATCGTTGCTGTACGTTTTTTGCTGTAACAAGTTTGTGTTGTTGATACAATTAGCTGTTTTTAAAAATGTGATACGACTTTCGGACATTTAGGTTGCATTGAGACAAATTTCAAAGATGAGGATCGGGAACGGTGTTGGGTTTTGGCACAGCAATTACAGCTAGTAGTTAGGCCGGTCTGCTGTGACAACAAGAAATAGACTTGTGTTATATTGCCCGTTTAACTACAAGTCACAGTTAGTTGGCGGACCTAATAGCAATTGACTATCGAGGAGACTACCTTGTTTTCAGGATGATTGTTGTAAGTGTAACATTACATTTGATACAGACACTGTATTTCAGCTAGCCTGATAGGATGATGGTTACGAATGTTCAGATTCTTCCAGCCTCTCCCGTCATCCCTCCTGGTAAGTCTTAGGAACAAACGACTTTTTATTTCTACTCACCTGCACCAAACATTAAAACAGATTAGGGTAACAAATATTTTCTTAAATCTAATATTAATGCAACATATGTAATATGATCATAGCGACTATGATGAGAAAATTGTTGGTCGCGTAGTATAGATTTTGGGCAATGTTTAAAGTGCAGCTGTGCTGGACCGTGAGTTAATAACATCTGTCACAGTCTTTGTTGCTGACAACTTATAGTGACCATCTAAATCACATCATCTCTGCATTAATTTGACCCTAGGATTTGTTCAAGATTATTGTGAATGATTTGACCCGTAGAGGTTTAAAATTTAACTCTTTGAATGATCTTAATAAGCTTAAGATATTAGCCGATGATAGAGTTGCTTGGAGAAACAAATTTTTATTCTAGCTGTCTTGATCTGTACTGATCATCATTTTAGGATGTCTTGATTTCTTTTAGGGGGTTTGAATATTTTAATGGTGTAAACAGTTTCTTAATAATGACCCTAGGATCGAGCAATTAGTATCATTATGATAAACGTCGCCAGTAGGTAATATAGCGTTTGCTATAATGCTATGATAGGAGCAATATGTTGTTAGTCTTAGTTTTTTGCTGCCTTATTTGGGACCAACGATTAATAATCTTAGTTTCAACTTCAAGCAGTCCTAACTCCTAAAGAACTTTTTGCCTGCCTTCATGCCTAAGTGTTCATCACTCTACATCTCAAGATATTGTTATATAACTATAATATATATATATATATTGTTATATAACTATACAAGATAAAGAAGGGTTGTGTAAGATACAACTGCAAGCTTGTTTATTATCGACCTTGACTGTAATAATAGAGATGAAATCTCATCATGCGAAGCATCCCGGAAAGATGACGTAGGAAAGTGTAAACGCGATTAGATTGCATGCAAGGTGGTCAATCAAATACTAATAATGTTGAAGTTCTCTAACAACAAAGAAAGCCCGCCAGTGCCATATTGCTTCCGTTGGCATGGCCTGAGAGAAATTTTCTGATTAAAGTCACAATTATTGGCGCCGTTTAGCCTGGTCGGTACTTTTGTATTTTAATTCTGCAGAGTTTGGAAATGGTTTGTGCTCAAGAGGCATGATCTAGCAAAATCATTTCTCAGACATCCGTGATCCGGAGCCGATAGTTTTAAAATGGCGTTGATTACAGCTGATTATAATGCCGATTTACAACTTTAACTTCGCAAGTTTTTTTACTTGTAGTTCATCACTTCGACGTGCAATAGAATTTAATTGATTCACGTTGTTCCGAGTATACTTTCGTGCTTATAAGCTTGTCACAATCGAGGGCGATACCGTTCTATTAGTTTTTGCTTTAAAGTTATTAAGAAAAAAGCACAGTCAACATGGAGATAAAAATATAGTTACTTTTACTTTAACAGCTTTTTCCTGCTTGATATCGTCCATTTATTGCTTGATTGTTTGGCCTGGTCGGTACTTTTGTATTTGAATTCTGCAGAGTTTGGAAATGGTTTGTGCTCAAGAGGCATGATCTAGCAAAACCATTTCTCAGACATCCGTGATCCGGAGCCGATAGTTTTAAAATGGCGTTGATTAAAGCTGATTATAATGCCGATTTACAACTTTAACTTCGCAACTTTTTTTACTTGTAGTTCATCACTTCGACGTGCAATAGAATTTAATTGATTCACGTTGTTCCGAGTATACTTTCGTGCTTATAAGCTTGTCACAATCGAGGGCGATACCGTTCTATTAATTTTTGCTTAAAAGTTATTAAGAAAAAAGCACAGTCAACATGGAGATAAAAATATAGTTACTTTTACTTTAACAGCTTTTTCCTGCTTGATATCGTCCATTTATTGCTTGATATCACTTCTTGTTTTTCGTTGTAAGCTGGAAGTTTGAGTTTCAGATATATCCCTCGGGCCGTTTTCAATTTGTTTCTTAGAAAATATATTTCTCGATTTCTCCTATTGCATATATGGCTGCACTTCAATTGACTCTAGTATTGATATCGTTTCAATGGCTGTCCTTCCTGATGGTACCATTCGTCATTCGTGGTCAAAGATATGGTCGAAGGGAAATATGGACTGATTTTAATGTACATAAGTCATAAATCAATTTCCAGGGTCTAAATACCTTTTGAATGTTTTAGCGTGATTAAAAGCTAAATACTTGGGTATAGAATTGAAACGGGTACAATTTAAGATGGAACGGTTTTGACCAAACAGTATTTTAGACATGTAGTGCAATAATATCGACTGTCGTTGTCAACTTACCTTATCGGATATAAATAAAAAATATGAACGTAGGGCCTCCAGCGTCTTCGTAATTTCTGTCAAATAAAGTCCGATAAGGTACTTGCACAAAAACAGCTGTTTAAGATTATGATTGCCATACTCTTCTGGTATAATTATAGACCAGACAAGTATGGTGGTATTGTAACTATATCTGATTTAACTTAATTAATTTAATTTATAGGATAAAATATTTGGAATCTTCCCTATGGTAGCCCTCCAGGCTCCACGGTTTTTGATTTTGGGTATAACATTGTAACAACGACATCTCAATAGCTGGCTATGAAGTAGCTATTAACCATTCAATTAATCATTTGATTAATCAGCCTTCAACTTGTTATTCAACAGAATAACTTATTATTCAAAAGGCTAACTAGTATATCATCAATATCAAAAACAAAAATGGTCAATAGGTACCTAGTTGCCATTATGGACAACGTCCATCTTATCGAACATAGTGGTAATTTGAACTATGGCCGACTAATATAGGCGGTATGGTAATTTAATGTTTGATGCCGAAGAGTACGTTGAGATGAATAATATACGCATTGATTTTATTCCACTATTTTTTCGCATTGCAATCACATGAATAAATTGTAACTGTCATTACTTTTTTTAATAACAATTCCGATACTCATAATAGTCGCAATCGCATGAAAAATTGTTACTATCATCAATTTTTTATAATAATTCCGATACTCATAATAGTTGTAAACAGACAATTTATTAATGTTATCTCCGATATCGTTACTTGTTGCTAATGCTAAATTTGTAAATATTCCATTTTAACTTGTCACGTGGCGACGATATTTATATTTTCTTCACCACCTCTTTTCATCACGAATACACGATCACTTTCAATGACACAGGAATATTTACAGTCACAATCGCCACCGGTACTTCTCAGATCTCACAAAGTCTCATGGATAAATGTTATCAGTATCCATGAATAAGGGTGCCCTAATTCCGGGGAAATGTGTTTTTGCGACATTACGGTACAATCAGCTCAAGTTCATTGTTCAGCACAAAGAGTTTGAATCCATAATTAAAAGTCTTCCTTCTATGCTTGTCAGCGAACGCGTGCAACAATTTTTAATTAGCAACATTTACAAAAACACTATCGACCTCAGGAAAAATTCATTGCTTTTTTATGTCCGCTCTCGAAAACTAGTTTTTTCCGATATCGTATTAATTTAAACTTGCAAAGGATCGTTTCATCTGCCGCTTTCCGGACTTTCAAAGCGTAAAACTTTTCCTGAATCAAACCGTGAACTGACAGTACAAGTGAACAGTGGCTGACCGACTGCACTCTGGCGACTTACTGCAAACAGACCGCGACTTAAGTGACCACACTAAACACTTGTATTAGACATGGAGCGGTCTGAAATGTTGATTCAATTGAATAATGAATAGGTGCTATTATCAAGTCATTTATATTGTTACATAGTTTTTATTGTTAGTTCATTTTATCGGCGATCTTATCTGGCCAAGATAATATATAGTGAGTATTTAATACTTTTAGTGATCCTAGCCGACCTCAAATTTTAATAAACTGATGGAAATTGTCCCCATGATGTTGTTAACATCCGAGAGACTTCTCTCGAATGATAACTCATACTGAACTCTTTTGATTAAGCAGTCTTACCTGTCAGAACTACAATATTGCGACTATAGCTACTGTCTCAGGCCTCAAGCAAAATTTACGAAGATCTTTCATCTTAACCATTCAGGTCTAAAATGATAAAATCAAGAAAATAGGTGGCCGAATGTCCTTAAAATGTTAACAAGAAGACAAACAATAGAATCAAACGTTCTAGTAATAAAACGTGGGAAGTCGATACTAAAAGTTTAGGTGCTCGGTGTTTTGTTCAAGATATCTAATAGTAGTATTCTACCATATTTCTTTATCTATACATAACAGCTTAAAAACAAAGCAATCGTAGTCGGATATTTCAATTCCGTCTGCAGTTACGTCATGAGTGAGCCACAATAGAAGTGGTCTGTAACTACTTGTTGTTAACTCACATGTACACACGTGAGTTCTGATCTCTCCGCATGAGTTAAATCATGAAGTTTGGCTCCAATTCATGTAAACAAGACGTGAATTAAATTTTACAATTTCTCTTGCAGTTGAAGACAATAGTGCTCGGTGCACCAATTGAATCACTTCCTCCGCAAGTTTAATGCTTATTGCTTACTGATAGTAGAGCTTTTGCAAACATAATACCGATTCGTGGAGCACTTTAAAGTTTGTTTTAAGAACAGTCGTCCATCTAACAAAAGGTGGGTTGTGACGCGGCTACATCCTGATGCTCCATCTGCGAATTTCCTGGAGAAACATTAACTTGAGAAACCTGGGAAGCAGATCTGATGAGGTCAAAGCATCGCCTGTTAAAACAGCCCCATCATCTCAGACCTCGTCTAATCACCACGTCCTGCATCCAAAAACTGCTGTTTAAACGGACCACGTGACAGACACGTGACAGAAATACCTGCTTGCTGTGTAACAACGGATCATCAATATTATTGAGCTAGTGATCGCTGCTGGTGTACTCATCTCATATCGCACTACTACGGCGACTCTGCACACAAATTGTTTGAATACGTCAAGTTTTGTGGTGTGAAACTTTCTTATTGTTGGATCAGCTGTTTAGTTAAATATGTCTACAGCCGCAAGTCACGTGGTCTTACCTCGACTCAAGAATTTCAACCAGGTTTCCTTTGTGGCCAATGCTGTCACATCGTCCGCAGACAAGATGAAAGGGGGTAGGGGTAAAGGTGAGTGGTTAGATCCATGTTTGTGTATGATGGCTTGTACTAGCTGCAGAACTTGCGAAATTAAGGTACAAGGGTCCTCTTACCTGGGGATCCTAGGCTAATAATATTCATAAAATAGGGTCTAGCCCTTGGAACATTCTAGCAGATATAAGATACAATTCATGGGATAGAAGCTAGGTTTATAAATAAATATTTTATAGCTGAACTGTTGTTTGTTAAACTTATCGTGTGTCGTGCGTTTTAAGTAGCTTACCCGGAAATTTGGCAAGCTTGTAAAATTGTAACAAAACAAGAATTGCGCCCGTTGTTTCGTTTTGGCGGACGCTAGACTTCCATTTCACTAACTATAACTATTAATATAACATTATAAGCTCTAATCAGCTCACCTTATAATAATAATATTGAAACATCAGTACACTACGCGTGCCACGTTCAAGTTGGGCGTATTACAAAATACTATACATTACTAGTATACATCAAAATACGCTCGTGCCGCGCATTCATCGACCACAGACTAGCTATACACCACATCTCCGCAAGCAATCCTCGCGCGCGTGCGCGCGGCAAGTTGACATGGTAACGAACGGAAGTAAGTAAGTAAGTAAGCAAGGAACACGACATATATTTGACCCACCTACTGCAATCCCCGAAATCCACGTTTTTCTGCAAAAACCTCCATTCGTAACCTTTCACTATTGCCTTTTTTCAAAAGGGTGAAAAGGAAAAAATGAATAAAAATGCATCGCCTTCACTTGATTGGACATAAGTTCGTATTGTTTACCTGTCAGTGGAATGTAAATCATCCGTATTAATAAAATGGTGATAACGTCTTGACTCTTGAGAGAAGATGTTCAGTGTCACCATTGAAAAGTGTAATTTTGATCTCTTAGGAAGTTCAAGACTGAAAATAGGTGTTTAAATTCCTCCTGGACGGTAAAAATCCAGAAATAACTGACTCATGACTCGGTAGGGGGTATTATTAACAATAATTTCAGCAAGTAACCTACGTTACAAGTTCACGATATAAATCTGACTAGTTGGCATAAACTTGAGAGTGCCGACCTCACTCTTTGTTTGATTAGATTTAGTTTTGTCACACTGACTGAAGTGTGAAGTAGTTGAGCCACTGTTCACTCTAGACTGACTTGACTTACAATACACGGTGTTGTAAAGCACACCTACAGTAGAATCATGACAACAACAATATCTTCAACACTGCCTCCTCTGGATCGGCTTGATACCGTGGCCACGGCTAACACCTCCGTGAAGCTGAACCTTAAAGCAGCAGCCAAGGCGGCTAGAATCGCTTACAGGTGGAAGAGTTACTCAAAGGATGGCAGAATGAAAGGTGAGGAATGAGAAGCTCCATTTTTGAGTGCGGACTGCGGAGAAGGTAAAATTTTATTGGCTTGTTTCACCGCGGTTTCAGACGGCGCCTTATGGAAATTGGAATGGCTGCTCGTTAGAATGTTATCTAATTTTGGCTTGTTGGCCTTGGATTTATTAAAATTCTTCAAAATGAATGATGAACATGTGGCTGATATGATACCTGTACCGGTGAAAATAGATTCAGCACTATCACACACTTATCACTTATCCAATCAACTGCCAATTCTTTCCATGATTAGCAAGACGTGATCTTAATAGCGAAATACTTCATACATTTCCGATCATGCACTATACACTACACAGTTCACATCTATCTACATTTTAAAACTTGATATCTAAAAACGTCTGACTAGATAATGTCAAACACTTTGCCAGTCATTGCCAGCCCCTGCTCCCTGGTAGGCGGCAACCTTACAACCGTCCCTAAAAGTGTAGGCGGTCTTGCCAACGGGTTTACCAGACCACCACCCAGTACCCCGTCTGTTCGTGTGAGCCTGAGGAGTATCGGTAATGCGGCTAAGTATGCTTATCGGTGGAAACGGGCCGGTCTCGCAACGGACGAATTTGGCAATAAGATAGGTCGTAGTAAGTTTTGGAGACTACTAAGGCTATTTGCGATTTTTGTTGTAAACGTATCTTTTAAATTTAGTTTTACCATCAATTTTGGTCTAGTAATAATTTTGTGGCATTTGAATTGATTTTCCTTTTATTTCAGTGAACAAGGGACCGACGATTGAGGAGTTACGGCAACAAGCCTTAGATAGAGCTAAACAATCTATGTACAAAGAAAGTGGAATAATAATGGGAAAACTGAAACGTTTAACTTGCTTGGTAAGTTCTTAATTTCGACAGAGAACTTGCACTAATAGTAATAGTAATAATAATGTGTATTTAAACAAATTCAAGTTCCTTTCACTTGCTTATTGATCAAAGTTGATCATAATAAGTGAATTAGATTTTCCTAAGAAGGACAACACATTCTATAAACAGTTTTTTATATAAAATTCTCATTTTTGGATTAACCACGATGATATTATACTAAAATTCGAACCCAGGTCGCAAATATGAGAAGGGAAACCGATATTGATGCAGAGTACGTCAGACTGGAGATAAAGAAACTCACCAAACGAGCAATTCAGGTGATCATCACGTTTTCTAGATTACCATTCGTGTCGTTTGTACTTGTAGTCACTAGTCATCTATTGTGGTATGACATTTTAGAGGCGATTGCTCATTGCATGCATACATTTTTTTGAGTTCATCATAACGTTCTAGAAACTCTCAAAAACTTAGTCTTAAAGTTGAGTTTTGAAAGAAAATTGCAAACGTTTCTCTTGACGTACGCTGTAACCCCTTTTGATCGCGCGCCGAGAGGTATACAACGTGTAGAAACGTTTCTCAGTATACTTACTCTGGATTCAATTTGCCAGGAGATTTACGCTAGGGAGGAGGAGCTGTTAGAGCAGGTAGATAAACTAGTGAAAGAAGCTAACACCACTCTTGATGGCCAGTACAAGCAACTCTCTAACCTCAAAACCCAATTCAATTCCAAGGTCAGTCGATTTACCAACTTATACTTTTATACGATAGGAAACTTGAAATTGAAAAAAAGCTAAATTAACATTTACATAGCGATAAATAAGTCAATTTAGGTTAACTGCTGACATTTTCAGGAGATGGTGTGCAGTGAAAGACTTGAACAGGAGATTGATCACGAAGTTCTGAAAACCCCTGCCCCTCTAATAACTTACCAAGAGAACGTTCAACAAGCCCTGAACTTCCTGAAAACCAATGAGGCTAACTACAAGAGAAGATGGGTGGGGTTCAGGACTGCCAACGAGCCGAACTTTAAGAACACTGTCAAAGTGCTGGGATTTGTTGGAATATCAGACCCCAGAGCAGTCAGACCTTGGAGGTTAGTACGGTCAAAAAGCTACTGGATTTTCACAAATAAGATTTAGATGAGTAGAGGCAACCTTTTTGATTGATCTAGAATGGGCGTTAAAATAAGTAATTACCCGACAGAAGTATTGGAAAAGAAGGAATAGAGTACGGACAGTTTAGAGGACCCGTTGGGATCGATGTTAGCATGAGAGGGGAAATTGCCATCTCAGACTTCGAAAATCATCGAGTACAGGTGATCAAACTATAGCACATATTTATTATTTATCGCAGACATCAATAATAGTTCTAACTTATTTAGTTCACAGATTTGACTCGCCATTATAAAAAAACAATATTTTTATAACAGATTCTTTTCTCCAATATAATACGACTAAATTTCTTTCGCAGCTGCTTGATAAAAACGAGGAGTTCAAAGGAGTGTTTGGAAGCAAGGGATCAGATTCTGGTAGCATGAAGGGGCCGAACGATGTTAAATGTGATAAGGATGGTCGATATGTGGTGGCGGACACTTTCAATCATAGGATCTCATGGTATGATAATGTAAGTAGACTTCCACTAATCACCCAGTCCTGAATTGTTCCTTCGTAGGGAATGTTCCATTTATAATGATTCACGAAAGTGGTCCTCTTCCATTTGCTCATTTGCTAACGCCGGTATTATATCAGAAATTGGAGCACCTACAAAGCATAGGAAGAAAAGGAAACAAAGCAGGAGAGTTTGACAGACCTAGAAGTTTGGCTATAACCAGCGAGGGTAACATTGTGGTGGCGGACACTGGAAATCAACGTGTCCAGGTAAGCCAGCAGGAGTGCAAGGGAAAACAGTGATTGTTCCGTTATTGACATTCTTGTGGATACAATTCATAATAATATGACCATTTTGACATGTTATTTATTCTACTGATCACAGGTATTCACGGGAGATGGGGAGTATTTGTTTGCGTTTGGAGATCTTGGCAAGGGTCCAGGCCAGTTCAAAGGACCACATGGACTGGCTGTTGATCACAAGAACAATATCTACGTGGCTGATCTCTACAATCATCGCATCCAGGTACTGTACACTGATAGCATTGTTTTTCAGTCAATAAGATACTTTAAAATCAGTCCAGCATTGTTATTACAAGTGCACTGCTTGCCACTAACTTTTTAAAGCGTGAGACAGTCCGAGCACGTATAAGTCGTGATAGTTTGTCGTGAGTGTAAGATATTCACTGATAATAGAAACATGCTAAATTAAAATAGTGAGTGGAATATGCGGTATATCTAACAAGATGATTATAATGGTGCATGACACTGCACGACACCCGATAATATCGTTAAACACATCTCTTAGGTGTTCGACGAATCAGGAAAGTTTGTCAGATCGTTCGGGAAGGAAGGACGGCTGGAAGGCGAGTTATCAGAACCACGAGCGATAGCCTTCACTCCGTCCACCTCGCCGGGGGAGGCAGGTAACCTTCTGGTGGCAGAGATGGAGAACCAGAGAGTTACTATGTTTAGCGACGATGGACAGTACCTCTGTATTTACGGGGACTCTTGTGAGGTATTATATTTACTAGCCACCAGGTTTTATGTTCATTTTGTTCTTGATCAAGGGCTCTAAGGAGTTACAGTGCCCCAATTTGGAGTGCAAAGTGTTGACAAATAATAAGTCAAGAACTAAAAGTTGTATCTAAAACTAACATGATATTTGTGTTTTGCAGGAGAACAGTTCGTTTGGTTGTCCAAGCGGAGTAGCAGTTGATTCAGAAGGGAGAATATTTATCAGCGACTCAAAGCTCAATGTTATCCACATTCTCTGAGAACCAGAATGAGATAAGTTTTCGATATCTCTCTACTGTTCAGAGAGGTGAATTTGTTTGATTGATAAGATGAAAGAGTGTAAAACACAAACCTAATTCATTGGTGATCGTTGTTCAGAAAAGCTCATTAAAATAGAGGGTGTAAGATGACGGAGAGTGATCTTAAGATCTTAGTTAATCGACACAGATGAACTTTACAAAGGACTTGCAAGCTGAATTTGTCAGAAATTGACCGAGGTCAACCAAATGCATTCAGATTCGTGAAGTGCAGAACTATTGTTTTAGAACTAGACTGTTGTTTTAGAACTAAACTGTTTTAGATGTGTGGAATAGTAGGCTACATGAAAGGAATACAGGAATATCAGTATCCTTGAATTTTGCGAGGAAACCGACCGTGTAAAGAATGTATAGTGCTGTAAATATATTCATTTTTTTTCAACAGTTGATAACATTTTTTCATCGTTCTTGTTTTAGGTATTGTAAAACTATCTAAAATAAATAAATTCTAACATTAACATTTAATAAGGGAAACTCAATAGATTGAGGAAAATAATTAAATATTTTGAGTACAAAAATTAAACAGCTAAGCTGTATACAAATCACATTATATTCATTATTCAACTTGTAGGAACCCGCCTATAAAACGTACAAATTATTACGTACAAAACATAATATAAAACAAATAGCATTAATTATATCGCAAATATGTTAATCATAAATAAAATCATCCCATATCTAAAGGTCTGGATACTGGTGGGGAAATTAACATATGTTTTGACACGTGACAGTCATCCCGGGTTTTGATTGGAAGCTGATTGCTTTATCACTGTCACGTGTCAGAAAAAATGGTTGACCTACCCACCAATATCCAGATCGTTAATTTTACCGATTGAAACTCGGATGCTCAACAATTTAATTCACACAATTCAATGATCATGAATCCAAGGGCCAGAAAGATCAGAGGGTCACATCAGAAAATTACATAAATTGAACACCTTAGGCCCGAAGATATTCACATAGTTTTCATTCCGTCAAACAAAATCAATTTAACGGATTTTATATCGACTATTGTTCAAGACTCGATAATATCAGCATCAAATGGGGTATGTTTACCATGTTTTCTTGGCAACAGCCCAGTCACACGAATCCTCCACACCGATCATATCAACACCCCTGACAATACGGAACCAGCCCTCTTCACCCCAGTAGGTACCCCAGGAGTTCCTTCCAATCCAGAACTTTGTACCATCGGCATCAACTCCGTAACCAACTATCGAGATCTCGTGATTTGCACACTTGTCTCCGTCCGGATCGTTGAAGATTCCCCCGGTGTACGCCTCAAACTTGTCGTTAACGCATAGCGAGCAAGCAATCGGACCACGGGCGGATATCTCAGCCATCATGTTTCCTTCTCCGGCCACTTGCCCGTGCTCGGTGATGTGCCACTGAAAGAATATGATCTATAGCTGTAGTTACTTTTAAATTGGCGTGTAGAAGAATTTAAACATAAGTCGGCTCGAAAAAGCGATCGCTTAAAAGATATATGCTTGATATCTGATAAAAACAAGGAATGACGTTAAGAATAAATCATTGCTATTTGTCACCACAGTGATAAGTATTCCGTGAAGATAGATAAAACTAACCGTGTAATACTCCGTCACAGCCCAGCACTTGTAATCAATGTGATCAGGATAGAACTGGGTGGGCATGCAGTTCTTGCAGATGTTGATTGGCTCGCACTGGTCATCTGTAGCGGTGTAAATACTGCACGTGTCGTCCGTGATCCCATGCTCCATGATCCAAGAGTAAGCTGCGGTAGGGTCCCCTCCGTGACAACCTGAAATATGGTGGAACTTTAAAATAATCAAGCTGGCGTGCTAAGTCATAAAGAAATAATTAAATCGCGGCAGATACCACTTTCATTATTCTCCTGATGTGCTATAAAATTAGAAGCGCTATTTTAAAGGAATAAAATAAGCCTAATACCTGCAGTATCATTAGCTCGGACGCAGTCCACTAGGGGTTGAGGAGACAGGTTAATATCTGGCCACGCTCCCCGCCTCGCCATCTTGATTCTGTCAGCCAGAGCGGAGGTAGTGCCGTGAGCCCAGCAACTTCCGCAATCTGTTGGTTTATTTAGTGACACATTGACAGGTTTGAGGTGAGGTTTTAAACAAGTAAACTGTGCAAGTTAGCTATTTGGGTTTGCTTTTAAGCGTGAACTCATTTTCTGAAAATCACTAGTTAAGCATTATTAGTCAAGAACTTACAAACTGGGATGTGTTGGTTCCTGTTAACAGTGGTGTAGTCTTTACCGCCCATATTTCGCGGATCATATGCCTTAGGTAGGTCCTCAACTTTAAGGTAGGTATGAGGTTGCGGTGTCTTAACATGAGTCTTCGCTGTCTGATTGAATGTATAAAGTAAGACAGGTTAACCAATTAAAGAGAAGAGGATTTTCTTACTGCTCAAAACCTAATACACAATCAATAATGTATAATATGTTGAATCCTCATCTTTTATATATATGCTATATATAGCATATATTATGTTCTTAATGAAGTAAAATTCACCAGACAAAATCACTTACCGGGTCTTTCACGACACAGGTTTTAGAGTGGTATTTGGGCTTCTTCTTTTCGACGGTTGGTGCGGTTTGAGAAACTTGTTCCCAGCTAGGGACGCCCCACGTGCAATCAGTTTCAAGTGCCAAGTTGTGTTTGTGCATCATCACTCTGGGGAGATTTGGATATTGTAATGAAATTAGAATCGATCGACCCTCGAGGAATATAGTTATCTGGGGACCGCAGCCTATCATATTTATGTTCACAATCATAGAGATTAGGCGGAATGACAGGCTGAGCGCGGCCCAGTAAAGCGCCGCCCAGTAAGGAATATTATAGATAAACGCGAATGTCATGTCTGAGATCTGATATCGCAATCGTTTTGATAAGTAGACTATCTAGCTATTGATCGAACAGTCTGCACTAGATGGCCGGTAATACGTGAGCGATCGGGTAAATAATAAATATAATCGAATCATGCATGCATGATCAAATTCACGATGCGATGATTGCGATCGACGTGATTGATCTGACTCGATATATATATCGAGTATATAATATTAATTATGTACGTCGCGTTATATTTTCCCACGCTGCGCGTGACTGACTGTCAAAGTATTCTAGCGCGTTCCAGTAAAAATAAAAAGTAGACCTCCCGTTCTATCTGGTCACTTGTAGAATGTTACAGTTATCATCGGTATCATCAAAATAGGGTTTATCCGAATGCCTTCGACTGTCGACACACATATATAGGTTTCTAAAACACTTTGTGCACACGAAAACATGTACAGGGTAATTAAGAAGCCTAGTTATGTTACAAAAATTTTATAAAAATAGAAACCTGGAAATTTAGGTACATACCAAGTGTGATAGAATGACTAACTACATATTATATTAGTTTTACCACATTTCGGCACCCTCTTTTCAGTGGCCTAATTTCACCGGAATTGGAGGAATACCTTTTATAAATGCAATTTCCCAATGTTTTCCAAACAATTCTTCAGCTTATGACTAATAAAACTTACTTAGCAAAACCGTTGATTCCCCAGTATGATCCCCAGGAATTCCTGAGCCACCAGAACTCAACACCGTCCTCTACACCCCATCCGACTAACTGACAAATACTTGATTATGACAGGGAACACAAAGTTAAACTAATATGTACATTTGCTAACAAAGCTGTAATTATAAAGGCAAATCACACATGGCCACACAAAATACTAATAGAAAAGTAAAAAAGAAGTGGCAACTAACAGAAATCTCGTGGTTGATCATGGGGAAGAGTTTGAACTCGCTGTAGATCCCGCCTGTGTAATTCTCAAACTTGTCTGTCACCATGATTCCGCACCCGATGGGACCTGACAGTATTAAGTAGTGATAAGTGTTTACAATTTAGTAATATGACGGATTATTAAATTCTGGGAACAGCTTTTTTGTCCAAGTTGTATTACAAGACAGGTGTGAAATTTGGTTTTTGGCCGATTTTCGATGTAAGTAATACTCATTACTCATCCTGTAATCTATTCTGTGGAATTATTTATGTAGTTCTGCAGATAGTACAATTCATTCTGTTGCAGATATTCGAATAATGATATATCAATGATAATGAAATGCAGTGACCAAGAAATATTGCACTGTACTCCAATATTTACAAAGGTTAATACATTTATGGGATTTATAGTGCAAGCGAAGTACTAAGCCTCTAATTAATTGAGCGAGCGATGTGACACATAGAAGATCCGAGTCCACTGAATGTTCATAAATGCTAAATCTGAGCCTCTAAATTATTATTGTAGCCAAACAATCAATTTGACCGAATCTGAAACAGTGCCTCTGACTTGAATATGCTGCGGTTTCTTACAGTAAATTTATACCATAATAGTTTCTCCGAAACGTGTCGTGTACATACAATACGAAATTACCAATACTGACAAAGCACGATCTTTTGATACCACTTCTTTACTCACTAAAATATACCCTTCACTGTGAAGCCTCTGGAATGAAGCTGCTCTTATCACATATTTTATGGTATTCAATGATACTTCTTAGTATCTTCTGCTAATTTTGTTATATGTCCGACAAAAACCAGCTATTGCTTTCGACTGGAGAGCGTTCAGATAAAAAGCGTGTGGAGTAGGCATGGCAGATTCAAAGAGACTACAATCTTCGCTGTTCATGTATATATTTATATCTAACTGGCTTAATCGACCAAGTAAAGGTTTGAAAGTATTACTAATGATTTTGAGACTTCAGGAGCCAGCATCTCACATTGTGAGATTCTCACAACTAGGGAGAGCACGTAAACTAAAAGCACAATGCAAAGGAGCTATTTATGTAAATTTATAGGCTGAGCAACTTGTGATTTACAAGATCACACTAGTTTAATCCAGACTTGGAGAGATTAGGATCTTGAAAGAGACTCAGTTCGTACCAGTACGTACTAAACAAAAATCTGAGTATGAAGATGAAACTATAGTAGGCCCTTTTGAATTATGCAAAGACTAATCTGCTCACCTTTGCACCCGGTGAGTAATGCATGCTCTGTTAGCACAGAGAGGAATGATTTTAATGTCCTCGGTGCAATACGGGCCCAACAACCTTTCCGTTGTTAGTGCTGAACGCACTTAAGTAAAATATTTTGTCTCTTTAGTAAAGTTAATTGGGATTTGGGTGACCATTTGAGTTTTGACTGCGTGATATAATGACGACCTGATTGGGCTCCCTGTACGATTAGTGTGCCAATCCAATCACATGATCCCGCGTGAAAATAAACTCGTTGTGTTTGATACCTCGGTCATCTGAAAAGCTTCCATATTTTTAGGAAAAGTGCAAGTGAGCACTCATTAACTGAACAATAAGCCCAAAAGTTTGCACTCTGACCTATCGGCCGACCTAAAGATTTAACATGACATCATTTTTTTCTAAGTTGGTAAATTAATAACCCGTCACTTTAAAGATGATCGCGTTTGCCATAAGGACTACGGAAACTGTACAAATTGTTCAACGATATAATTTCATGAAATACTGCTGATTCTAAATACATTTTTATATTAAATATTTATACACCATGTTATAAATGTGTATTCAGGCTGACTTAGCATGGCCCGTAACCTCGTGTTTCTCGTATTTCTGGGTCTAGAGATTTACAGTGGGTCCAATGCTGCTATTCCAGGTAGGACGATTAATCATAGTTTTATTACAATGCTCCAATAAATTACCTTGTCATTTACATTGAATACACACTACAATAGAACAGTAAACCCAGTAACCCCGGTGACCCCGGTAACCCATAGTTATCATAATTAATAATTTCTTGTGTGGTTAACAGCTATCATTCCAAATCCAATTAACTACTCGTAATTGTACAAAGCTGATCATGATATAATACTAATATTTCCCCTCAGCTTGCGCACAGGAGCATAGAGACTTTGCAGGAAGTGATATATCTGGTTTTTCAACCATGGACAGCCTTATCAGCTGTATCAAATATTGCCAGTCAATAGAGGGCTGCCTATCTTTCACATACGACATCAAACCCAAAAATTGCTGGCCTAAGAACAAAGAATTCAGTGAAAATGAGGCCATAACCACTCAAAGTGATCAGGATCTATTTAGTGGCAACATAAAGGAATGTGCAGGTACGGTAATGTTATTATATTACTTACGACATTCTACCACTTATCTTTGAAGTATGCACAAGAAATCACTGAAATCACTAATAAACCGGAATCAGACAAAAAATGTAAATGAATGTATTTGATAAGTTATCTTAAGGGGGCATACCCCAAATCTGTCCAGACCTAATGACCTCATAGGCAGTTCAGTGACCTTCTAGCGCACCGTTTCCACACCAAAAAAAATTATTTTGAGAATTCCCATTTTTGTAATCGAGCATTTCCTGGTTAAGAGTGCAATTTTCGGAAAATATTATTTTGTGGTTGAGACGCTATAAAATAATTATTTCTTGCGGTATCGGGTTGAAATTTTGCTCGCCGTTTATTCACATATATGTCAAGGTGTGTGTAAAATCTTGATATCGTATCTAAAAAGGCTGGTGTGTTATGAATTTTTAAAGTCAAAAAGATAAAATTGTCCTTTTCAGGCTTATTTTAACAAAAAGTCAGTCAGGGAAGATCGGATTATTTGATGCTTGACATCAAATTGTTCTCTGAATTCTGGCGCAGTTTTAGATGCCCTCAAAAATGTTTTTACTCATTCACCTTCTGATCTATTGGACAAACAACAAATTTAGGCACATTTTTCGTTTTTAATATTTACTGATTTTTCTAAAATTTTGATAGGAATGTGCTAGTGACTTTTTGAAGGGTGCAAAATAACCGCAACTAGCACATTTATATATGAGTTATGAACAACAAAACACCCTAAAATGCTTCCCTTTGAAGTTATGGGAGAAAATGTGATTTTTTGGCTTTGCAGATTAAAAATCACATTTTCTCCCATAACTTCAAAGGGAAGCATTTTAGGGTGTTTTGTTGTTCATAACTCATATATAAATGTGCTAGTTGCGGTTATTTTGCACCCTTCAAAAAGTCACTAGCACATTCCTATCAAAATTTTAGAAAAATCAGTAAATATTAAAAACGAAAAATGTGCCTAAATTTGTTGTTTGGCTTTGAGGTCCAATAGATCAGAAGGTGAATGAGTAAAAACATTTTTGAGGGCATCTAAAACTGCGCCAGAATTCAGAGAACAATTTGATGTCAAGCATCAAATAATCCGATCTTCCCTGACTGACTTTTTGTTAAAATAAGCCTGAAAAGGACAATTTTAGCTTTTTGACTTTAAAAATTCATAACACACCAGCCTTTTTAGATACGATATCAAGATTTTACACACACCTTGACATAGATGTGAATAAACGGCGAGCAAAATTTCAGCCCGATACGGCAAGAAATAATTAACTTATAGCGTCTCAACCACAAAATAATTTTTTCCGAAAATTGCACTCTTAACCAGGAAATGCTCGATTACAAAAATGGGAATTCTCAAAATAATTTTTTTTGGTGTGGAAACGGTGCGCTAGAAGGTCACTGAACTGCCTATGAGGTCATTTGGTCTGGACGGCACAAACCACTGTTTTGGGGTATGCCCCCTTAATTACAGTTGACGGAGGTTGGAGTGACTAGTAGTAGTAGTGAGATTTTGTAGTTTAGCAAACGCTAAAATCCTATTCTTGTATTTCTAGGGTAAATAATAGAGTATTTCCTTTCAGAATATTGTGAGGGTTTAAATGAATCTTGGGAGCACGCAGTAACAAGTGGTAGCTTTCCTCTAAAAGCAGAGAAGACAATCACAGTGTCCTGTGAGAGGAAGTACATTAACGTAGGAACAATAACCCTCACGTGCACTGTCGGAACACTGACCGGGGGAGAACCCACCTGTCTTAAACCAAGTGAGATAAAATTGCTTTATTTACGTCAAATAATATGACATGCTGATTTGAAAATGCAACCAGTAGTTAGGGCTGCTGTGTTGCATTTTCAGGCAGTTAGTTGATAAAACGATAGATAAATAATTTTAGTATTGTTTGTTGAAGAGAGTGGCCCAGTGGGAGTCATATTTTTGTGTGACACGTGACCGTGAATAACCAATCAGCATCCAGCATCGACCAATAAAAACCCAGAACCACTGGACCACGTGTCACCAGTATCCACTTATATTAAATAGTATTTTAGTTACAAACCTCTAGCGTATATCTCAGCCTTCATCCTGTCAGCACCTCTAACACTGCCGTACTGACTAACTTTGTAGTTATCATACTTCTCAACTGGGTGGCACTGAAGGAGGGTGCAGTCAGTTATTGTAGCTTTTTGGAGATCATGTTATAAACATTAAGTACGACATGTTGGAACTATGAAATAAATTCATTCGTTTGTTAACCACACGGCACACAGTTTAATATAATTATAATGAGCGATATTTTAGGTATCCTCGTTGATTTTAACTTACTCCAGTTTCAGGATCACATGTCTCACATACACCCAGTGGCTCACATTCGCCGTCTTTTGCCTGATGAGTGATAGGGACTTTTAGCCGAGACTTGATCATAAAATCAGACTAAGGATAGCACTGTTCGGCACATGATTCCTTTCATTTTCATTTCGTCTCGTGTCGAGTGACATAAAAACATAGACACGACAGGCTAGCATGAAAGTCTGCTTAAACCATATTAGAATAGAAACAAGATTATAATGTTCAGATTAGAATAGCAACAAGATTATAATGTTCAGATTACACGTTGTTAATTCTTACCACGTAGTTCTGACAGGTCTCGTCAGGAATACCCTTACTCTCAATGTACTCCAGTGCAGCGCCCGGGTTACCTCCTGTAGGATAAATGTAGGAGGTAGGATCAATGTAGGAGGTAGGATCAGAGTGAAAACTAAACTACATAATATCTCTTTACAACCAACATTTTGCAAGTTTTAAAACAAAAATATTCTTTTAAATTATAAGGCCTGCATAATTAAATTGCAAGCTGGTAATCTATCTGAAGAAACGTACCCTCGCAGCTACCACCACCCCTGCAGTTGACCAGAACCTGAGGAGACAGCTGGATCCTAGGCCACGTGTTGTTGCGCATTATGGAGATCCTGTCACTCAGAGCTGATGTCGTGCCCTGAGCCCAACAACTACCGCAATCTGGGGAGATGTGAGATGTTAGAAAGCTCTTAGTACGCGGTGCACTATTTTCATGTGATAATAGTTGAGTTAAAATAGGAGCGTGACTGTATAGACGTGATTTCTTTAAAACATCAGGAATCGAGCTAAGGAGTTGTGATTTAATTAGTATCATGGGTGTAAAGTGCTCTACACGGGCATCTTTGTATACGATTTCTGCTCAGATACATTGTATGCCACGAGCTTATCACCGAAATAAAAATATAGCGTCAGTAAACCAATTTCTCCAGTTTCTCATGTCTCTTCAATCATTTCAACAATAACATGTATCATGTTGGTGTGAGTGTCACGTGGCCACATGTTGACAATGAAACTGGATACGAATTAATGTAAAACTTTGTTCCGTGCGGTGCCCATACATTTACCCCAGGTAAGAATTACAAATAACCTTATCAAGTCGCTGACACAAAACTTCCAATAAAGCATCTGGCACAGTTTTTCATCTTGCACTTTGTTCAAGTACACAACTATGTAAAAAAGTTACACAACAATGTAAACAGGAAAGTTACACGTGTACATGTGAGTCACACACGGGTATGTAGAGAATGTTACACTCTTGTAGTGTACACTTTGACTTACATATGGGGATGTGTTGGTTCCTGGTGGCGGTTAGATAGTTTTCTCCGTTAACATTGCCCCAATCCCAGCTGGTAGGAAGCTCGTGTTTTGTTAACAGTTGGTGGGGTAAGGGTGAGGTTATCTTCTCTCCTCTCGAGAACGACGCTGGAACAAAGGATATAAATAGTAACGGAGTTTTATATTAACAGGAAACGATGTTACAGAGTCGATATATTTTAATGTTGCCATGGGGTGGCAAGTCCCCATACATCGTGGTCCGGTAGTTTCATTGCGTCCTAATATATAGTCCGATAATTTCACTGCGTCATAATGTATATAAACTTTTATATATTAACCTCTTAATATTTTGACTTTTGCTTTTTATCGAATCTGTGGTAAGTTATCATCGCGTGATAATCGAGCAACGAACTTGGCAAATTCTAATTTTCGTATTTAAGCGATAGCATGTGATGATGACGTTAGCAGTAATTCTGAATTCTACAAAACATTCGCTGCGTGTGTAGGAAGCTGATTCCAAAAACAGGGGAGTAGGATATCGAATAACACTTATGAGGCATGCTACTCAAGTCATGCTTTGCAATACAAGGAAACAATACATATTGGTGAGGTAGGAATCAGGAATGTATCTTTGTTCCGATATAAATTGTACAATTGAGAACCAAAATAATATTAAATCTAAATTAGAGAGAGCTTTAAAGAGGAAGTAGATCATCAACTTTCAAAGGAAATAAATTAATTGAGGAGAAATGAACAGAAACGTTCATTACATTGTAAACATCTGATGATTTTAATAGTGTTTTATTTACCTTTAGCATCTCGACAACCTTTCATAGCTGCAACTGATGCCAGAGCTACTGCAGCGAGTAGCACCAGCAGTCTCATTCTACGGGAAGGTCTAAATAAATTATACTATGGCCAACGTTCTAGTCATAGACTACTAAAATTACATAATGTAAGGGTAAGCTAAAGTCTAAACATTTGATTATTTCACCGAGTTCATCAATTTAGAGGGTTAACTTTTCTAGTCAAGACAGTGTAAAACACAGGCTGCTTAAACAAAATGACAACTTAAAAGAAATCAAATAGAATAAATGTTAGATAATTTACTTTACTTCAACAAATTTATATTAAGATAATCTGATGCCACGTGAAGGGTGAGTTATAATACTACGCTGTAGTCTTATCAGTTACAACTCACAAGATACCACGGGGCAACGCCTGATCAAATTATGGAAGCTAAGTAACTGTGCATGACTTCATAATTTAGGAATCAAATCTTATCGTAACTCAAGGTGTCGTCTGATTTAAAAAACACTGACAGGGCCTGTACCGTTACACGAAGAGTAAAATAGTCAAGTCTATTATGATCAACTTTTTTCCATGAAAGTTCGTGTTTTCAGATAAATACATATATGCATATGTTTATTTCATTAGACGAATAAAAACGAAGACGTCATAATTTAAGGAAGCAAAATCTTGTCTTATTCAAATAGCATGGCTAGGTTACGCTATGAATCAGAACATTATAATATATTATGGAATAAAAATAGTGAGTTGTTATATAAAATTAATATCAAATGCTTCAAATTAAATAATTTAAAATACTCAAATAAAATTTACGACGACAAAATGTGTAAATGTGATTAACATAGCTTCGTGTTATTATCCTAGTTTCAAGGATTAATAGTGTTGAGCTAACAGCCACACATTATCAGCTCAACCTTTGGTCTTCGGCGGATTTTTCTGAATTATAGGCTTGGGTCTCGTCTTGAAAATGTACTTCTCCTCAATGACAGATTTGATTACCCAGTTCTTATCAGCAGTTTTAGTCATGACCCCAAAAGGTTTCTCAAGTTTCACAACTTTTCCAGTCAGTATGTGATGTCCTATAACCAGCTGTGGGGTCCCCGTTTTGTCGATGTGGAGGTCCCCAATGTGGGCACCTTGGAATGCGACGGATGAAGGACAGTCCACCTTGCCTTGTAGCTCCACCATCCCCCATTTGTCCAGGGTGTCTTGTATCTTCAGCACAACTTGAGGCATATCTTCTACCGCTGATACCTTTTGTTGGGCCCTAATGTGATAAAGTGACACGTAATACTATTTATTTTCAAGTAAAAATGGAGTGTATAGCTGTGTGAAATTAGATTATGTTAGGAATTTCCCAAAATAACACCTCACGTACACGAAAATCAGACATTTAATTTGTTTATTGATGATGGTGATCAGTGAGAATGTTAAAGGATGATCGTTTGAAAAGAACTGTTGAAGGTTGATTCAATTTACATTTAAATAAAGATGGGATCCTAGAATAAGATTACGATCTTGAGGTAGGTGTACTAGAGCAGTCATATTTTGGAATGTTTGAGCTATGCGCACTGATGAGAAAGAATTTAAGAAAACACAGATCGATATAGTTAAAAGATTAAGTTCTAAAATAAAATAAAATAAATTCATACAAAGTCATCACTCATCATCCATCATTCATGTTCAATAGTAACCCCGTTATTATTATATAACCCCATTATATCATATTATAAGAATAAGTAAATATTCATCGGAAAATAGATTATAATTTGATTCATAACTAATAAATTTAATAATAATATACATCACGTCATGCAAATAATATTCTATGTAATAAACATTAACATGCATTAAAGAATTATAATAATATGTACAATTAAATTGTTGAACAAAAATTACAAGTTTACAAATTGTACAGCTTTAAATTGACAAAATGTCTCCAAATTATTCGGGCGGTTTACATAAATTTCACACACACATGAAAGTATATAAATTATGCAAAAAATCAGTTGAGAAATAATAAAAATCTTACATCAACTCAATTAGAAAAGTGTGCATACTAAGGCTCACCAAAGATCCCCGAAATGTGCTATGTCCGTGAAACAACCTAGTAAAGGTGAAGCAGAACCTTCACTGCCATGTAAACATTGCAAAGTAGTCCAGTAAAGAATGCTAGAGCTCGAGCAGGTTGACGAACTTGTCCAAGATAAACTACAGTGTGGATGAATCTGGCAGCAGTGAAAATCTGGGAGACAAGAGTAACACAGCCAGCATCACCAGCACCAGAAATAGCGTAGACAAAGATCAGTCCAATGAAAGGGATTATGTTTTCCATGTCGTTCAGATGAGCTCTGAAAATGGGAGATATTTAATTTAATCGAGAACATCGTTGATCGAATAAGAAAACATGTTAGTGCTGCACTGTTTTGTAATAAGTTAGCAGTAAATCGGGGTTTTTATTTACAATAAAACCTCCAAAAGCATAATATTGGGGTTTGGCCAGGTATAGTATCACCAAGTGGTAAAAATAGTTGTATTTTTCAGATCATGACCAAGTATGACTCACCGTCTGATTCTTTCAACAACAGGGTCACTAGTGCTCACTGTAGCACCATCACCCATGAACTTGGCATCCTCCTCAGATGCAACAACCTTCTTCTTCGAGCGAGTAAATCCAACAATCGGACCAAAGGTTGCCAATTTGAGAAGTAGAATTGTCGACCACCAAACGGCGGCTTGAAGGGCTGCATTCAGTTCCATTGCTACCTGTTCAAGGATGATTTAATTTAAATTTTAAAAACAAAAATGCGATCATAGAATAAAATCATGATATTGAGGGAGGAGAGCTGGAGGTCTTCTGTCAGTCATACATTGGAATGTTTGTGTTCTGCGCACTGATGAGAAAGAATTTAAGAAAACACAGATCGATATAGATAAAAGATTAAGTTCGGAGATCAAATTACGTAAATTTAAGTCAACATTCATCATACAATAGTAACCCTATCATATTATAAAAATAAGTAAATATTCATCGAAAAATAGATTATAATTTGATTCATAACTAATTTATTTGATAATTTAATATACATCACGTCATGCAAATAATGTTTTATGTAATACAAATGTAACATGCATTAAAGAATTATAATAAAATGTTTAGTTAAATCGTTCGAACAAAAACTAAAAGTTTACAAATTGTACAGCTTTAAAATCACAGAAAGTCATCGAATTATTCGGGGCGGATTACATAAATTCCACTTGAAAGTGTATAAATTATTTTAAAAAATCAGTTCAGAATTAATTGAAATCTAACATCAACTCACTCATCATGAATTTGCAAGTCGAAATGTGCTATGTCCGTGAAACAACCTAGTAAAGGTGAAGCAGAACCTTCACTGCCATGTAAACATTGCAAAGTAGTCCAGTAAAGAATGCTAGAGCTCGAGCAGGTTGACGAACTTGTCCAAGATAAACTATAGTGTGGATGAATCTGGCAGCAGTGAAAATCTGGGAGACAAGAGTAACACAGCCAGCATCACCAGCACCAGAAATAGCGTAGACAAAGATCAGTCCAATGAAAGGGATTATGTTTTCCATGTCGTTCAGATGAGCTCTGAAAATGGGAGATATTCAATTTAGTCGAGAACATTGATAGAATAAGAAAACGTGTTAGTGCTGTTTTGTAATAAGTAAATAGGGGTTTTGATTTACAATAAACACATCCGAATTTCAAGTGGTCACTTTCGTGAGATATGACTTACATCAGGTACATCGGCGTTTGGCTGTAGTTTAAAAATCATGACTAAATATGACTCACCGTCTGCTTCTTTCAACAACAGGGTCACTAGTGCTCACTGTAGCACCACCCTTAAACTTGGCATCCTCCTCATTCGCAACCACCTTCCTCTTTGTGCGAGTAAATCCAACAATCGGACCAAAAGTTGCCAATTTTAGAAGTAGTATTGCCGACCACCAAACGGCGGCTTGAAGGGCTGCATTCAGTTCCATTGCTACCTGTTATCCGAGGTACTGATTTAATTCTAGTCAAAGAAACGTGGTAATCTAGATATTTAAAATAGATAATTTTATGACTTGGAACCGCCTGCCATAGTGATGGAGGTCACAAAGAAACTTAAACTACCAACAGCAGCAGAGAAGGGAGTATGGAAGGGAATTGATGAAGACCTGATTGTTTTGGTGAACAATGTAGCAGCAGAGGACGTGGAGTCTCGACTGGAGAAGGTAGAAAAGCTGGTATACAGCTATCTGGAAAGCAGATTCGGTGAAGAGGAAGCGAAGAAACCTCGTGTTCCCCAGAAAGAAAAGGAGAACAAGGAGACAAAAGTTATTCGCTTGGCCAAGAGAGAGGCTAAGAGAAACAAGAAAGATGCTAGGAGAAGCAATGATCAGAATATGTTGGCTCAAGCTAAGACTGAGTACCTGAGACTCGTGCGCTTACACAACAAAAGCCGTCGTAATGAGCTCAGGAAGAAGAAGAATAAGGAGAGCAAAAAGGAACAGTCACAGTTTAAACAAAACCCATTTCAATTTGGAAGGAAACTGCTGGACGGGGATAAGAAGAACAAACCCCCTAATTTCTCCAAGGAAGTGGCTGACAGATTCTTTAAGAATGAGTACTGTGATAAGGAGAGAAGTGCTCTATATGTAAAGCTTAAAGGACTGCCCGATGCCCCAGTACCAAAGACTGCATTTGAGATGGAGAGATTAGACTGGGATGAGTTTCAAACGAAGCTGAAAAGCCGTAGAAATAAATCATCACCTGGTCCGAATGGAGTCCCATATCTGGTATATAAGAGATGTCCCAGAATGGCGAAAGCAGTATTCAAATTGCTGGATTCTCTATGGGAAAGCCAGAGAGTCCCGCTGCAATGGCGAGTAGGTGAAGCCATTCTGATAGCAAAAACTGAGGATTTAGATGACCCTAGTAAGTTCAGAAACATCACTAAAACAAACACTAGTGGGAAGTTGCAGATGGGATTACTAGCGGACAGAATGCTAGAGTATATGGTCAGCAATAGCTACATAGACACGTCTATCCAGAAAGGATTCCTGCGTAAGACACCAGGTTGCCTCGAGCATACTCAGGCTCTGATGGAAGAGTTGAAGGATGCCAAATCTAATAGACGACAGATCTTTGCAGTTTGGGTGGACCTAATGAACGCCTACGGCCGGGTTCCCCACAACTTGATAATATATGCTCTAAGACATTATAAGTTCCCAAACTGGCTCATAGAATATATGTTTAGGTACTATGATGAGCTGATTGTGAGAGTGGTGACAAAGGACTGGAAAACAAACTGGTTCTTTTATATGTTAGGTCTTTTTCAGGGCGACCCTCTATCGGTTGTACTGTTCTTAATAGTTTTCAACCTACTATTGGATCTCCTGAAAAATCAAAGCGACTTGGGTTACAAGCCGTCTTTTAGTTCTAGCAGCACGTCAAGTCGTGCTTTTGCTGACGACCTAACTCTGATGTCTCCCAGGCTGGAAAAGATGAAGAAGCTAATAGATGTGATGGAAAGATTTCTTACTTGGTCAAGGAAAATGAAAGCCAAGCCGAGTAAATGCGTATCCCTGGGGATGAAGGTTATAGATGGAAGGTATGTGTCCTATGACCCTGAAATTTTCATAGATGGAGCTCAAATCCAGTTTATTGGAAATACACCGATGAAGTTTCTTGGCCATTGGATATATGTGGATCTGGGCCTCAAAGATACCAAGAAGCTGATAGAAGACAAACTGATTACACTGTTTCAGGCAGTGGACGGATCAGGCCTTAATGGAGTGATGAAATGCTGGATTTACAACAACCTCCTAACCAGCAAGCTCTCCTGGGACCTGATGATCTACAATCTCCCGGTTAGTTTTGTCAAAGATCTTGAAGCAATATGTACGAAGTATCTGAAGAAATGGCTAGGTGTAACAAAGACAATTACTGTCAGTGTGCTTTACAGAAATAAGGATTGCTTTGGATTGAATCTTAAAAGACTATCGGACTTATACAAGTTCCTTCAGGTGTCCAAAGGTTACTCTCTAAAGAACAGCAAGGATCCTAAAGTTAAGGAGGTCTACGAGCACAGGGCCAAGAAACAAGAAGGGAGCAGTCGGTGGGGTTACACTAATGAGCTGAGTGCTAGAGAAAGAGATCTCTACTTCAGAGAGTTAGTAGGGGTAACAGTGCAAGGCAGGATGGGCTTGGGATCCAAGAGGAGTGTAGCCAGTGAAAAGGAAAAACTGAAAGAACTGGTATCCCACATCTCAGAGCAGGATATCCTGTTGACACTGGTAGACAAGGGAGTTCAAGGACAATTCTTAACATGGGAAAACACCATGCAGCTAGACCTAGGTTGGAACAACCTTATTTACAACTACAAGATGAGCCCTGCTCTTCTTAAGTTCCACCTCAATGCAACCCATGACGTTGCAAATACTCCAGCAAACATGAGCCTGTGGAACTATGCTGACACAGGACACTGTCCACTTTGCGGATGGAGACACTGCAACATTAAGCACATTTTGGTAGCCTGCAACTTCTCGCTGAACAACAAACGATACAATTGGAGGCATGACAACGTGCTGCGGGTCATTGCGAAATCCCTACTGGATCAAATCGAGAAGTTCAACAACAAAGATTTTAAACTTGAAGTTCAGGACTGGACAGGCTTCAAGTCATCTAGCAGCTGTTACCAAAAACCGAAGACGAAGATGAAAAGAGAGAGCCCTTTTGAGAAAGACCAAGATTGGCAGATTATCTGGGACGAAGATGACCTCCCAGCACAGTTCCCCAGCACATCTACGGAACTGCAGAACGTCCCGATATTGTAGTCTGGTCTGATAAAGGAAAGGTGGTCATATTAGTAGAGTTGACAGTTGGTGACGAGAGTAACTTTAGTGACCAAGTAGAACGTAAACAAGCACGTTACAACAGAGAGCTTATTCCTGGGCTGCATGGCAGTGGGTGGAAAGCTCAGCTTTTTACGGTAGAGGTTGGGTGTAGAGGCTTCTGGCATCATACCTTACCAGCCCTACTAAACTACTTTGGTGTTACAAAGAGAGTAAAGAAAGCAGTGTTCCAAGAGGCGGCTTTGGTTGCTCTCAGATGTTCCTATGCAATCTGGTTAGCAAGAGAAAACAAGAAGTGGAGTCCCTGCTACAACATCGCACAAAGACCCACTGTTCTACCATCAACTGAGTGAGCTGAGTGTTGGGCCCTTAAAACATTGTTTAAAGCCACACCTGGAATCTCAAGTACCAGGATCAGTGATGGAAGCTAAGCAGATACATAGATGGAGTTGCTATCGAAAGATATAGAACTCAGGTATCCAACATCGTACCTTGATTATATTGTAGTATTTTCCCTGACATCATGTTATTCAATTTTATATCCTAATAAAGCTTTAAAATTAACTAATCATTTAAAATTGGCTTGGTATTTTGATTTGCATAAAAGCTAAAACAAAACATTCAATATCTTGCTAATGTCCATATAATAATAGTAATACAATTCGTACCAGTAAATCAAAAGCTAATTAAAATTACTCAATAATCCTATTCTAATTTTAAAAGATAATATAAGAGATTAAAATATCAAAAGAGATGGGTTTATTAAAGTTTAAATCTAAAAAACTAACAAAAATCATGCATAAAATTGAAATCTATTATTTCTAAAAAATCCGTCACCAATGCCCAAAATTATATCATTCCGTTAGATTGATATAATATTATAACATTTCAATAAAAATCCATTTCATTCCACGCTGATAAAATGTCCAATTTCCATTGAAACAACCTAGACCCTAGTAAAGGTGAAGTAGGACCTTCACTGCCATGTAAACATTGCAGACCATCCCAACCATGAATGAAAGAGCTCGAGCAGGTTGACGAACTTGTCCAATGTAGACAACAGTGTGGATACATCTGGCAGCAGTGAAAATCTGGGAGACAAGAGTGACACAGCCAGCATCACCAGCACCAGAAATAGCGTAGACAAAGATCAGTCCAATGAAAGGGATTATGTTTTCCATGTCGTTCAGATGAGCTCTGAAATATTTGAAATCTAAATTCACAAGTTTAGTAAATTAAATATTTCAAGAACATATTATATTATTTCTATGTACATATTTTGGCATATTAATATATGATATGACCAAATATGTTGAACTGTTTATTCAAATATAATTGAATAATACTGTTACCGACCTTCTGTATCTTTCAACAACAACATCCGTGTGTTTCAGTTGAGCACCTTCGTTACCAACAACATCTTCTTCATTTGCAAAGACATTCCTTCTGAAGCGAGAAGATGCAGTCAACAGACCAGCTGTTGCTAACTTGAGAAGTAGTATTGTCGAATACCAAACGGCAGCTTCAAGTTCGGCAGTTAACTCCATGCTAGGATAAAAAGTGGATTATGAGATAATTGCATCGTATGATGAGTTAGCTCGTGTTCATTGGATTTAGGAATGAGCAAATAAATGTCATACTTTATGGACCTAGAGAATGGTGGTGAAATTCGGATAAAAAGTGAATAAATATGAGATTTATCAACAATAAATTGACTGGCAAGAATTTTAAAGATCAGTTTCTGGATAGTAGTTCATATTATTATAACTTTAAAACTATGGCATAGTTTGCATTGCATTCTTTAAAATTTAAAGTACATACACTTAATATTTTGCATCTGCTTGCAATAAAGGAAACACAAATATCTAACAAATTAATGACATATGATTTAATAGTGAAACAAAAAATACTTTATATCAATAAATATCTCTGATAAATATAGGATGGGATCGTTCACATATTATGTGAACCAGATTTCAGCCATTTTATCCCCCCCCCCCCCCCCCTGTAAGCCACTTTACACATCTGTGTAGAAATTACAGAAGCATAACTTTGTTTCAATCCCCTTGCCCCCTCCCTCCCCCTTCTCCCCTTGGCTAAGATAATGATATGTAAATGATCCACGAGAAAAATGAAATGAAATGAGGTATTTATATCCCGCTCATATGATTAACCAACTACACAAGGAAGGTGGTTAACCATGTCAGAGCGGCTGACTGTGAGTGATGTGAGCAAATGTGTAAAAGTGAACAAAAGTATAACTCAACATAGCATAAGGCAAAGACAAAATTAAAACATCTTTCATTGTAAACCACACTAAACTAAATAGAAGCAGTAACCATACAATAAATGTAGGTATAAAAAAATTAAGTACAGTGACATAATCAATCAAGAAAGAAACAGATCCTAGAAAGGTAGAGATCAAAACATAAAATGGAGTGCGGTAAAAAATAAAAGCCAAGGTGTCTTACAAAGTGAAGACAATGGAAACAAAAAACATTAAAACTGATTATATAAATGGTTCTTTAAACAGTTGGTATCAGTAATACATCAACATCAGCAAAAGAGAGTTCCAGGTTTTTACAAAAGGTTTTTTACAAAAGTACAAACAATATCATTACAAAGAGTTCGTTTGTTCTTTATAATAGTTAATAGTTTTATAAGATGTGTTATTGTGTCAAATCATTAGTATAAGTGGAGTATTACCTTGCCTCCTAGATAAATGTTGCATACTACCCCAACAAACCAAGCTAGACCACGAGCAGGCTGTTTAACCTCTCCTAGATAAACTACAGTGTGGATAACTCGAGCAGCAGTAAAAATCTGGGACACAAGAGTAACACAGCCAGCATCGCCAGCACCGGAAATAGCGTAGATAAGGATCAGTCCAATGAAGGGGATTATGTTTTCCATATCATTGAGATGAGCTCTGAAATGCGAATAGAAATATAGTGCAAAAATTTGAGGCCTTTCAATTTTTAACAAGCACTGGTTAAAACTTTATTATATCTGATTGTGATTGGGTAAAATTGAGATCACATTTATAATTTCGAACTAACATCTGAAATCATGATTGCACTTACCGCCTTCGTCTCTCAATCACATCATTATCTAATTTCACCTCACCACCAAAAAATGCTGCATCTTCCCCAGCCACAAAGATTTTCTTGGTAACACGAGTAAGAGCAATGATAAGTGGAAAAGTAGCTAGCTTTAAAAGCAATATAGTTGACCACCAAACTGCTGCAGCAAGCTCAGCACCCATCAGCATTATTATCCTATAAGTCAGAGATGTGTCAATATGTGAGTGGAACAACTAAGTTCATAAGGTCAATGAGATGCATGGGGTCAGGAAATTTGGGGTTAGACCAAAAAATCCCACTGCTTTTTATCATCAGCCTCCTGGTAGATTCAATTATTGATTTGATTTGATTTGAAACTTTTAAAAATAGTACATATATGATACAGCAAAGAGAATTAAAAATAAACATCATGAGGCATCATGATGTGTAAAAGTCGTACAGCAGGGTGTCATAATTATTGGCGCGTAGACAATTCTGCGTGAAATTTTAGCTTACCCAAGCTTTTAGAAACGATCATTACTTGACTTCTGAGGGTCAGTTTCCTATGGAGTTTTGATCATTCGAGAGATAATCCTTTATACTACAGTTCAGTCTAAAAACGAAGTCCGAAAGAAGTTAAATTTTGTTGATAATCACGACGAAAGAGAAGAATTTGGATTATCGGACTTGAAGCCTCCGGCTGCTTCCCCTGAATTCCGGGATGAGTCTGCCCGACTATATTTTATTGGGTCAGTTAGAGGAGAAAGAGAGCTTTTATAAAATCTATAGTTTTCGATATGTTTCGCTATCGCCTGAAGAGCTGTGCACTTTAGTCTAAAGAATAATTTTAGAAAAAATTCACCAAAAAAAAATACACATAAATTCCTTACTCCTTCGTAAATCTAACCAAGTATGGAATCGACCCTTTAAATAACGGCCTCAATATGGGTTTTGAGGTATATCAACACAAAATTTTGAAATTCTGAAAAATTTCAGACGATTGTCTACAGACCAGTTTTTGAATTTTGTAATTTCGATATTCAGAAGTAAAGTTATGACCCGTCGAAAAATATTGATTTCATCATAAAATACACATAAAATTTCAAACACGCCAATAATTCTGACACCCTGCTGTAGACCATATTGTATAAATACTAAAAGCATGAGTATGTGGTACAGGTTCTGGGGTATTACAGGTAATATTACTACCCCAGACTGACTACTAACACCACCTCCATCTAAACACACAAATTTAATCTAAAACACACAAATTTAGAATTATCAGAATAAATAATATAACGATAGATAATGTCACCACGATGCGACTCAAGATGTGGCCACAACAGTCCACGGCATTTGTTACACAGCGCTGATAGATACGCATGACCACATGCATTCGGATATAATTTTGCGTAATCCAATTCACAATTACGTAAATTTACTGAAGACCACGCTGCACGCTAGGGCCATATCCTGGCGACAGAAAGTAAATGTGATTTAATAGATATAGTTCTGTTATATTTGTTACATTCGGCTGATCTTACTAATTCTCTCGCCCAAAAATTATCACGTGACTTTGGTTTTTATTTAGTTTTGCAGCCGAAAAAAATCAGTTTTATATCATATATAAACCCTAATCCCAACCCGGCCTAAACCCAAATTAACCAAGACCATAACCCCAAAGCTTGAAGCTATCATATCCATAACCTTAATCACAACCTTAACCCTAACCCGAGCCCTAAACAATCGAATTCGTGTTTACTAGCCTGTCGCGTGACCATGAAAACAATTTTTTGCCCATAACTTTCCAGGGAAGCATTTTTAAATAATGTCATGAGGGGTGATTCGGAATCAGCGTCAGAAAATACACCAAATAAAGTAAATTCTGCATCTGTACCTTTTCACAAAAAATTTCTTATGGGCGAGCGATTTAGTCACTAGTGGAAACAATTATATTTGGTATCGTGACCGATCTATCAGTGGCATGGCGGGGGCCACTCGCCACCTATAAATATTATGTCAATATTTTGTTGCAGACCTGCCGCGCACGATCCGAGTACGTGGCTGTCCTGTATATCGTAATCACGATACCGGATACAGCTGCTCACGATATATAATACAAGTGTTCATTTAGTAAACCGACTTCGCATAGCCATCAGCCATATGTGTCTAGTGTCAACGCGTACCATGCGTGCAACGCGCGCTATATATAATACGCTAAGCTGCAAGCGAAAGGACTCTGGTTAGAGTTGATTCACGATGTCAATCCTTCGCATCTCGCCGATCTTTGACGGATGTTACTCGTCTAAATTTCTTCGAAGTAGCGCGCGCCGCTTTCTTTTCGAAATGGCCCGATGGCAAGTGCTACGAAGTAGCGCGCCGGGCCAAACCATTAACAATGGTCAAGCCGACCCAGGAAACCCTACCGGCTGGGATATATCTCCAAAAGTAAAATAGATAGAACCTTCCGGTTTTCAACAAAATTTCCGTCTCGTAAATTTAAAGTTAGCTCCTGAGGAGCCAAATTTGGGACAACTTAGATTCTGAATTAAACCGAAAAGTTTGATTTTGGGCTATAAAAAAGGTCACAGCTTTGCGAAGTTATGTCGTTGTCATGACTACTAGGCTCAATGCAGCGTGCGAGAGGTAAACTTGACGTGACGCGCGACGCCCAACGTGCTGTTGAAAATCTATCACCTCTAGCAAGCCCAGCAGGCGGTAAGGTTTTCTGGGTAGGCAAGAGAGCTGCATGAGAGTTCATAGTTCAGCTGCGAAAGAAAGCAGAAGGAAGGGGGGAATGGAAGGGGGGATTTGCAGGGAGGTAGGAGATGTTTTGCGATATAAGACTTATAATTTCGGCGGAATATGTATGAAGTTTTAAAAGTCAATTTTGAGGGCGAAGATCGCGTTTTTACCTACCCATCCAGGACCCTTTCTTGTTGGCGAAATTCTCTACTTTCTTTTGATATTTTAAAATTGAAATTTGACTTGATTGGTGGAGAGTTATGGCTTGTCAAAGTGAACGTTTTAAAATGAAAGCGCAAATTATTTTAAACGCGCTTAGGTTCGGCCGAACCTAAGCGCAGATCGATCTGCATACGTGTGGTTGCGAGAAGATGCGCGGCGCGGCCCGATAGTGCATCGTTGTAGCGCGCTGCACTACTGGGTCGCGCGCGCATCAAATAATGCTTCTCGCAACCACATCTAACCGCCACATCTAACCGCCACATCAACCGCCGATCTAACCTTCAGTAGATCGGCGAGATGCACCACTGTGCCTCACCGAGCTGCGAAGGATTGACATCGTGAATCAAGTGCATCGCGCTACAATGGTTAGAGCAATGGAGAATTTTTATATTAAAATACTTTTATGGTGATTAATGGACTGTTTAGGCCGTACGTGGGTTTTAGGCTGCAGGGCTTTTTATTCTGAGAACGCGCCATGCAAAGTTTTGTGAGCGACTTAATTACTATTTTGGGTGAGCGGCAAGATGTCGAACCTTGATTTATTTTACTTGTAAATGCTTGCTTTTGGCCAGTAAAACGTTACCTGGGGACCCCATGCCAGGCTATTATGTTCATAAACATTCATAAAAATTCATAAACATTCCGCCGAATAAAGATTCGGCGGAATGACAGGCTGCGCACCGCCCAGTAAGTGAAACGTAGGCCTTCGACTGCTTTCAATTAATAGAATGTTTTTTTAAATTTTTATATCACGCTGGTGAGTGAAAACTGGACCGCGGGTATAACTTTGGTTACAGTTAGAGCCGGGAATAATTTAGAGACGCCTTTTCTACGTCTGAGCAGTGGAATTTAGTCGAGAATTGACACCGGATTTGAACGAAAGTCGACACCGCGCCAAACTCCTCCCTTGAAGAACCAGAGTCATGTTGGTGAAGCTTTTACCTTGAATTAACTTTAAGAGTTTAAGGCCGAGTTATTAACTTAATGGAGGTTTTACTATCAGTGGTATAAATTGCGTGTTTTGTACCTGGTTTGAGAATGGTTAGTCAGTTTTGATTTTTGATTTGTCCTAAAACCTGCTAAATGTTTCCAGTGTAGAGAATCCACGTGAAGTGTCGGCCTGTCTAGTCTCTACGGATACCCGCTTCCCCGAAATTGGCTGATTTCATTACTTTTACTTGGAGACTACTGCAGATTAAAGGACCGACTCGATAGAAGAGAGATGGGAATATTTGTGTTGATAGTGATAGTCGTTTATTTTATTTATAATTATTATATAGCTTATTAATATGTGGACACTGAATGGAACGATCTAAAATTTATTTTTCCTTGGTATGATGAATGTGTTACTGTTGAATCGAGGCCCTTCTTAAAATTTAAAAGACTGATTTAATTTTCCGTCAGGAGATTGTTGTTATTTTTATTTGGGTTATGATTTAGACCGGTTAAAACAAGTGTTACCAAAAGGTTAATTAAGTATAACTATAAGTAAAAAGTGTTGGTGTTCTAAAATATGCGATAATTAATGTTACGTTCAACGGAATAAGGCGACTAAATATCTTGAATAGCCTAAATATTAGGGCTGTAATACAAATCGTTAGTATTTCCTCGTTTATAAAACATTTAAACTAACAAAGTGACCGAGCAATTCATAACGTTTGAGAAACTAGTGGCCTAGGAAGTTCCATTGGACCGTTTGAGGTTAATCCCCAGTTCTGTAAACTACGGATCCAGGCAGAAGACTGTAATCGAACGAAAGAGAGGGAAGGCTAACGGCAATTGTTAAGTGTGTCGAAGAAGAAGACAAATGAAACTCGAAGATGGATGGTAAAAGATAGAAGTGTCGACAATAACAAGGCTTTAGAACAAAACTTCCTCTACTCAGGATAACAAGGCCGACGACCTGACTTAGCACGTGAGGTGGACTCCTAGACTAGTTTCTCAAACGTTAGGAATTTCTCAGTCACTTTGATAGTTTAAATGTTTCATAAACGAGGAAATACTAACGTTACAGTAACGAAATGTTTGAAATGATTGATAAAGTGGTTATCTGCAAATGGTTGTATAGTCATGTCTGTGTTGCCGTTAGAATTAGATAAAGGTTTTGGTGCAAGCTTATGCTCGCTTGATGAAACATAATTGGCTTTGATGTTTGAGTCTCTGTGTGCTTTGTGTTTTCAGTTTTCAATTAATCTGAGATTGAGTCCTCATAATCATATCAAGACCTGATCGTTCTTCAGCGGAAAGAAAAACCTCTTCACTCATAGTTTTGGGAGAAGCAACTTGCTTCAAGCAAGTGATAGATATCATATATAAATTAGCTAACGTACGTCAGGAAAGTTGCAAAAGGATTAGTGATAATCATAATGTATTTTTGGGTCAATTCAAAATTGATAATGTGCAGCTTTGACTTATAAGCTCTAAGTAGAAATTAAGAATAAGTACATGGTGAATTCAGACGTGATGAGCACATTAAACACAAATAGATCAATCTAAATCTGAATTCTTTTTTCCTTTACGCACGCGAGCCTTTTTGTCCAAATACGATATAGATAACATCAACAGTCCGGTGTAGAGTGATTTATCATCATCCGTGTAAAAGAATTTTTACTTGATCTGTGGGTCTGGTACCGATCGCATATTTTGATAACGGCATACTCAGTTTTGATATCTGAACTGGTTATAACAATACTGTAACCGATGTGCAATGAAAACGAGCGCTAAATATAGCTGATTGCACCTTTATTAATTAACCTAAAAATGTTGAATACGGCCGTACCGATGCATCGTGAACACCCTGTATTTCAATAACAGCATACATTCAAGAGCAAGCAGCAGTGTCAAGCATGAGCCACTGCTTGGATAATCATTTGAATTAAAATGCATATGATTTGCTAACTTACTATAAACATCATTTGTCAAAACGACGCTTATTCATTATTGATAATACTATCGATTTGTTATTACAAACATGAGGTTTAACGTGTAATTTTAAGATCAAGCTTATCTAAATAGTTTAATGTAACACAAGAATTTACAAGAATTGTCGAAGGAATTTTTCTTTGCTTAGGTTGCCCCAATCCTAACCACTTTATCAGAAAACTGTTGGAATTTTGCTCCCGATAGTCGTAGTTAGGCAATTATCGTCCACGAATAGCTTTATAATGCGTTTAGTTACTGTTACTGTTACTGTTAGGGTAGGTATTACTCAAGGATTAGGGCATGTATTCATTCAGCCTTTATGGATTTAGCTTTTATCTTCCTATGTATAGTCAATGCTTCTATGTACCCGTAGGTTTATACACATAACAAAAAGAATCATCGAACTCAAACATCCCATTTCCTATTTCGAACTGTTGCAGTGTTGCCGCTCCGATTTCACGTCTCAGACGAGAACGTCCCAAATAGCACTGAGAAGTATTTTAAGATGATGGTAACTATCTTATGAGGTACGTTGTAAAACCAGAGAAGGATCTGACGTGTTTTTTAAGATAACGTTATTTCAAGTAGAACACTTAAAGGTGTTGTCTTGATCATCTTTCTGAAGAACTCGTTATTGGACTAAAAGTTGGTTTAATGCATATATCAACATTTTCAGGCGTGTTGCTTTGCTTTTAAAAAAGTTTCATTATTTTTAGGTAGTGCGCCATCGACAGTGAGCCGCGCGTGCCGACTGTATGATGGTTTTTTAGCGCTAATTTCGGCCAGCACAATTTTCTTCAAACAAATAGATATTAAGTATCCTTCCCGACCTCCGATTGCAACAAAAATTGGTAAGCTTACTCATAGACTTACAAGGAAAGTGTCCGAAAAGTTTAAAGCATATCCAACCATCAGACATTATGTTACAGCTAAAAGCAGCGTATTTCGCCCCATTTTTATCACTAAATCAACTTTGATATCCACCAAATTTTTCGGACAGTTGTGAAAGCCCTATTGGAAGGTCGTCGCCAATTTTCAGAATGATCTCATGCAAGGAACTGAAGATATATCCAAATAATACGACAAAAATCAACGAATTTGGTCAAATTTGGTCAAATTACGCGACTTTTACAGCTAATTTAGCTCCAAAAGCCGCGCACCATCAAATATGGCACCTAGGCAAAACTCACTGATCTTTTCAAAAAGGTATGACAAATTTGGTATTGTGAAATTTCTCACAGTCTCTAGAAAACAATGGTACAAAAATTTTAAAAATCCGAGCAAGTTTATTTTTATGGTGCACCTCCTATTATTTTATTAGTGATGAAACTTTTTAAGAATTTGAGTTGATGATTCCGACTGAAATTATAAACATATTTTTCATTTGCTCTGTTCAACACACGCGTGTTCAACTCTACTAATAAATTGCACTGCACGTGGAGCGGCAGCAGCATGAGAGCCACAGACTGACAGACTGCAGCTGTACACTCACTACTAGTAGTATCAAACTGCGCGGTAATTATCGCAAATAAATATTCCTGGAATACAAGGGTCATGCTCACTCTGGACAGATTTAGCTTTTAAGCGACCTGTCTGTATCTTTATAGTTAGAGATCAGTCACATATTACGTAATATGTGACGTCACATATTACGTAAGCCAGCCTCAGCTTATGCTAATATAATGTCTACGTAATAACTACATGGCTTACGGAAGCGAAGAGAGTAGAAATCAGAGGCAACATGTAAGTGCGGAAATATTTTGTAAATAATGCGATTTCACACCTGCCAAGATTTTTGTATGTACGGCAAATTCGTAGACAAAAGAACCGCAATTAAGCTGAACATTTCGCCAAATTCGCAGCCTTTAGGCACTCTCAGGTAGGGTTATACAACTGCTTTTGCTCTAACCAGAGCCCTCTCGCTTCACGCTTGCAGTAGCGCGCGACTTACTTGTGAAACAAGCGCGTCACACAGTACGCGACTACGCGTATATATACATATAATACACATGGCTATGTGAACAACTGCTTAGTAATAGTAATAGTATATTAATATATATAACGTTGCCTTATACACGATTGCTTAATTCAACACAACAAATAATGTATACCCTTAATGTAAGTTTATAATTAGATTGGCTGGATAATTGGAGCAGTGGGGCTAGTTGAGCTGGTGATCAGCATAATTGATGCAGAGTATTCAATATTGTAACTTTACAACATTAGATTCCAATAAATTTTGTGTATAAGCTAAAATGTCTGCAGACTATGATGTTATTTAACTATAACTATAATATACATGTAATCGTGAATAATAAGTGACTCAATATGTTACAGTTAAGGAATTACGATCCATTTTGACTAGATATTCATTTGCCAGGATTCACCTTCTTTTGTTTTTATCACTTTATCAATAAATGTTGATTGTCGACAATATTAAAAGTCGCTGCATATCATCACCAACTTTCCATTTGATAATAGGAATAATAAACTTGTTGAACACATAGGTGTGTTTTTACCGATTTTAAAAATAATTCTTCTCTCAGATGTTACGTCATGAAAAACATTTGATCCTAATCATAGTTGTGACTCTATCTTATCTCAGGGTACATAGCGGTACTTTACACAAATCTAATAGAACGAATAGCGGCTGATGGTGCGAAAAGGTGCGGTATTACGTCAAATTCAATAGTGCGATTCTGCACCCACCACACTTTTTGACTATTTCCGGTCAAAATAGCCAAAATCTGGCTAAGGTAATATGTCAACAACCCGGAACCCCCCCAATGGTTGCAGTTTTCTGTTTTAGTATTTCAGAGCTATCATTGACTTTGAATCGTCGACAAAGGAAACATTATATTGACTAGAAGCCTGGTGTAATAAACGGTCATTTTCACCATAATTTGAACAAAGGAACAGTCATTTATTGAATTTTGTTTTGAATACTGCTTAGAGTTAATCTAGAAGAGCAAAAGAATTACAATTTGAACATATCGATAGCCGACCTTCGTGGTGAACATTCAATGTTCAAATTTACTGTACAATCCACGCCGGAAATCATTAATTGCCGCTTTTGTTTTCTGTGGGTTGCAGTTCTGTACGACTATGTACGAATTACGATACTTAAAATATTGGTATTTTCTATGAAAACATCAGCTTATCTTTAGCCCAATTTTGCGATGATTTCATCTATAATCACTGAAAGTGATACGATACTTCACATTTAGTAGTTGTGCTAGCCTCCTCGACTTTTGTCATAACACTGATCGTCACCTTCTATTTGTTGAGAACACCTGCTGCCACCTCCTCTTTTCTCTTTTTCTCCAATGACCAAGGACCAAGTCTTCGTAGCGACCAATAGACAATTAATATCGTTCTTCATTCATCAAAGTCAGAAGACTTCAGTAAATACGACACCAATTCATTTCTTTCTTAAACCATATTGTTAATGGAAAGGAGTTTATGCATAAGCTATAATTATGACAATGTATGTTAAAATGACCGCTGCACCAATATGCGGCCTGTGCCAGTGTGCCCTATAACTACTTTATGTATATGAATGGTGCATTTTGTTTGCCTTATTAACTTGTAGTAGCTGCATATTCAACCTTTAGAATTGCATAAATGAGTTATTATTATGATATTGAATTTATATTATCTATTTGTACTAATAGTACAAATAGATAATATGAATTCAATATCATTACTTCTACATTATCATCACTACTATTGTGGTTATATCACATCAAATGTTTTTAATTATCTTATCGTCAGATAATCATCAACTTATCGTTAATAATTCTGTTTGACAATTGATTGTTTGCGTCACCGGTTTGCAGCCCAGTGCAGCTCAGTGCAGCTCAGTGCAGCTCAGTGCAGCTCAGTGCAGCCCAGTGCAGCCCAGTGCAGCTCAGTGCAGCCCAGTGCAGTTCAGTGCAGCTCAGTGCAGCTCAGTGCAGCTCAGTGCAGCTCAGTGCAGCTCAGTGCAGCCCAGTGCAGCTCAGTGCAGCCCAGTGCAGCTCAGTGCAGCTCAGTGCAGCTCAGTGCAGCACAGTGCAGCTCAGTTCAGCTCAGTGCAGCTCAGTGCAGCTCAGTGCAGCTCAGTGCAGCCCAGTGCAGCTCAGTGCAGCCCAGTGCAGCCCAGTGCAGCTCAGTGCAGCCCAGTGCAGTTCAGTGCAGCTCAGTGCAGCTCAGTGCAGCCCAGTGCAGCTCAGTGCAGCTCAGTGCAGCCCAATTTAGCCCAGATAACAGTAGTAACAGTGCAGTGTGCTTAATCCTTTCATTCTCACCTGACTCCTTCTCCATTCGATCAAGTGCTGAAAGTTGGCACCTGTTTTTAACTACACAGCTAACTCTGTGTAATCGCATGAATACTTGAGAGTTTAACTGAAACATATTTCAAGCAGGGTTTCCTTTCGTTGCTTATCATTGAGTCGACGAAGAACATTATCATATTATCAAATCATTTGTCTTTATAATGAAGTCTCGCCGACACTCAAACTCAAATACTTTGCGTTTGTTTCGTATTCCTATTTACTCATTACAACATATCCGCATTATGACGTTAGGAAATGGTGGCCGCGGAATGCGGATGCCACTGATTATAAGACAATAGAAAGAGCCAAGGAGTGAGAGGTTTGTTTAATGTTAGAATTTTAGTCTGGTCGTGGCTATTTGTCTCTTATAGCTCTTTTAGTTTTATATCTTTAAACTATACGGGGGAAAAAAACAGTGAGTCCCATAAGTCGTACCATTTTCTTGATTAAATGGTTTGTAAATTACACACGCACCTACCCACAGAGTATTCACTATTATTAAGTAGATTTCCGTGCTGATCAATGCCTTAGTGCAGTGCTATCAAACATTAAACGTAAACGTACAAAGGATTTATATAGGCTGCCATTGGGTAATCCTCTCGCTCTTTTTTACTTACTCTCTCAGGAAGACATATTATACCTCGATATCATCTAACGACCAAGTAAGCTGCTGTCTCAAATATACAAATTCAGATGATGATGAATAAGCATCATTGAGAATGTGGCATCGCAGTTTGGCCCACGAACTATAAAATTCGCACGTGTTTGCACTCATGTCATGTCAAATCATGTTTGCATATCATGCCGTCAGCCGTGGTCCACACTTCCCACCAACTCATGATAATATAAAGCAGGTACTGTGATCGTCACATATAAAAAATTAATATCATAATGAAGGAAATGCAGGTTAATTTGCGCTCGTGTGCTGCAGAGTCTCATGATCCAAGTCACGGATTGCAGCATGCAATAAATTGATCATCGCTCAACTGTCACTTTATTACTGTCAACTGTCACTTTATTAGTCCGGTTTAGACAAGTCTCTACGCTCCGGAGTCAACTCATTTCTGTCTGGCCGGCGGATCTCTGATTCGCTGATGAGAACGCACAGATTTATACTTGTCCAGTATCAGAGATCGTAGCAGTTGGAAGCAGATCATCTGGCATCGCTTCATTGCTGTTTTACTCGCTAATACGGATGTAAGACCTCCCGGGGACACTTTACCTCCCGCGAACATGTTACCTTTTGGTGTCCTGGTCAGTCGATACTCAAACAGTAACATAAACTAAAACACCAATCTTTCCCATCAATGTTTAGAGGTTGTTGTAAGCGAACACTTCAGCAAGGACGTATTACTATTTGAGTATTTGTAGTAGTCCTTCACAACGCAGAAATGGGTACAAAGACTTTTGAAACACCCTAAATGTGATTTGTGAGGTCATGAACCATCTTACCGGCCGCTAAAAGGCTACCATAACTTTATATTACACCTGGCCCGAACTGCAATCCATACACTTACAGAGAGCCAAACCCCTACAACAAACAATGAAACATAATTGTAACCCTTTGGTGCACAAACGCCCTCAAGTAAAAGTAACATATTGCATTTATTATAACAGAGGAAACTTTGTACCTTTGATTAATTACACCCTAGAAACTTATAAAGCTTCTTCACAAATGAAAAGCTTTATTTTGAAATTAGCTGTCATGTGCAAGGCTTAGATTGCTCTTATGAGAACCTGCTCTAGTTAGTTAGATCGAGTTTCCTAAAACAATAGAACTTGTGTAGTTGTCTGACAGCCCAGGCACTGGGTAGTACTACTACTAGTGAATGCTGGCTGAGACAGTCTTTAATTAACTCTTTCAGTTTTATTTTTAGTCGAGTCATTAAGATATCTTGTTAGTTCGATTAAACAGCTCACCAATTAAAGCAACTAATGCTCACCGTTCAATGAGGCATTGATACAATGCTTTTGTAGTCATGTTGTTTTGATGCTAGTGTTCATTGAGCTCCGTCTTGCTTGTGCAGTTGAAGGTTTTCGTTAGAATGCCAAGCCAACGCCCTAAGTTGATTAAGATTTCATGCTTGAGATTTATTCCTTCCATTTATGCAGGCAGTTGTAGCAAGATTCAACCTGACTAAGTTCAAGCATTTGAGAAATATTCCGTCTTTGAAGTTAAGTGATTGGTTTCAACTGATTCAAACTTTATTACATTATGCTTGGAAGCTATCATTAGAAAACAAAATGTAAAATGACTCGTTAGCTTCAATTCGCCCTCGACTAAATGCTTCAAAAATTGTATTAATCGAAACTCAATTAGTTGAACTATAGACATGTGAAATATCATATGCCTATCTTAAAACTTCTTCCTGTGACAATCTTCTTGGGAAAAACGTGGTCCATCTCGTGCGAACTTTCCTAATGACCTATGCACCTATGTAATCGTAGTAATCATGATCATAAGCAAACCTTTGATGTCATCATAAGCATATGATTATGATGACATCAAAGGTTTGGATATTACTTTCTGCCATCATAATTAAAATTCATAGGCACAGGCAATAATCATCGAAGATTTAGATTCGCTATAAGTATATAACTATTATAAGCTGCACCTAAAATTCCCCCTGCTTGTGCAGTCCTATTTGCTAATTTGCTCTCTAGCGGTGCAGCTGACCCGTTCACTATCTCATATCTACACGATCGGTAGGTCAGTGGATATTGTACATGTAGATTCTGATTAGTACCCTGCATACCCATCAATTGTTTGAAGGATTCAGCAATCATATGTTAGTATCTTGCTACATGTCTGCATACAATACTGTGCACCCATGCAGTAGACTGAAGAGGACACTAGGTCGGGAGGATACTATATAACAAAAGATACTTGTTTGAGAAAGCAATGCCAATACGCCGACTGCCAAAGTTCAAGGATATTATTAATTAGTTTTGCCTTCGATAATATTATTGACATAATCAACATAATTGACATAGCAAGGGACTTGACTTCGTACTGCTAAGCTTTATTGCCGTTTTAGAGTGCTTTTTAATCATACACACGTACATTTTACGTAGCAAGCCCCCCGAGTGCCAGTTTTTTAGATCCGGCTTATGCTAAAAAAGGTGTAAAGGTCCGCAGGCCGCTGACGGTACGTATTAATTTTGCACACTTTTTCAATCAATGTGGTTTATTTCACAATATACCGTATATGGAGGAGGCGTTATTACTATAGGTGCATAAACTTTGCATGAAAATCACTCTAAACCGGAACTGCGAGATTTTTCTAAAAGGGCCTCTCGTACCGACAGTTGCGAAACCATCTGGGATCGATGTATTTTTGAATGCTGATCCTGGATCACCCCACATGACATAGGGTCTAAATCCCCCCCCCCCCCCCCCTGGCGAGTTATCGGCTAAAACTGTTTCGATCACGTGACATGACCACCTAAGAAAGTTGGTATGATATCTCGTTTTGGTTAGAGTTTAGCATATGCTTCAGTTAAGGATTGGGTAAGGGTTGAGGTGAGAGTAAAGGGTTACTGAATTGTCCTCGAGGGCCATCTAGAGAACCTGTTTAAGTACGCCACGTGATATTCGAGTGTAGAGTACTTAATCATCATCCTGAACCTTCTTTAGAAATTTGTCTTAAATTTAATGTCATCGAACCAATCCATATTCTTGAGCTATTGCAAACTTATTCGTTTACTCTTCTGGCATATGTTAAGATCCTTGCCGCCTGCATGAATTAAACTGTAATCGATAAAGGGATCGTTAGAGTATAATTAAGATGGTCAGATTGCGATTATAGCACGTAGTACATAAAGGCACCTCTCGACATGGCTCCTTGATTGGTATCGTGATGAAAGTATCTTCATCAGTAATTTTATGTGTCCGTCCCCGGGTGCCGTGCTTTATATAATACCGATTGCCATGTATTAGTACATATATATATATATATATATGGCCATAAGCCAAAGAACGTCATATTTTCTTTATCTTGATTTATCCCTGATTTCTGATCGGAAAATGCCTCTATTTATACATAATAATGAATGATTTTTAAATAACCATAATTATTTAAAATTTGAAATGGCTCTGGATTTACGATCACATCTGTTAACTACATACGAATCAGATCGTTTGGTCATTACACCAAACCCCATGCAAATATAACTATATAACTTTAAAGCTTTAAGAGCACTCTTTACCGATCAAACGAAGGTTTTAAAGTTCAAATGTCCACGCTTATACTTTATAATAGTTTCATGGTTTGCGTAACGAAAGCTTACTCCCTACATTTAACATTAGTGTTCGCTGGAGGTTACATTTCATCTTAAAGCTATCCTATCTAGTTCAACGCAACCCTCGTTTTTCATTAAAGGTATTAGACTTAAGCCGTTTCTTCATTAATCACGCACGGAACGCTGGGTGGGACTTTACAAACATTGTGGCAGCAAAACATCTTCCATCTTATGAAATGAGCTGTTACACGTAAAATTCATTGCGGCCTCGTGTAATCTGTCTCGTACCAGGTTGCTTGATTGGATCTAGAATGAATTAGTAAATTGTCCTGAGATCCGTATTTTTGAGCACGCACGGAGACATGTCGACTATAAACTGCCGTCTTTTTATTGCTTTGTGACACGATCTTTTAATACCCACCACAGCCACCTCTCTCCAACTATGATTTTACTGAAGGATTATCTTGACAGTATAATTATGATTGTATATACGTGGCCCCTGGGTGCTCATTTCAGAGTTGGAGAACAAGTACATTGCATCTGTCAAGCGTCTCGTAAACGCGAGCTAATGAATTGTTCTGATTGAGGAATATCACGGGAACTGTACTATATGTCACATGGGTTACTAATGTTAATACGTTCGCTAACTGGCCAGCACCATGTTTGTTTTCTTCATGATAATTTATAGCCCTGTTGTTCGTGCTACAGCCGCATCTTACAGGCCTATTAATTTCAACCTGTCAAAAATCTCTACGAGGATTCGAATAGTGTCATTTCAATTTTGCTGTTGCATCAAACCCGTTTTCAGATTTAAATTTTGGTGCTGCTAATCGAAGTTCAGAATTTACTCATACTTTTTGCTTCAACGATTTACCTTGAGAACGGAAGGGCAGAGCACCAAGTCCGCTAACGTAATTTCCGTCCATTTAATTTCCACCAGAATTAAAATCTGTCAGCATCTTCATTCTTCTGGTGTATTAAAGTATATTAGTTGATTAACCTGGCTGATCGACCTCTCACAATCTTGCTTTTTATTATTCACAGTAAAACGACTACACAGCTGCTGTTTTCCAAACAACTGGCAAAAATTAAAGCAAAAATTTTCAAAAGAACAAAGAGTTTGTCGATTTGCCTAAATAAGGTGCGGCTAGGTAATTCACTTCTGAACGCTGATAACGTTGTTGTCAAATGTCTCCACAGTCAAAAAATTTCGCCATTTATATCTTGATAACATTTGATTCTTGTTGAAATTATCAGAAGGCATAATTTAAATGTACTTTTAGGAACCAATGGCGTCTGATGACACTAATTTAATCGGGAATTGTCACTAATGATGTTAAATGGTGCCATTCCAGTGACAATGTTAACGCCAATAGATGATGATTCCATCCTTACCAATGATGTGAATTCAGTAATATTATTAATGATATATATTATACTAGAAACCCGCTAGTCGAAAGCTTTGTTCGAGGAAATTTTAAAAATCAGTTATGTTTTAATTTCTCTTCATCATATAGCTCTGTTATACTGTAGACATAATGGAATTTATCTAACAATGGCGACAGCGTTGTTAGTATTCGGATTCCCAAAACGATACTTTTTACCGCATCAAAAAATACCAATCACAACCAAAGTTATGAATATAAGTCATAGCGTGAGCGTAAATGTGAGCTAGTTTTGAAATCATGACGTAGCATACAGCATAACAACGCGCGTAGTTAAGATGTTTTTGCTCGCGCACGTGCATTTTAACGTTGCTACGCAACAGCGCAGTAAACCTTTGCTAAAATAACGACATTATTCTAACGGTTATTTTACCTCACTTCCGACGTTAATTATAAAAAATCTAAAGCCTAAATCAAAATTCTAAGAATGCTATAGCCTATTCCTATCCTTTTTCTACAACCCTGCTAAAAATGGCGAGGTTTCAACTCCATTTGCGAGCTGGGTTTGATTTCACCAGAGGGTCATTTTGAGGTCGATTTTCGGTGTTTTTTCTTCTATGTCCCCGTTGCCGGGGAAATTTCGTCAAGTTTAAATTATAGTATAGATATATAATAAACCTAGCATGCCTTGGTTGCAGCATCTCTTCACTTATACTTATAGGTGCATATAGGGCCCGATGTAATTGCTATGACCAGTTTACTGGTCAACTGGTGTTTCGGTGTCCCTAATTTTGTTTACACTCGGTCACTTGTTAAGGCATTTAAGGTCATTCGGCGAACTTTCTTTGAAATAAAATGATGGATTAAACAGGATTAAACATGAGATTACCAGAGAGAACACTAACGGACTCGTCTTGGCTATACAAGAATGAATAAATGAATAAATAAAATTATCAAAACTGAATCATTTAAAAATAATAAAATTTAACCGTTTACAATTTCACGAAAATAAAAGAAGATCGTCTATAATAATTTAAGGTAATACAGTAAATAAAGTTCGAGTACTACATCTGTTTGCGAGGGTTAAGGGACGTTTTAGGAGGATTACGTAGATTTGAGGAGTCTGTAAGGTACTTCCCGAACTCTTTTATATGTGGTGAGTTCATTATTGCTCCATATTCTTTTAGCATCAACAGACTTTTGAGGTTGTCAGAGAGGTTGGACCTGAGTTGATGGTAGTAGGGGCACTCAGCTAGGACGTGGTCTTCGGTTTCTAGAATGGGAGTTTCAAAGAAGGGGAGCTCCTCTAAAAAATGTATGACATCCGTTTCTGAGGAGCAGCAGAAGCGACACGTTTTAAGAGCTGTGTTGAGTTGATCTTTGGTGTAGCGACCTTTTTCTATCCTAAGATCGTGACTGCTAGATCGGAGTTTAGCAATATTGACCCTTTTAAGCCGGCAGGGGAGCTGTAAATAGGGTTCTTCGCCAAACTCGAATTTAACCGCTGTGTAGAAAGACATTTTGGGCTGGTTGAGGAGATCTCTCTTCCAATGGTCAACAAATGTCTCATGTATGTACTCACAAGCGTCTAGGGTTAGGTGATAACTGCGGCTTGGAGACTGTACTCATCTTGGCAATAGTTGACCACGCATCATACCAGGTTAGATTCAGTAGCTTTTGCTCTTGAAAGGTGTGGTGCAAAAGAGTGTTCACGTTACCTTCTACCGCCAGTGATGCCCGATGGAAGTAAGCTAAACATTGGGGAATGACGGTAACTGTCCAGGGGGTTCTACCAGTGTCACCATAGCAGAAGTTGTTATTAGCTTTCTTGTGAACGCCTAGTATCCATTTGAGAATCTTCAGATGAGTTGGTTCGAGAGGATCTTTAGCTGCAGATTTAGGCAGGCTCACTTCTTCTTTTTTCGACAGGATAGCCTTTACGATGTTTGTTGATGAGAGCCAGACGGGACATGCATAGGTCGCTACAGGCTTTACTAGACTATCGATAAGTTTAAGCATCGTGCTGGTAGTGAGCGCTTTTGTGTTGATAATTCGCCTCATTGAGAAGAATGAGCGTAGAGCTTTCTTCCTAAGTTCGTCGATAGCTTGCTTAAACGATCCATTCAGAGAGAATTGGATTCCGAGATAGCAGTATCTTTTTACTGGTATAATGTCCAGGCTTCCTAGTTTAAAGCCATAAGAACATTTAAGTGTTCGTGAGCTTGTATTGAAGACCATCACACTGGTTTTGTCGATGTTCACTGATGTATTTGTGTAACAATTTGAAATTTTATTGATTAAAAAAAATTATTGCAGATCGCTCCCACTGAATCGCTCGCCTCAATTAAAAAAAAATTCTTGTGAAAAGGCTCTGAGGGTATGCAAAAGTAATCTGAGTAGGACGCTGATTCCGAATCTCCAATACTCCATGTCATGCATTTTTTGTTTTTAAAATAATTCAAAACATCATGCAATTTTATCAAAACATTGTGCAATTTCATCAAATTCTCCATTTTCCACCTTCATGTTGATCCACACTATAAATATCTCCGGGATTTCGACGCGGGATCATATTATCACTCAGCCCGGCCCGCTGTTAGATAAACATCTCAAGGTGATATCATCCCGCCCCGGAAATTTGTATAAACCCGGCCCGCTTTTTAGTCGTAACTGATGTTTATCATTCAATTCTTCGACTTACAATAATCAATGATACTGCTGATTAGAACTCGATAATAGTAGAACAGTTAGACGCGCGATCACGTGGGCGCGTCACGTGCGTACCACGTGCCACCAATAGCATACGCCGAGTCTATACCACGTTACTGGGCCGCGCTCAGCCTGTCATTCCGCCAAATCTTTATTCTTTAATGTTTATGAACATAATATAGCCTGGGGTCCCCAGGTAAATACCACGTGACACGAAAGCGCACCACGTGATATGAAACATCGTAACCGTCCACTTCTTTTACACGCAAATTCCTGGGAACGTTGCCAAAGCAGCTAATTCTTGGAATTTCTCCAACGCGTGGCGTGAGAAGTTGGCGACTAGCCAGCTACCCTTGTCCGTGCCCTAAAAATAGTATTGTAATTTTGCTTGCTCTCCTTCCAGCTCTTGTTCCTGCTAACGTTCAAGCTATTGCTCGACTATGACATGGACAGATCGGTTTGACATTCAGATTGATGAACTGCTTTCCAATCGTGTTCCGGACAGTACAGTTAGAGTCAACAACTGGGCTCTAAACAAATTTAATTCTCTTCTAAAGTATAAATCCCTTGTCGAAATCGCCGGAGATAAAATATAATCCATAAACACTTCACGCTCAGGGCTAAATAAATGTAATCCCTCAGCTGGCGCTTCGGGATTACATATTAACACAAAACTCGTGCGCTGCGCGCACTCGTATGTGTTTATCAGATCATCCCGCTAGCGCGGGATGATCTGTTATATAAACCCTTTGCGTGGCGGGTTTATGTTATTATAACTTAAAACGTTTTTATAGCCCACTATTTTACAATTAGTGATCATTTCTAATTTATGACCCCTGTCCTTTTCCAGACGAACAAGTTATAAACATATAGGTACATCACTCAATTCATTTCGATGTTTCAACATTAATAATCAGCACAGGATCATTGCTCAATCTCAGTCAAGATTATAATATCTCTTAGGATATTTGAGACCCGTTTAAGCCCACAATAATTAATTAAGGTTGTCCAATCAAAGGCCTCCAAATTATAAAATAATTAAATAGCCTCTCTCTGACTTGAAAGATAAAGTCTAACTATTTATTTCTCCAGTTGTAATAAGGATATGGATTTGTGTACCAACTTGCCAGAGAACCTGTGCTCTAAACCCATCGACCTGACCAATGTTGGCAGTCTTAACATTATATGCTGGGACCAGTTCCTCAGGTTTGTAGGTTTGCTGTCTTTTGGTTAGGTTTCTTAGGTTTATCCAGTTCCTCAGGTTTGTAGGTTTGCTGTTTTTTGGTAAGGTTTCTTAGGTTTATCCAATTCCTCAGGTTTGTAGGTTTGCTGTTTTTTGGCAAGGTTTCTAAGGTTTATCGATTGTTTCAAATACTTTTTAAGGTAAACATGATTATTTTCGAATTTTGAACCTGTTTTCGAAGAACAAATTTCAGACTGACGAGGCTTGATGACGACACTGACTGGCACGATCAGTTTTTAGCTCGCACCTACAGCGAAGAGGAGTTTATGAGAAAGAGAAAAGAGAATGTAAAGAAACGTTCCAAGAGCGACACAAGCACGAGACATCTCCCTCAACAAGCGAACTTTTTCCCTAACAAATCTGCATCTGCATCTCCTGCAGTAAGCGTCCAATAAAATGTGTTTGTTTAACTTTACATGGATTTAGGCTTTCTGTTTAATTATAATGTTCATCTTTGAAACCGACTATTGTAAGCCCTGGCTACAACCAAGTCAAAATAGTTTTTTGTAACAATAACTTATAACTGAGCTTTTCAATTTCTATCATATCTTGGAAAACAGTCAGAGAAGTCGGAGAAGAAGTTCGTGAGGCAAAACTCGGCGAGTTACAGACATTCCTTACCGGGCATCGTTGAAAATGGGGTTTATACCGAACAGCGAGCTGCAGATAGAAAGTGAGTAGCGGTTAATTCGTGATTTGGTGGTCTTCGTGCTAGTTTCCGCTCAGAATTCGATAATAAATAACAATGGAAATCATCACGCTCTTAAAATACCAATCACATCGCAAACGCCTCACATCGTCACAACCCAGTTAACGGTAGTAAATTTTAATGTTCATATACATTAATGTGTTTAGACAATTCAATATTTAAATGAAAATTAACAGGCACATCTTTCAGGGGTTTTACAGAGAATTTTATGGAAATAGACCAGACGACTAATCTAGATAAGAAGTCAGTTTCGATGTCAGATCTGCGTAACGTGAGCCAGAATACTGGAAGTAGTAATTTCTTTTCCAAATTCACAGCTACAACAAAGAGCCAAGAGAACCTCTCTATGGTAAGTACATTTGTCTTCATTGGAAGTTCAGCAAATATTCTGGAATGAGGTTTCCCCCTTGTTTTCTATATGCTACAGGAGCAAATTAGTACACGTACTCAAGTTCGACACGCTCTCTAGTTCTACACGTATTGTAGTTCGACAAACCTTAAGGTTTGACTCTGTCGAACTAAAATGCGCTACTGTCGAACTAGAGTTTTGAAATCTAGGTTATCAATCTATTTTCCTGTTAGCTAGATCAGAACCGAGTGGCAAACAGGAGAATTAAAACTATACTGAAAGGTTTTGGAATTTTTAACCGCTGGTTGCTAGAGGTTAGAAAATTGTTTTATCTGCCATTGACATTGAGTGGCTCAGTGGCTTAGTTGGTTAATCTGCTTGTCTACTGGCCCTGACGTTGCGAGTTCGAATCCCAGTTGGGCCAAGATTTCAAAATAGATGGGCAGCCGTCACTCACCAAACCATGGTGTGAATGGTAGTGGCTCTCATTAGAGCTGCGAAAATAATACGAGTGCATATGCCTGGGGTTGCGTCCCGACTATGCTGCAGGGAAATCTGTACCGAAAGGACCGTCGCCGCACCGCAAAAGAAAAGGAGATCGGCCCCTCGATCCTAGCTTGCTAGGTTCGCCATTGTTGTTGTTGTTGTTGTTGTTGTAACCGCTGGTTGCTAGATGTTAGAAAATTGTTTTATCGGCCATTGAACCCTGCGATCCTATTCCTATGATGAGTACCCGGCAATTATAGCCGTTGGATCACAAGCAGAATATATTTGTCGAACTAGAGTACGCTACCTGGACTTTAGTTCGACACGTACCGATAAGTTCGATGTTCGACAGGGGTGATATCTAGCAAACTCAAGTTGTCGAACTATAGTGCACGTGTCGAACTAAAGTACGTGAATGGAGAAAATTGGGAGGAGGGAAGGGTTAGATAGGGACAGAAGCTTCGCTCAGAATCAGATATAAGCCGGGCCTTCTCAGCCTTTTACAGAACATGCTGATATTATTTTATAGTTTAAACTTAAAAAACTAAACAATTTAACTCTAGTTGCTAACGAAGATGGAATTGTTCAGCAGGGGAAGGACGGGACGAGATACCGACCTGATGCGCCGTTAAAGGACGGCATCTCACAACGAGTGTCAAACGTCAAACGCATGCTCCGGCTTAATGGCTTGATGCACTCGGAATGAACAAAACCTTCATGAAGACCTACCCACTACCGCCATGCTCTACATCACGGAAATATGCAAATGTTCATTCCAAAACCATAATTAACCAACTAAATATGTTAGCAGATTTTTAATGTCAAGCAGATTGGAATACAGTGGTGTTATCAGTTTCATACCATACATGTTGGTATGTAACTATTGGTACTGGGGGTGTGAGGCTATAATGGAAGAATATGTCGGACAACTTCATCAGCTATAAGCAGAAAGCTTGTTGCTAAATCACAAGCTGCATTTCCGAGCGATGTGAAGCATAACTGTTGATGGACTGTGAATAAACCTGTTAAATTGAGCAATTTAGTTTAGATTCATAAACTGAAAGATCTGTTGGGTATTTTAAATGGTTTATTGATTGTTGCTAGACGCTAGTTCTATGTCCAAGATTAATGATGATAATCGAGCTGAAAATTTATCGGTACATTCGTAATTATTTGGTGTCTTTTTTAGTTTTAAGTTATGCGTCAAGGTCATATACTTATTATGCAAGGCATATTGGGATTTGTTTTATTTGAACAGATCGGTTTCATGTGCCTCTCATTCAAATGGTGAGTGACATAGCAAGTGACAACCCAGAGAACGTTTTATTTATCACCGGACGGAACAAAAGTGAAAAGTTATCGGACCACCATAAAATCAAAAAGTTCCGAAACTTTGATGTGGTGGAATTAACTTCATATGTCCTAGTATAGAGTGTCTTCCAAATCTAAGCCAAGCTAATTAATCTTAAATTGGACGTAACTACTACTAGCAGTAGCACTGCAATACGATGTGAGTTGTGAGTGGAACATGTGAATCTGCCCATTCTTTCAAATATGAAAATTTCTGAATACAATTTTGACAGATTGGATGGACTACATGCATTGTGCCCCTACTTGCCGTGTCTCTACTACAGTCACAGATGGCATCAAGATACAAATTGTTAGCCAATTCTCGGTTTTAGAGATTCTTATTCTTAGATTCTTAGACTAATTGACCCAGTCAAAAAAGTTTCAGTTGTATATCATATATCTTTTACAGTTTTTGCGGAAAGTCGCGTTAAAGTTGATGCTAGCATCAACTTTAACGCGACTTTCTGCAAAAATAGGGGGTGCACCATAAAAATAAACATGCACGGATTTTAAAAATTTTTGTACCATTGTTTTCTAGAGACTGTGAGAATTTTCACGATACCAAATTTGTCATACCTTTTTGGAAAAATCAGTGAGTTTCGCCTCGGTGCCATATTTGATGGTGCGCGGCTTTTGGAGCAAAATTAGCTGTAAAAGTCGCGTAATTTGACCAAATTTGACCAAATTCGTTGATTTTTGTCGTATTATTTGGATATATTTACAGTTCTAGTTCCTTGAATGAGATCATTCTGAAAATTGGCGACGACCTTCCAATAGGGCTTTCACAACTGTCCGAAAAATTTGGTGGATATCGGAGTTGATATAGTGATCAAAATGGGGCAAAATACGCGGCTTTTAGCTGTAACATAATTTCTGATGGTTGGATATGCTTTAAACTTTTCGGACACTTTCCTTCACCTTGTAAGTCTATGAGTAAGCTTACCAATTTTTGTTGCACGGATAATATATCCGTGGCCGTACCATTTTACTTCACCTAACCATGTGCTTTCGCGCCACTGCGGGCGCGCTTGTTTCACAAGTCAAGAAAAGCACCTATCCACGAACCCCGATGGGAAGGTTCGTGCGCGCGCGCGCAGTGCTGACAACAGCGTCTATGTAGCGCATGTAGTCTTGGCACTGCACTTCTCCCTCCAGTAACCACTTTTCAGGTCTTTCAGTTTGAGTTAAGACAGCTAATGCATAAGGGCTGACACACGTTAAATTTATTACAATGTCAATAAATTTGGTAAATTTCTAGCTTTAGCTGCCAGAAATAAATGTTCGGTTTCTATAGTGTATAGGGGTTAATTAGGTATAAACTACAGTATAGCTGTACTTACACCTACATTCACAAGCACAAAGCATGCAAGCAAGCTAAGCTCACCTGGTCCAATGAGCGGGAAACGGAGGAGGCGGGAGGCGGGCGCGCGCTACTGCAAGCGCAAGGGCTCTGGATAGAGCAACCATTTTACTGACACCACGGCATCAACTTCAACACGATTTTCCGCAAAAACCGTAAAAGATATAAAACTTAAACCTTTTTTACTGGGTAAAATGTCTTAATGGCCTTCAAATAAAATTTGGAGGACTTCGCCGCTTCGACGCGCCGCGCGAACTAGCAATAGCATTCTTGCTTCGTCGTCGATCTAGCATTCGTCGATCTAGCATTCTTGCTTCGTCGTCGATCGTTGCTCTGCTTCGCAGAGCAACGATCTCGACGGATTGACATCGTCAATCAAAATAAAATCAGCATGAAAAAATTAAAAATTGGCCAAGAAATAAAAATTTGAGTGCCCAAAATTTGGACCCCCAAGTGGTGTCAAAAACGCGAATTAAATAGCGTCCCAGATATTGTTATTTATCGTTTTTTGTACATGCCACCTGACCATCCAATAACCTTACGGAGGACGCACCTTATATTTATAATGGGAATGCCGCATGAATGAATTTTGGAAAGAAGAATAAGTCCTCGGGAGCGAGGTGTTGTAGGGTCCCAACCCTACAATTATAGTCCCATCATATCAACTACTGTTATTGTTTGCACCTGCCTGGCAACCGCAGATTAGACAGTAGTTGTGGCCAGCATGACAGTGGAATGCAATTATCTGAAGCGTTCACCGCATGCTACGGACAGCAAAACCACACAAATTGCGTTCGGTGGTTTCCGGCAGGGACATGTGGTTTGAACTCAAAACCTATAATCACTGCCGGAAAAACGTCATGATAAGGTTTTATAAACATGAACTAAAGATTCATCCAGCTAGAATCAATTAGTGAGTCCTGAAGGGCTAGAATGACTACACCGTCTAGCTAAAACCACCACCGGAAATGCGTCACGTTTGTTTACACGAGAAAGCTCATCGGCTGGCACTCCTAGGGAGTGCCGACAATTAGTAGGACTATAAAACCGCCCCCACCTTCAGAAAACTCTTCGTTCTTTGTCTCAGCCCTTTCAGTCCTTTCACTCTTTTTGTTCGAATCGAAATAGTTAAAGTTTAATAGTAATTCAACACTTGTAGTTTTCGTTTAACATTGTTTCCTAAAGTTCCCGAGTTTCATTACCGAGTTCACAACAAACTAAAATAACACAACGCAAATTCGAAGTCCTAACCTGAAAGCACTGACTACCATAGACGGTCAATCTCATTAATCTGGTAGTTACAAAGTGGTGCTGCGACCGAAGAACCTTTACTGCAACAACCAACATACAGGTACCAAAGCACCTTTCTCCAGTTGAGCACTAATTTTGTTACAATACCAAATAGTATAGCCATGTCACATCATTCGTCACACCACTCGCTTGATGTGGATTCTCCCATTCAAAATCCATTAGAGACGGAACAGGACCATAATACCAACACAGCTGAGGCAACCAATCGACCAGCTCTTCGACCGAAAATGTTCGCAAATACAGAACAGGTCGACCAACTGAGTGAGGGGGATAGGCGTCCCGGCATGAATCAGCAACCATTAGGCGAAAAGGGATACCTATCTTGGACAGCCGAGTACAACCGTCGGCACCAACAACCTCAATCACTGAATGCTCTTCCAGCAAGGACCCCTAACAGTATGTTCAGGGGTAGGAAGCCTAATGAATATAGTTACGGTGATGACATTCACGATTACTTAAAGAGTTTCGATAACTATAAGATGGTTACCGGATTACAGACTGAACAGGCGTTTCAGGTTTTCTGTACGTTTTTAGACAACAGAAGTCTGAACAGGGTCCTGTCTCTGAAGCTAACAGGTAAACAGCTTGCAAATTGGGAGTCTGTCAAGGAGAAGGTCATCCAGAAACTGGATCCAACATACGACACGGAAAGCTCTATAGATGAGCTGTTTGCCGTGAAGCAAACTGGGTCGGAGACGACTCAGGACTTTGCAGACCGGCTGGAGAAAACAGCACAAATGATATCGGCTTGCAAGTTCATGGCTGGTGAAGCTACTGATAAGTTGATGAAGGACGCTTTTATAAACGGTCTTAAGTCCCAACAAATGATGTTTTGCCTGTTGCAGAAAAGCAAGCTCACGTATGACACAGCTTTGCTGGAGAGCTCTAAACTAGAAAAAATCCTAGGAAAGATCAAAGCGAAAGTAACCAACTTAGATTCATTAAATGATGCAGCGGGACTCTTAACAATCGAGGAGAAGGAAACCCCTCATTTTCAGCCATTTCAAAATAAGTGCTGGGCTTGTCGTGAAGTAGGCCTGGTTAAGAAAGACTGGCCGGAACCGGACCATCGGAAGTGTCACAATTGTGGTATGCCTGGTCATCTGATGAAGGACTGCAGATTCCCAATAGAAGGTTGCACTTATTGTCAGGGCAACAACCACACGATAAAAAACTGTTTTAAGAAAGAGAGAGACGACAAGGAACAGGATCGTTATTACAACCAACCAAGCTCCAACGAATTTGACGAAGAATCAGTTATTTGTAATCGGAGTCCATCAGAAGATACTGGACACACGTCTTGTGCTGTGTCAAGAAGTCAGGCCATCGATAGAGGAAAGCGTGTAAGATTTAACCAACCTCCGGAACCTGTTAGTACAGTTCTAGACGAAGTGGAAGAGCATGCCATGAATTACTCACCATACTTTGATGAAAGGCAGGTTTTTCTGACTGACGATGAAGAGTTTATTGAAGAAGAGGCCAGGTTGGAAAACTACTAAGCACCATCAAGGAAAATCATGATGTGAAAACAGGTTCACACCGGTCAACCACAGCACGCGAAAGTATACGTGCAGGTTGTGTTGCCATTGAACCACAACGTGTACTCGCGAAAAGCGAAAGTACACATATTTTACTAGACACTTGCCATATTATGGTATCTTGAAGCTATACACGTAAGTTGCCACGTCACCAAGATGCCAATGTGCTCCAATGTAATTCTTGATATTACCATGTTACAAAACTTATGGCACAACTCCACAAACAACAGAACTTCCACACAGTCTGGAACAACTAATTGCCCGTCACTGCCAGAGCTCGATGTGTGCCTGTGGTTAATAGTTGGTTAACATCATTGCAACTTTGCTCTCGGTCTCCATATTCGATCTCATTAGTCGAGGAGAAAGAGCATATAATCTTATAATGGTAAATTGCCCGGATCCCGCAATACCCTAGATATTTTGCATGAGTTTAACTAAAACAGACAACAGGTTCACAAGAACATCCAGAGCATTGGCTCTTCCTGAAACATTATTCATGGAATCATGACAGCAGATAATGCGTTAGTTCCAACTCTGTGAGAGCTGAGATAATTGTGCCAGTAAGCGTTCATTTTATTACGGACGTTACAATGTTTTAAAGGGCCATGGAGCACACCTGATATTCTAAAGCGGATCAGCAAATCAGTCAAAAGCGAAAGTCGGGCTAAGTCGGAGCCAGCTAGGAGATCTGATGTGAGAAATCAAACTCCCCGAAAGTAATTGCAATTGGAGAAACAGACTGATATAAATCAGAGAATTTTAGAACTAAGGGTACGTGTGCTAGGCTATCATTATGTGCTTAATGATTCTAGGGTAAAATCACACCTGATCAGGTCTAAAGAAGGAAAAATGGGTACTGCAGTATGCCGAGCTAAATATTTCAGCTATACATTGCTGGGCCGACCAGTAGATGCATCTACTAGATAATGTTTCGGACATGCGCAAAGCAGAGTTGGGTACAGCAACTACCCAGGGTCCGAAGTTGCCACATTATCACATCGCAATAACAAATGCGGGTCGGCGGTCGACCAATTTAATTTAAGACCCCACACATGAGCCTGATGAAGAGGCTGTTACGTTGATTGTTTCAACGAAGATAGACCACATTGTCCTATAGACCGTTTCAAGCATGATTGTTATCATGGCAATGGATTGTTACACTGCCATGATTGATGAAACGAACAATCATTGAAAGATTTAAAATTGTTGAAGTAACCTGATCATAATGATAGCTGTGAAATCGCGCACCGTAATTTGTGCCTGGATTGTACCAACAGTGGAATTAGAGTTCAATTGTCCAATCAAGTGGATGTCATTACAACCTTGTCATGTAGGTTCCTGTGAGAATTCATACCATAACCAAGTCGAAAGTACATGTCATTGAAAGGAGAAAAGATACTGAAGTATGCAGTTCATATTACATATTATTAGAAGCATTTTTCGGCTCCATGGCCATATGGATTATGGAGGTCCATCACGATGCTATTGGAATATTAGAAGACAACCAGTTTCCCCATTGAATGAACAGAAGAAGTTTATGTCAGTCAGAGCTCAGGTTCCATATGCAAAAGAGTTTAGACTGTACTCATTTGCTCAGTTATACATCATTCACGATCACACTGTAGTCATGGCATAACAATTTGGTACCTGTAGCAAATAAAGACCTTAGAGTCCGTGTACTTTGTACACATGCGAGCGACGTCGCGGTAAAACGTGACTATGTACTCTCCAAAAGATGACGACACAGACGGAATATCAACTTCTCAAAAAGCTGGATTGTCACCTCACTCTCCTGTTGTCAGTTTTGCGGATTCACGACCCAAAGAACAACAGTCACCCCTCACGGTGTGACAATGACCAGGAAGATGAGGACTTTTACAAACAATAGCTCGTCCGACCATATGATGTAAGATATCATTACAGTTATACAAACTAATTTGTTCATATTATTCTAAGTTTAAAGTAAATTAGTTAAAGTGATTTTAATAAGTATAATAATTTTAGTGCAATTTAGTTTATGTAGAATTAGCAGATTATTACATAAACGTAGGATATTATAGTATTATGTAAATAATTAAGTAAATATAGTGCAAAATAAATTCTTTTTTTAATGTGTGTATATTTAAACTTTAGGGAAATTAAAATTTGTGTGAAAACAGATTATTATGTAAACGTAGGTTATTATTTTCGTAAATACCAAATAAAAATATATGTCTAAAGAAAACATCATTTAATAAGTTATAAAAAAAATATAGATTATGTGTAAGTGTGAAATGTATATGAAACATTATATTATATTATAAAAGTAATATACAATCATATAACAGAGTGTATTTAAATATTGTGATAAAAGGATTAAAGTTTTTTTAAATAAATGTGTATGTTATTTAAATGTTATGTGTATTTTTGACACTATTTATCATAGATTGTAGAGTAAATTACTCCCACAATCAAATCAACAGCATCATTTTTAAATTTTAGTACGAGATTTTATGTTCAAAAGACCGAGAAGAATTGCATTATTTTATGTATTAGTTGTAATTCAAACTCGAAGATCAGTATGTTAAAAACGTATATTTAATCATAACAGTTTTCTAAAGGAGGGTGGAGTTTGTAGGGTCCCAACCCTACAATTATAGTCCCATCATATCAACTACTGTTATTGTTTGCACCTGCCTGGCAACCGCAGATTAGACAGTAGTTGTGGCCAGCATGACAGTGGAATGCAATTATCTGAAGCGTTCACCGCATGCTACGGACAGCAAAACCACACAAATTGCGTTCGGTGGTTTCCGGCAGGGACATGTGGTTTGAACTCAAAACCTATAATCACTGCCGGAAAAACGTCATGATAAGGTTTTATAAACATGAACTAAAGATTCATCCAGCTAGAATCAATTAGTGAGTCCTGAAGGGCTAGAATGACTACACCGTCTAGCTAAAACCACCACCGGAAATGCGTCACGTTTGTTTACACGAGAAAGCTCATCGGCTGGCACTCCTAGGGAGTGCCGACAATTAGTAGGACTATAAAACCGCCCCCACCTTCAGAAAACTCTTCGTTCTTTGTCTCAGCCCTTTCAGTCCTTTCACTCTTTTTGTTCGAATCGAAATAGTTAAAGTTTAATAGTAATTCAACACTTGTAGTTTTCGTTTAACATTGTTTCCTAAAGTTCCCGAGTTTCATTACCGAGTTCACAACAAACTAAAATAACACAACGCAAATTGAAGTCCTAACTTGAAAGCACTAACTACCATAGACGGTCAATCTCATTAATCTGGTAGTTACAAAGTCTTAACTAGAACGTATTTTTACGTTCGTATTTTCTGAACAATTTGCCAATCATGCGCCCATTGTTTCAAGTTTTCTATTCTGCGTGAATTTGGGTCGCCGTTTATTAATAGTAAATAGTTGGTATTAACGTAAAGATTTTACTTGTACGCTCACTCGCAATACCTGAAAGCGACATCTGGAAATTCTTATCTGTCGGTTTAAATCTTCTATCAAAGGAACCTTAACCAACACCTCGTACAGACTCATGGTTTCTGTACACTGTACACTGTACACTGAACACTGTACACTGTACACTGAACACTGTACACTGTACACTATACACTGTACACTGTACACTGTACACTATACACTGTACACTGTACACTGCACTGTACACTGTCTCTGGATCGGAGCGTAGTGTTTTTAATATTAATTAATTGGGTCCCTAAATTGGAAGTAAAGCTCTTGTTTTCCTGCAACTCTACTCCATACCTTAATTCCAGATTTTCAAAGAGGAATTGAGTAATTACAGCCAGTAACCGTAAGATGAGCAGAACAAACCATTGCAAGCCAAGCTGCAGATCCGAAGTCTGAACCATCGCACCACCTCTTACCTGGGGACCTCAGGCTATTATGTTCATAATAGAGATTCGGCGGAATGACAGGCTGAGCGCGGCCCAGTAAACCACCTCAAACCTAAGTTATTTCTATTGCTTGATCACACAGACTCAGGTAAACAGGAATTAAATACTTTATCATTTATCACAAGTAAAAACAAATAACATAATTTCAATCTAACACATCAAGGTAGGTAATCAGAAAATTCCAATCTACCAGTACCACGTAAAACAGTGACAAAATTCACTCTATTTTGCAAAATTAAATTTTAAGTCAATCATATGATGGCAATCTATGTCTCATACTCTCTAAAATATTTTTGTCGAATTGTTTGTCCTCGTAGGAAAAATCTGTGCAGTAAGCATATCTTTGGATATAATAACTGTGCAGAAGTTTGATCTCTTTACTCATAATTTAAGATTCCTTAAAGAATGCCAGTAGAACTAATTTTCCTTGCTCATTCCGTATTATTACAATTATGGGGTAAAATCTTTCTCGATGTCCATAATAGAACGAAAACATTTCATACAAAAACTTCGTATAATTCTATGGAACGTTAGGGAATAAGAACTTGACCTGAAGCTGAAGGAAAACTGACCTCTATGGCCAATTTTAAGGCACCAAAATGGAAGGTAAATCACGGCATTTTCTTGTTCACATCGTCATCAATGAATGAGAATTAAATAGAGTCGAAAGCTATAAAAATGTTAAATGTTCGCTTCTTTCAGCCGGTCACTTCTGTTAGCAGATAGTCAACAAAGCGGAGTGATGACTCAACAGTCAACATGTATAAAATTGATAAATCTGAAGAAGGAACCGTTCTGACAGAAATATAAATATTGTGAAGTAGGAAAAAATCCATATTTTTTGTCAAATCAAATTGAAATATGAAGCACGTATATCGTTTCAAAGCAGGGATAGCATACTATCTATGTTATAAATTAAATAAACTTTTAAAAAGTAAAATACTGTGAGTGTGACTCAAATCCATTCATTATGAATTTACCGTCCTCAATCATTTGATATCAAGAATCAATCTGTATCGCAAGATTCATATCAAATTTACAAAAAATTTAAATGGACCAGAACTATTTCTACTATCTTACAAGAAAACGACCAATTGTGTATAATTCATCGCTTCAACCCCATGGTATATGATAAATGATTCATCTATATCTCATGTTACTCCCGTAAATGGACGCGTTAAACTTAAAACGTCTTCAGACTTCAAACGCTAATAAAATAGCTTCTTACAAGCACAAAGAGTTTCGCTATGATAATAAATAATTTGGCACGGTGACAACAAAATATCAAGTATCAGCACCATCTGTCTTACTCTTGCAAATCATATCATTCTGTTGGGCTCAGTTAAAAGAATAAAAACTTGGTTAAAATATCATCTGGAGTCCAAGTTTGGGAGAGAACTGGATCTCATTGTCAGATACTTTCTCTGAACATTTACATTGTCTAACAACAGTGCGAACACTCGCAAACTCACGGGACAAGAATTCTTTTTCTCCTGTTTCTTCTCACGTTCACTTCTGTTGCTGGGTTCTCTGGATCTGGAGACAGGGGACCGAGACCGAGCTGGAGCGGGTGAGTTGGATCTCACTCCAGCTGGTGAGTGGGACCGGGACATCACACCGCTCCTGCCAGTTTCCATACAAATCAGGTTACAAAGGGAACTCACGTCGCTCAACGAGGCCAGCTCCAGTTCGTTGGTACCTATAGACCCTCTCTCCCACACGCTGTACGACAAGTTTGATATGTTGTCCGCTCTGAGGGAGGAGATGGAATCTTTCTTGTGAGCTACCCGCGGTGCGATAACTCCCCTCGGAGAGTCAGATCTACCCCGGGTGGGTATAGGGGAATCTCCTAAAAACAGATTACATTTGGAGGTCTTATCCGAAATGAGGGAGTTCTTGCCAGCGCTGATGGAATCAAAAACCTGACTGTCTGTCAAGGATTGGGTTGTTTGGGAATCGAGTGATTTAGTGTCTGGTTTTGTTAGCAATGCGTTCTCCTCGTGGTTCAGCTGCAGGGCCAGTGCCATACTTTCTCTTTCTGTTGCTGGAGCAGCTGGGAGGAAAAGACGGTCAATGAAAAATAATTGAAATATTTTCGCAGATAGTGGAACACAGCCAGAATCTGGCTGCCAGATAGCAATGCCTATCAATCCAGAATCCAATTTTGGTCAAGATATCACTAATATTTGGAACAGTTTGATAACCACTTGAAATCCATTTAGGTTTTATGATAAATTTAAGCAATAATATGGTAGCATTAGTAGTTTATATAACTGTATAAGGACTAGCAAGTTCGTTTCATGAAAATTATAGCACGTTTTGTAAAATTTGTAAACTTAGGGTCAAATATTTTTCATTGAAATTTTTCAAGTGATTGTACAGAGATCAACAAATAAAGACCTCCAAAAACAGGAAGCAACAGCAAACGTTTCGGAAATTGAAGGTTATTCTCGAAGGAGCAAATACAATGCTAATGATATTGAAATAAAGTTCCCAATAGTCAGTAAAACGATCAGTCATTTGGTTTGACACGCAAAGGAAGGCAGCTTGTATTTTGGAAAAATCACTGAACCTGGAAACTAGGCCGGATCTGAATCGGACAAACTGGTATTCTCATAACCCGGCCTATACATGTCAAATGCTGCGGGCCAAGAACTATTGTTTCCTGTTTCTGTATCTGGAATGCAACATATTTTCTACTACCTTTATTGAACAGAGTTTATTATGCACACAAAACAGATTATTTCACAAGATTTCGGTAATACAAATCTGATATAAATGGAAGTGGGAATAAACAGACACTTGGTATCTTAACATTGGAATCAGGTAATGTATGTAAATGTATGTAAATGCCTGACAGGCATGACTAACCGACAAAGTAAAATTACCAATACTTGAATATAACTTTTTAATTTCCAATTGAAATCCCATTTACCCTCATGTCTAGCAGGTTGGTTTGTGTTGTCCTTGTTGCTGTTAGAACTGGAGTCCATCTGTTGACAATACTCTGAACAGTAGAGTCCGTTCGTTCCCTCCGCGTCCTTGGCGCGCGGAAGTGGACACCCGTAACGAACACACCGCGCGTACGGTGAGAACGCTACTGCTGAGGGCAGGTGGAATAAAACTTAAACATGGGGAATGGGATACGTATCTTCCCTCTAATTCTATACTATTGTGGAGGAACTTAAGTAAACTTTAGTAATAATGTAAGCTCAACTTTATTTCTTGGGAAATATTACTGACAATAAAGGATATTTCATAAGTCAACTGACCAGCCTCTTGATCGGTGATTTTGTTGGCATTTTCTAACAATGATTCTGCGATAGCAAGTCGTATCAAAGCGTCCTCCGTATCTTGCTGAGGAATATGTATGTGTTGAAACTTGATGCTGATAATTTCTCACGTTAAAAAATGGTTCAGTAGTATTTTATGTAATATTATATATAAAAGTAGTTTTATATTTCTGGACTTACGTCTGAGTCGTCGTCGAAGAAAGGGTCTCTTGGTTTTTTACGGGCGGGCGGTCTGAAGTTTATAAATATCGCAATCAAATATGAAATCGGCATGTATTAACAGTGGCAGTGGATAACCCCACAAATTTCGAGTGTGCCAGTCACCAATTATTATCAGCATACCAATTATTATCAGCATACCATTTCATATCAAATTAAAATTATCTAATAGCTCTTATCAAAATACTCACTTCTTTGTTTTCATTTTGTCTCTGACAATAGAAGGTGATGGAATAAGGCCGTTAGCGACGGCGTCCACAAACTTAAGTCGGTTCTGTTGAAGAAGGAGAGCGGTTTCAATAATCTTAGCTTTGGGAGTTCTGAGATAGACTCGAGCTACCATCTGACTTAGCTGCTCGGTTACCTCCTCTAACTCATTCTGCATTGCTTCAAACAGCATCTTCCTATGCATACCATCCTGAGGAAACAACATGTTCACTTCAATATCATAACATTATGATAAACCATTATCCGACAATCTACATCCATACGATCATTTTCGTTTCTAATTTCCGAATACGGATGATTTCTGGCAACCTAAGTGTCATTACTTTTTATTCAGCGGTACACTCAATGCACAAGACCATCCGAAAATGATTTAACTTCTATTTTAAGTTGATCTGGACACAAAGTTTCACGATAACTTCGCACCTGTACCTGAAGATAATAACCATAGGGATAACTGGCCCGCAGCACTCGTCTCGCCTTGAGAAGCTCCTTAACACTGTCCTCTATAAAGCTGGTGTCCAAAGCACCTGGGTCTCCTTCTGCTACTGCTGCCATCGCTATCATCTTCATTTTAGCTGTACTTAGTAGTGGTTCTTCTAACTGAACATTACATTTTATAGTTACAAATAACCTCAAAAAGTAAAAATATTCATGCTAAGACTGAAAATTACTAATGGTTTATATTCAATTTCCTTTTATCCTAATTGGGTGAGAAAGCGCGCATCTGTCCGGCAGCCTCTTAGCTCCCTCGACAACACAAACGCCCACACACTGTTTACTAAGGTACTCACCCTGTGGCTCATCTCGTGGTTGTGATAGCGCGTGTAGTAATGCATGAACCTCTGAAACTTGCTCGCTTTACGGTGTTCCTCTATTATTCCTCTTTTCACCTCTGCTAGACTGTTGTTGAACTTATCTACCGCCTGGTACCGATTACACCTGGCGGTGAGTGGAGATTAACATGTAGTAACCCAGACTAGTGAGACTGATCACTGTGGAGTGTGGATGTCTTTTGTTGTGGATTTCGTATAATGGACGGGATGCTAAGCGTGAGGAGATGTTTCGGCTCAGCCAGAAAGAAGCTGTCAAATATGGCACCTCGTTATAGAGTTATTGTCATTACTTTTCACTGTATAAGTTATCAGGTAACTGTGATTTTTCTCATAATGGTAAACAAAAGATTGTCCTTACAATTGCAGTAAAAACTGTTAGTATTTCCAAAGCTTAGAAATAAACAATGACAATTTTCAGTGTAGCCAGGTGTACTTTTAATATTCACGTGGCGGCAGCAGTCACTAAACAAACGTGAAAAGTGACAAACGAAGGGACATTTAGTATAAAAACTCTCAACCGACCACAGATTAGCAAACATTTAAGATGTTCGGAAAAACATTTGCAGTATGCCTTTTCCTCGCAACCGTGAGAACCTCAAAGCCCGAGGAAGCTCCTGAGCTCACTTTGGCAGCTTTTCAAGGTTTCCTGGAGAATGAGGGAGTGTTTTACCCACGCGCTGAGATGAAGCTAAGGATGGGATTGTACCGGAAATCAGCAGCATTTGTCCAACTCCAGAACTCCAGACCTGACCGAACATTCGACGTGGGTCTCAACCAGTTCTCAACGATGACAGAGTCGGAGAAGCAGCAATACTTGGGAGTTTCCCTGAACCAGACAGATTTAAAGACTGAGGATGAGGCCCACTACGCTCCAGAGGAGAATGAGGGCTTGAAAAGCTCCAACAAACTCGGTATTGCCTCTTCAGTGGACCATGTTAAGACAGGGATCATCACTGGAGTGAAGAGCCAGGGCGGATGTGGATCTTGCTGGGCCTTTGCTTCCACTGCCTCATTTGAAGGAGTCAATGCTGCAAGGACATGGAGACTGAAGAACTTTGCAGATCAGGAGCTACTCGACTGCTCATACTCTGATGCGACATACAACGGTTGTAATGGAGGCTGGATGAGCAAAGGCTGGGAATATCTGAAGAAAAGTGGACATTTCTCACTGCAGGAGGATATTGGTTACTACGCCAAAGACAGGCTTTGTGATTATTCCTCAAAACCCAGCAGTATCCACAATGTCAAGGTTCAGGACTGGACGAGGGTACAGCCAACTGACGCCCATCTTCAGCAGGCCATCGCCACATCAGTCCCTGCAGTTGCTATCACTGTCGAGAGTGATTTCTACAGCTACAAGTCAGGAATCTACAACGGCTGTCCCTCTGTGAAGTCCATCCACCATGCTGTCACTGCGGTGGGGTACGATGCACACTCCTGGAAGATTAAGAACAGCTGGGGGAGTGGTTGGGGAGAGGGTGGTTATATTAGGATGTCAAGAGGTAAACCCTCCATCTGCAGAGTTGCTGAGTTTGCCATGTACCCCAACATGGACTTCATGGACGGGCTGGTAACCATTAAGAACGCGGTAACAGGGAGACTGTTAAGCTCGCAGTGGGACGCTAAGGACATCAGGGACATCAGAGGGACCGCGGACAGTTGGAGCTACGGCAACAACAACAAGCTTGCTTACGCAACCGACGCAAACTACTACAATGACGCGCTGTGGAAACTCATCGATGTTGGAAACAACAAGTTCTACATAGAGCACTTCCACTCAGGGCGATGGCTACACAGTGACGGGAGTGTAATCAGGGACAAAAGAGCATCCGAGGGAGGATGGCTTAAATCACCTCCAATCCGCGCTACTGATCACAACTATTACAACATGGCTATCTGGAGGACGGTAAACCTGGGAGGAGGAAACTATCACATTGAGAACGACCGTACTGGGAGGTACTTGTTCGCTGCTGGTAGCAAGGTTCAGGGGAAAGCTGCCAGTGGTGCGTATGGAGATGTCAAGGTACTTGGTGTTGATGCTAACTACTACGGCTACGCTGTGTGGAGGATTGAGCCTCTAACTGATGCTGACAGGAATAGGCTAATCTGATGTTAAGAAGTGTTCAAATTTGATTTGAATTACTCTAATGTAAAATGTTTACAATTTGGAAAATATTATTCCAGACGAGTTTGATTTTCATCTCTAGCAGTGAAAATCGATAGTTAGGAATAAAATCGGGTTCAATAAAAATTTCCAGGCTGGTTCAAGATGAGATCCTGGGAATCCTCTTGTTATTGTGTGAAAACTGAGACCATGATTGTTAATCGACTACCAGGAAGAGCCGTTACAATCTTTATTCGCCAATTTCTCCAGACAGCAGCATTATCACTTTAGACTCGCTAATTTTAGCTTCTACATAATTTCGGGAATGTTTTGAAACTTGATCCTTGGGGGGGGGGGGGGGGGGGAACCATATTAAAGTATATTAAAATGTAGGATTTTTCCCGATTTTGACCCGGGGATATACTTTAATATACTTTAATATACTTTAATATACTTTAATATATCCCTATCTCCTTGGAGGCCTACATCAAAAATTGTTGCCCAAAATAAGCTTGAAATGCAATCCTTAATCGATTCCAAAAAGTTCTTGAAAAAATATTGAAAACTGATGGAGTTAATTCAATTTTAATGAAGTAATTTTGGCTAGTATTCTGAACCGAGATATTATGTGCAATTTTCCCAATTTTGTTCATGGAGGTCTTTTTACTTAGTATAGTATCCACTATATCCAACAAACACTGAGTTATATCTTTCACATAGAGTTAGTCTCATTAAAAAGTATTGAAATTTTATCGAATTTGGGCAAAAGCGAATTTGGACAAAAGCGTATGCCCAAATATGGGCATATTTTTTAAAGCTCATAGCTCAGCCAATTTTTGACCAATCTGGATGGAAATTCATGTATTAGTCCTAAAACAGGCTTATCTTGCGAATCTGAGTGAAAAATATAGTTCATCATGTAAATCTTAACGAAGAATATAAATCTTCTAATTGTAGGTATATTAAAGTATATTAAAATGTAGGATTTTTTCCGATTTTGACCCGGGGATATACTTTAATATACAGGGTGGCCCAAAAGTGACTACCCACACGCAACCTCTTAATAACTAACGTAATTCGTCTCCAAATTGCACAAAAATTTCAGAGATTATAGATATGGGTCAAACTTAGATTTCCTGAAAGTTTCGTAAGCCACGCCCAATTACAGTGGGCGTGGCGTGACACTCCCTCTTTTTCACTATTTTCTTCATAAAATGAGAACGCTTTGAGCTAAGAACTCCAAATTTTTTGCACACATTTGGCTTGATAATTTAAAACCTTTCCCAAAGTTTCAAGTTCATTGTTCAAAATTTGGCTGAGTTATGACCATTTCAAAATTCATCGGATACGTGATCCGAGCACTCAGTCAGTGATCTCTGCACTCAATCAGTGATCTCGTCACCCAATCTGATCAAGAGTAAGGCGTTAGCGTGTATTAATGAGGTTCATTAGGCTTTACCAAACATACTGAGGAGATGACGACCTGATCATGATTGATTGGATACCGATAATGACTTTGCTAGACAGGAAAACACCAAATTCTTCGTAAAAGTAAGGTCCTAGGATTCCACGAGAACTGATGGCGCACCAGATCGTGACCTTTTCAGGAAAATCAGGAATCACGGTCTAAAAGTTGGTGTTTCTTTGTGATCCGATAGGCCCGGTTAGAAAGATCTCGCTTTAGGATTCGTTGAAGGGATGTTCTGCTGAGGTCTAAGGCAGGAGCTCGTTTTCGGGTGCCAATTTTAGGTGTATCCATCACGTCACAAACAACCATGGTGATGTTTTCTTCGGTCCTCGCAGTTCGTCTTTTGCAGAAAAAGTGAACTTGATCTTGTGATGCATATCAAAGCAGCTTTTCCGGCAAGGGGATGGTCGGTTGAATTTCATTTGAAATTGTCGTTTAAGCTGAGGGCAGAACTCCCCATTCTCTTTGTTCAGGTAGACAAACAATCGTTGTTCCGCAGTATAGGGAGGATAGTGAACCATTTTCGATGATTCAATGGATAGTTCATTCCTTTTTATCGATTGTAAGGAACGAACCTGTGACTAGCAGGGCTAACAAGCCCTGCAACCAATCAAGCGGTGCATGTGAGCCAAACAGGCCATTAACCAAGTGCAGAGATCACTGACTGAGTGCTCGGATCACGTATCCGATGAATTTTGAAATGGTCATAACTCAGCCAAATTTTAAACAATGAACTTGAAACTTTGGGAAAGGTTTTAAATTATCAAGCCAAATGTGTGCAAAATATTTGGAGTTCTTAGCTCAAAGCGTTCTCATTTTATGAAGACAATAGTGAAAAAGAGGGAGTGTCACGCCACGCCCACTGTAATTGGGCGTGGCTTACAAAACTTTCAGGAAATCTAAGTTTGACCCATATCTATAATCTCTGAAATTTTGGTGCAATTTGAAGACGAATTACGTGAGTTATTAAAAGGTTGCGTGTGGGTAGTCACTTTTGGGCCACCCTGTACTTTAATATGGTTGGCCCCCCCCCCCCATCCTTTTCTGTAAAATCTTCCCTGCGCGCGATACGAACGCACGTGGAGCACACCTGGCTGTTAGTTACAACCAAATCTTTACAGTCAAATTTGCTCCGCCGCAGCGCACTTAATAACCGGTAGACCTTATTGCATGCAACTATCAATATTGGAGAATCACCTCTTGTATGCATTGATCAAATCATTGTTCGCGTAGAACCACAAAATCAAGCCTAAGTTACGTAATAATCGATATTATCGGACCTTCTCCATGACAAGTTGACCGAAGCTAATGCGCTGTGTAAATGGATTTTATTGAATTGCTGTCGCATCAGGAGAAATGTGCGAAGAGGCCTTAGAAATAAATAATAGATAATAATTATAGATGATCACGTTCGGGTTCAGTATGAAATGGTAAGTTGGGAACACAACCGAAGTAGAAAATGTAGAAAATGGTAAATCACCTGAAATAGCCACCAGTCTCCGAACTATGTATCTTCCACGCTTCCATACAAACCCAACAGAACTCATATTTGCACTGAAAACACGCTAAATTAGCTCAGCTTAGCTTAGCTCAGCTAATTTAGCGTATATATCAGCTAATTATTAGCTGATATATACGTGAAACATCCACAAAATGTTTCTGATATGCAAATCAATGAGAGTCAGAAGATAGGGAATATGTGACGGTATAGGAATGTGGGAGAATAGTTTAAAAGCAAACTGACGTAGTAACACGTGGCAACACGTGATAACACGTGATAACACGTGATAACACGTGGTAACACGTGGTAACACGTGGTAACACGTTATAACACGTGGTAACACGTGGTAACACGTGGTAACACGTGGCAACACGTGATAACACGTGGTAGAATAAAAGGCTAGATATCTGTACTGGATAATTCACCTTCCAACACTTCATGTGATTACATCCCTCTGTCTTTTCTATCGGCGACCTGAAGATAGTATCGGCTGTGTTATATATCTCTAAAATAATTCAACGTTAAGTAAACTAAAGACGTATGATAATTAATTTGTGACAAAAATATACTCATATTAAAAGGAAAGGGTGTTAGAGCAATTAAATTCTTGTTATTCGGAACAAAACAATGCACAAATATGAAATATCTAATTGAGGAAGTCACCGGATGAACTATATCATATCAACTCAATGTTCACAACACTGTAGTTGTGTTATAGTTGTCGTATCGAACTTTTAATCAGAACTTGATCAGATCGACAAAATACTAGGACATATCTTACTGTAAACTTAAAATGTCTAGAAAGTAGTGGATTTGTAAAACTATATGATATATAATATATAATTTGTTATTAACAGACTAAAACGATGTGGTTAACATTTTAACAGCTTGATGTCAATCTCGGGGATTCGATACCATTTGGTTATCCAACCTGTATGTACATTATAAATATTTATATTATTTAACCAATAGTGTGGCCGGTGACTGGTTGTAAGGTGTGTCACCACCCCATAAACAGCACCGGCTGTTGCACAACCAAATTACACGTCATGTGACTTACTTGCACTTGGGGCAGGGCTTGCTGTAGGTTATCAACCAGAGGCTGTTTGCAACTGTGTTTGCTCGGTGTTCCGCCAGCTCCATATCTGAAAGAAAACCTGTTTCACTACGATCTTCAATCTTCAAACAAGGAGATTCTTTAAAATTAATTAATTGATTAAATTAAAAATTAGTTTCGACAAGATTGACAACCATTTTAGCATCAAACACCTTGGTATTACGTTAACAACACAGCTTTTATTGGTTTTACTTATCCAAATTTTAGCATTCCTCTCACAAATATCTGCCAGAATCGCAAAACATAAACTACTAGGTACTATTTGACAACCATTCTAACATTGAATCACACTATGTCTGTTGTACATTCCTAAATTCCGATTCGATCTTACATTCAAGTTTTACTGTCCTTGATTCTCGACAGCGAAATTCCCTGCACATGTCACGGGTCATCTTATTTGAAGCTCAGTTTGTTAGGAAAGTTGGAGTGTGATATCGCCGTGCGAATCACAAAACAATTTGGAAATACGAGAATTAGTTTACGTGTAAAACACTATAAGTAAACTATCGAAACGCATAAATTATTTGAAAATTATATATCATGCCAATACAGGACCAGGGAGGTTATAGACATGTTTGTGTCAAATCAGTGAATTACAATAGACCGCTGGTAAATTACTGGCACTTATACAATTTTTGGAGTATACTTGTAGCGAGCTAAATTCTAATACAATGGACTCAATAAATGGCGTTATTATATAGATTTAATGTTATGAGTGTCTGCTATTAAATGTATGGCTTTTTAAAACTATCCTAAAATGTATTATTATTATTCTTCTTAAAATGCACTTAAATTCTCGGAACATACTATCTGTTAAACTGTAATGAAACTGTCAAATCATGATTTAAGGATTTAGAGTAAACACGGTTTAGGACTTACCTATTGAAAGAATGGCTATATTATAAGAAATGACTCTACATGAACCACCAACAGGAAGATTTCTAATTCGATCCTTTGTAGTCGCCTCAAATTAACTGCACCCCTCGGTTCATCAGAACGGATAACGAAGGACGTTATCAATTATACAGGAGCCGGGGGGGGGGGGGGGGGGGGGGGGAGGAGGCCGGGGGTGGCATAAGTCACGTTTAGGGAAAGATCTAAAACAAAGACAAATAAATTCGTCATTAATTCGGCAGTGAGACATCATATCTAAACACGTGCATTTGTCTTCGAATGCTTGATATGTGCTTGTTAGTGTTTCCAGTAGTACACACCACAGAATGGCTTACTACTCGACTCTGTATATTTTCTTGCTCTATATATATTATATATATATATATTCTTGCATTCGAACTTCAACTGATTTCCAGTTGGTTTCCTTGCAACTTTTAGTTCTGTAACACTTACTAGTTTCATAAAATCAGATGGCTATATATCTCATTAGATGATCGCTTTTGTGACGTCACATCTTCACTTTTAATAACGTCACTTAATCGCACATTTCGTCCACCACACGTTGATAATATACTGCATTTCTTGACAGATATAATTACTTCCTCTGACTTTCAAAGGTTCCGTCAGCTAATGCGATGAGTTCCGCACAAGATCATTCACCTAGAGCTCGAGGAAAGAAGTCATGCAGTCCCAACAAGAATATCACTCTAGCTTCTATACCCCAGGAAGAAAAATTCGAAGATATTCTTATCAAAATATGTGGGGACGATAAAGGGGAGATCAGTATTCCAGACTTGATAGGAAAATTGAATCACAACGGCTTCTTGGTTTGTAAGGATTTAAGACTGAGACCGTTGGTCGATAAACTGCTGATAAAGTTATCGGGATCAGGGGATGATAAGTACAACAGCTATAACTTAAAGAAAACTATACCTGTGACACATTTGACGGATCTTCCCAAGGATTGCGAGGACATTATCAAGAAAACGCTCTTCGGAAAAGCACTTATACCAGAGTTTTCTCGGTTTTCAGATGATCTGCTAAAAATGTATGACAAAGTCGCCGAAATAAAGACAGGGAAAATTCCCGCATTCCTTCTTTCCGAGAATTTCAAAGATCACTGGGGGGTCTCTGTTTGCACGACAGATGGTCAGGTTTGGTCACATGGAGACAATAGCATTCCCTTTACCTTACAGTCGGGCAGTCTTGCGCTGAACTACGCGATTGCCATCACCCGACTCGGCAGCGAGGTTGTACACGGGTATGTGGGTAAAGAGGTAGCAACGAACAGCATGATTAATACTTTAGATCTAGACCAGAATGGAGTGCCTCACAATGCCATGACACAAGGTGGAGGCCTGGCTATCACGTCACTGCTGCTCAAGGAGACACCCAACAACCTACCTACTGGCTACGAGAACATTGTTAGTCAATACCAGAGTCTAGCGGGCGACAAACCACTCAAAATAAACAACACTGTTTATCTCGCTGACAAGAGAAACTGTGACAGAAAGTTCTCGATCGCTTATCTGCTGAAGGAACAAAACTCGTTTCCACCAGACTTGAAGCTGAAGAATATAATAGACCTGTACTTCTTACTGAACTCAGTGGAGATAACCTGCGAGATAGGGGCAGTGATAGCCAGTACTCTCGCTAATGGTGGGGTCTGTCCCACTACAGGTAAAGAGGTTCTCTCGACCACTGCAGTACAGAACACGCTGTCTATCATGAACCTGCAGGGCATGTACAGCTACTCAGCGGAGTGGATGATCCAGACTGGGCTACCTGCTAAATCCTCCTCCTCTGGGATGATCATGGTGGTGGTGCCCGGTGTTATGGGCATGTGTCTTTACTCGCCCCCGTTAGATGAGAATGGGAATAGTGTGCGAGCGCTAGAGTTCGTACGCAAAGTGTCAAAGCGCTTCTCTCTGCATTACCTAGACAGCCACATTGCAGCACCAATTACTAAGGAGAACTTGATGCACCGCCATGAAGGGAAGGAGTCGCACGAACAGGTTATTATGAACGTGATGTATGCAGCAGCGCACGGTGACAAGAACCTGCTGGACCGATACTGTGAGCTAGGACTAAACCTGGACGTTACGGACTACGATTACCGCACTGCACTCCATCTGGCATGCTGCAATGACAACATTGATATTGCGCGCTACCTGATAGAGCGGAAAGTTAACGTTTTCGCGCTGGACAGGTGGAACCGCACACCCCTAGATGATGCAAAGCGCTACGGGAGTAAAAAGCTGGTGGAGCTGCTGAGAGAACATGGTGCGAACGAGGGACCGGGGAAGATCCAGTACACAGAGGAGGAGGAGGTTAATCAGAGATAGAGAATAATTCTAGAGTTAGAGTCAGGGTTTGAGTTAAGATAAGGGTCCTGGGGTACGATGTCTTGAAGAAGGACGAGGCAGAACAGACTTATTGTTATGTAGCGAAGAAAGCAGGACAATGATGTATACCTAAAAAACAGAGAGCGAGAGAGAGCGAGAGAGAGAGAGAGAGAGAGAGAGAGAGAGAGAGAGAGAGAGAGAGAGAGAGAGAGAGAGAGAGAGAGAGAGAGAGAGAGAGAGAGAGAGAGAGAGAGAGAGAGAGAGAGAGAGAGAGAGAGAGAGAGAGAGAGAGAGAGAGAGAGAGAGAGAGAGAGAGAGAGAGAGAGAGAGAGAGAGAGAGAGAGAGAGAGAGAGAGAGAGAGGCATAGCGCGGTGTATTAGTACAGCGGGTTAGAAGTAGAGAGCGTGGTTTATTACATTTACTGTGGATTGTATTGCTCTTCTAAGCAACACATTACACAAGAAGTAATCAATCTCTTACATTGTTATAATATGATGTTTTATTGTTGTGGTAATACAATGTACATTTTACAGTGATTCTCAGTGTTCGACACGTAATGTACAGATTGTTGAGCACCTGTTTCAATGAACCTTTACTGTGTATTAGTAGTACACCTATTAAAACGTCTATAATTTATATACAATACATTAATGATAATGATTTTAAAGTGATACATTACAGTAAATGAGGGATTACACAGGATTACACAGGATTAAAGGATTTACACAGGAATAAAATTAAATTATAGATCCATTATCATGGACCGTCATAATTGTACAGAGATTAATGAAAACATTCATCTTTCCTTGAAGTCAGGGCCAGGGTTATCCTTAAATCTTAATTATGACTAATTCGCGAGGTTCTCACCAAATTGATAGTAAAATTGTTTAAGTTTCGTGCATTTGAATTACGTTGACGCATATCTTCGGTGAAGCTATTTCGCTCTTCGGAGCAGCGAAGGAAATAAGTGCACACACAATTGACAGCATAGGAGCGCCTTTCTTGAAATTGAATATACTGTGGGGTGTTTGGTTGAATATTAAGTGAACGGTGGCAGTGAATATGGAGGCTCTGGTGATTTTGAGGAATTACAGTTGAGTTAGGAGACAAAATTTCCATAAGATGGACTTTGAGATTTGTTTCATTGATATTGCTTGAGTCGGTGATTTCAGTGCTTATTTCAATGAGTGGCATTTGAGAGAGATTTTTGACTAATTTCGACCTCTGTTTTGAATACAAGTCACATATGTAAAGAACATGAGACTCGTCTTCGATTGTCTCAACGCCCATACTTGATTGACACCACGCACATAGTCTTTGCTCACGGGGTGTGTTGGAGTATCTGCCTTTTTCAATATGGAGATCGTGGGCGCTGATTCTAAGTTTTGTGGTGCTATAACGACGAGAGAAGCCTTTGCATAAGTGTAAGTAGGGCTCTCGTTTAAAGGTGTGTTTGATTGAGTGATAGAATGAGAGTTTGGAAGAAGTAGATTTCTGATATTCCCAACATTTTTTGAATTGATTGGTTAGAGCTTCGATGATGTTAGGAATACTATACTTTTTGCTGCATAGTGGTTTGATACATTGACTGGAATTTGACTGATTTTTGAGGGAGTCTTTTAAAAATTTGTGATCACTTACAGGGTTGGGCTTGGCTTTGTTGGCCGCATTTGTATTGAGAATTCGGTGCGCGGTTACGTGATCTAGTTTGTAAATTTCATCTAGTTCAAGGAGTGGTTTTATGTATCGATACCAAGGTAAGTTTAGTGATTTTTGTTCTTTTACGGCTGCAGTAACAAACGAATTCGACTTTGATTTTGTATTTAGCCTTTTGAAGTAATTTAATGTTAAGCGAATTGATTGATAAATCAGAGGAATTCTCCCTGTTTCTCCCCATACACCTACATTTGATGCTTTACGATGGACTCCCAAAGCCCATTTTAAGAATGAAATATGCACTCTTTCTTGCAGAGAGGCGCTGATTTTTTTAAGTAAGTTAGTAGCGGTTGCTTCTGTCGAGTTAATCGTTTTGCAGAGAGATTTGTTGATCGTACTAGTGGGTGTCCATATTGGAGCACCATATAATAAAATGGGCTTGATGAGAGAGTCGAACAGTGTAAGGAGTGCTTTAAAAGTGTCTGCTGCACAAAACACAGGTCCTATAAATCTGTCAAGGTGTGCCCACCCCCAGGTTGTGTAATCAGTGTAGGGTGTGCCCACCCCCAGGTTGTGTAATCAGTGTAGGGTGTGCCCACCCCCAGGTTGTGTAATCAGTGTAGGGTGTGCCCACCCCAGGTTGTGTAATCAGTGTAGGGTGTGCCCACCCCCAGGTTGTGTAATCAGTGTAGGGTGTGCCCACCCCCAGGTTGTGTAATCAGTGTAGGGTGTGCCCACCCCCAGGTTGTGTAATCAGTGTAGGGTGTGCCCACCCCCAGGTTGTGTAATCAGTGTAGGGTGTGCCCATCCCCACTGCTGACTGCACCCCTCCCCCGGACCAATACCATCACATACTGAGCTTTTTGTTGCTCAACTCAGGCTTGAATATTGCATTTAATGAACTTGCAAACTGGCGGAGAAGTTGCGTAAGTTTGTTACGACACGTGGCATGGATCTGTTAATAGGATTGCTCACAGGCTCACTATTGCAAGCTGATTGGTTAATAACTACCTCCTCATCTGTTTACAAGTCAATGAAACCGCTTTCCAAATTCCGTCAGCTTCCCGATTATAATTAATAAGATGTTTGGAAAATAATATGCGATAATGGCTCGCATTATTTTTTAATCCAAACGAAATTTGAGTCTGATAATTTGATGGTATGGATGTGGGTAGTGAGTACCTCGCTCTCAGACACTGCAACTCCATTATAAGAAATCGTGTTCATACTTGATCGTCATTGGTCGGGCTGAATCCATTATAAAGGCATTAGAGGCAGTATTAAAGACTATAGCAGCGTCACATGAATCCAATAACAGCACACTCACAGCCTCCTGTTTAACTAAGGTATAAACACCATGTGTGATTCTGTGTTTGATCTACGATGTAATTTCGCAACTGCGCAAGTACCTGCGTAATCACATAAACATTCAGCCGGCGTCACTGCAGGCGTTCCGTTGCTGTCAGAAAAAGTTCATTCCTTCTGTTCATTGCTCATCATAATGTTTGGTTTTCATTCCCGATTTTCATTCCCAACGTTCATTCACACTGTTTATTCAAAATGTTTAATCAAAATGTTCATTAATTATGTTCATTAATTATGTTCATTAATTATGTTCATTCATAATGTTCATTCATAATGTTCATTCATAATGTACATCCATAATGTTCATTCATAATGTACATTCATAATGTACATTCATGTCACAAAGATAAGGGAAGAACGCCCTGTTTTGTACACACTGATACACTACGACCATGCTTCGCTATGTGAACAACATTTCACATATTCTACAGTTATGCAATCGCTACCAAATAGCACTAGTGACTAGACGTTGTCGTTTCATCCCGTTTTTTAATCGATCTCCAACAAATGAGTAAGTTAAGAAGTTAGGTTTGATGCGAGAGAAAGTGTGATGTAATGAACCAGGTCTCCTCTTCTCTAGCGATTACTCATGTATGACATTGCACCTTTCCCTGTTCATGTATCAGCTTGTTCCTTGATTTCAAGGAACTCAACCTAGAAAGTTACGTAATGACCATAAACCAGGGAACCGGGTAAGTTTTTGTAAAGACTGGGCCACTCACATGGACAAATTTATGTAAAATTATCACATTCAGGCGCATTCAGATCAAATATTTAAATTTGTTAATCGAGCAAATAATTTACAATTGATTGCAATTTACTGTATAATTTCGGATCTAAGTATGTCTAGACTTACACGATAAAGCTTTGAGTTATGCACTCTGGTTTTTCGTGTGGATTTCATCACAAGTTGTGAATAGCTGGCTACTAAGTACTCCTTCATCAAGAACAATTGATAAATTACAGCGAAGCCACCTAAATTTTAACGCTTTCTCGCTCATGTTTTTAGTTTCGCACGGGAATCGGGATCAAAATAATATAATGTTTCTGACTACATTATTTAAAAATCATCCCTCCCCTGTACCATTCTACCCTAGCTGATTGTAAAAAATATCAATGAGAAGCTTGGTTTATGCCTTCATCGCAGAGAATTCACGGACGTATATTTTTAACCGAAATAACTATTTTTTGGACTCATTCCAACTCCGGAGTTTGGAATGTTACTCAAGTCTAGGGATTTAGCTCACGTCAATTGAGCGATTGTCAATGTTGCAGATATTAACTAAATATAGCGCTGATAATATGCTGTTTGCTAGTGAAGATAAACAGGTTTTAATTCATTAATTGCCCAACAAAAGATGTTTTAATGCAATGTGTTTGGAAATGTATTACTGTTGGTGGTGGCGCAAGCTTATATCCCATGACAACTACTGATTTGTAAATGATATTCGTCATCAAAGTGGCGGGGAATATTGAATTATACTAATTGATAGCATATAGCGCCGGTACAAAGTAGAGAGGTGATTGAAGGGGCCAACCCCATCGATGCCCATTTTACCAAATTTGAGGAATCAATGGTCAAAATGGGCATGATATTCATAATTTTTTGGTGAAAATAGAAAAGTAAGTATTCTTAAAACCATACTATATGTAGTTGAAATATAGCTGTACTTACTAACAACTAATAAGAGGACAGCAAACACGACGGAGATGTTTATTTTTATCTTACCTCAAGAGTAGGCTATCCACTACTCAAGAGATCCAATGAATTTATATTATCTTTTTTACTAAATATTAATATTAAATTCAGATCAAGTTTGTAAACTGAATCAACGTTTTAATGACTGATTTGAGACTTCAAGACCACAGTACTAATCGAAGTACCGTGACATAATCAATATGATTTTTAATTTGTTAATCACTTTAGACACTCTGAGGACAGTAATTATTCCTTCTTCTTGCTTACATGAACCAAAGCTCCTGGTTTCCAATTCTGCCTCTAAATTCAGAGAAATTCTGGTGTTATTAATTTAACAATTCAAGCAGAATCTGGCGGCTAAACTGTTGTTTTGTTGAATAACCACAGAAACATTCTATCGAGAGAAATAATAAAAATAACATTATTTAAGAATTACACAATGTACAAAGTGTATTGTGTAATTATATAAAGAATGACTTCTCGGTCTCCTGTTAGCCCAAACAACTGAATATAATCGTTCTATCCCGCACTATAAGCAGTTTCTTGTCTTTATGGTAACACGTGGAATGTACACGTGGAATGTACACGTGGAATGTACACGTGGAATGTACACGTGGAATGTACACGTGGAATGTACACGTGGAATGTACACGTGGAATGTACACGTGGAATGTACACGTGGAATGTACACGTGGAATGTATACGTGGAATGTACACGTGGAATGTACACGTGGAATGTACACGTGGAATGTACACGTGGAATGTATACGAAGGTAGGAGACACCAGGCACTTTATCAATTATCTACGTTCAAGGACCCTGGTATTTCAACAGCTCGGGAATGCAGCCTAGATGATTATAATTAATATGTAATAATAAGTTATCAAGACGTATATTATAGCTGTGTAATTCTTTAGCCAGCTGTTGGAAAACAACACGTGATGAAATTGGATGATTTTCGCACGGTACCTATTACTTTATTAACATTCCTCTTGTACGGGAAGACTTTTAAATGAACTATAGCTAAGCTTAGGAGGAATTTAAACAAATTAGAGAAAATTCTCCACGACATGTTGCATTCGAGTACATCACGTACCAGATTTGGTAATGACGTGACTTATCTTACACACGTGACTTACACACGTGACCTATCTTACGGGGTTTGTAGACCAGCTCATCCCTTCATTTGGGTATACAGGGTTCCCTTTACACTGCTTACAGGACACAATAGCTTAGCAAACTTAATGAACTCGTTAAACTTTAATTAGCAGGTAGACCTTCAGAAAGGTTGCACCAACTTTTAACAATACGACATTCTTATGAGCAATTAATCGTTAAGTGTTCTCATGTGAAATTCTCTTCTGATTAATCCGACTGAAGAACTAGCTTATCTAATATGTAACTGTATTATATTATAATGTATGTGTCACCTCCTCTGGTTAACTGGTCACACGTTAATTTCAGATGAGATCACTAATAGAAGACGTGAGATACATGAGTCTTTTAATAACACGTGACAGATATCAGAGTTTTTTATTGGCTTACAGTCCTCACACGCGTCAAAACAAAGACAGTCAGAGGAAACTACATTTTCAACTACTACCGTATATCTAAACTATACAACTACTGGTACTACTACTATAACTACTAATTAAGTACTAATGAAATCACTAAAATCTGAAAGTATAGCAACAAACCTTTGGGTTCAGGTTTCATGTGTCCAATCTCTCTCTGCCACGTTTCCCACAAGTCACAATCACATGGTTCATGAGCTTCGTCCAGACAGTTCCTGGAGGAAAGGTATTTATATACTGAGCTATTTATTAAAACTTTAAACTTTTATAATTTATATTAAGAATGTTTTTAATATGGACAGAGAGGCTAGGTTAAGATGTAATATGAGGAAAGTAAAGCATGTTAGATTAGTGTATTATATAATGCTACAATCAGTCTGTGAAACGTTAGTTTAATTCAGATAATTAGGTGAGTCGTGTAAGTTATATAAGTTGAGTCATAAGAAAGATGACGTTAAAACGTAACAATTTTATTTTAAGTAAGTTTCAAGAAATCAAAGCCTTATGTTCTTGAATCTCAACCAAGTTATCCAGTACTACAGTGCTACTATAAAGTGCTACAATGCTCTGTGCTACAGTGCAGTGGTGTCGAACATAACTTTGTGGTTGATTCATGGTATTTGTAAGGGAATACAGTCTATAATAGCTGTGAGTAGTGCGAGGATCAGTACGTATTACATTGTATACCACCAAAATCAGCAGCTGTTTACTAGCTGTATATAATAACAGGTATTATGCAAGTGGGCGCGGCAGAATAGTAACACTGAACTGTAAACTATATCAACATTACAATTATTGAGCTGAGGTCTTCATATGTTAGGGAATTGCAACAAGTCAGTATTAGTGTGAGTTTCCAATGTCATAAACGTAAAATACACCGTAAAGTAAAGCACTAATACCGTCTGAAGTCGGCGACCTTTTGTTATTAATTGTACGTTATATAAACGTGTAAATTACTAAATAGTGTAAATACCACGGGTGCTGATTCTCTTTGACTAACCGAATATTGTTCAGGAAATTGTAAAGATAAAGAGATTTGACCCGTGCTACCAATATTAGTCACTACACCGACAATTGAACTAAAAGTCAGTAACTCAGACTACAGATGGGAATGTTAAACAGAACACGTGACTAGTCGGCAATTACCCGAGTTTTACCACTTTTACAACGCCAGAACAACGTACAGCTGATATAATACCACGGCACTTTTAACTTTGCAGACACGACAAAACAATTGCTGACGTAGAATGTTTAACATCTTAATATACAGTGGTTTGTTCTCATTACAATACACGTATTGCGGTTAATTTATCTGTTTTTTTATTTTTAACATCCACAAGTCACACATATTTACATTGTACTCCACAGGTTAAAAACCGTTCGATGTTTACTGATTAAAATTGTAGATGTGTTTCTTATCAGTTGTGGAGAATATTTAATCGATGGAAGCACTACACCCTCAACTAACATCCCAACTAACATCTCAACTAACATCCCAACTAACATCTCAACTAACATCCCAACTAACATCCCAACTAACATCTCAACTAACATCCCAACTAACATCCCAACTAACATCCCAACTAACATCCCAACTAACATCTCATCTAACATCCCATTGTACTCAAAACATCTCAACTAAAATCACCATAGTTAACCTTGTTTTCTGGAACGATCCGCTCATACCAAAATAAGGAATGTTACGAAATACACTGTGCCCACACAGCGTCAAGTTATGTGATCTAACATACTGTTACCTGGGCTGCGGGTCAGGTGATTGCGTATAATAGTGTGACAGTTAACAATGTGCAAATAACAGCGCTAACTCGTCTGTTACGTCACAGCTACACTGTTACAGTGTCTCCTGTCACACTAGTGTCTCCTGTCACACAGACCACATACAATTACAGTAAAACCCCGATTTACCACGCCCCGATTTACTGCGAACCCTGATTTACCGCGGCTGTTTCCCCGATTTACCGCGGCCTTTCCCTAATCTCCGCGGTAAATCAGCCAATCAGGGTTTTACTGTTCTGGGGCACAGCTAAATTAACACGTGACATAGTTAAATTAACACGTGACACAGTTCTAGTTAGCACTGCATTGGATGCCTAGCACAGAGGTCGTGTCGCCAAGTTATTAGCTACACTCCTCTGCTCACCAATAGAACTCAATTATATTTCAATACTTATGAAGTATTTTTGTGTCATCGCCAAAAGTATCACAACTTTACAGCAAGGTATGTGCCCAGAAGACCACCTTAAACCAGCTGAGACAAAAGGCCAATTATTACACGGCAAAAATACATAACACCAGAAAAATGACCACGCCCATCAATATTAAGCGGAGTACTTCCACTACCGCAATTTTGCGTACTTCCACTACCGCAATTTTGCGTACTTACCAGCAAAAGAAATGTCCGCTACCGCAATCTACCGCACGAGGCGCAGGTTTGGTTCGCTTCGTCTTCATGATGAAGCCGTTGTAGTTGAAGATCATGTTGTTATCATCTGGGAGTTTTACCGCTCTACCGCATCCTGGAAATGGGCACCTGAGGGAGAAAACTGTGATTATTTAACTGATTGATTATTAAAACTGCCCCCTCCCCCCTTCATATTTCTTAAAGGTTGGTTACTCTGCTATCCTATGTTTTAAACCAACAAAGCACACTACAGGACACAGCATTCTAGAGAAGGAATAGAAGATCTTCAACAGCAACTTGGCAGCCTTACAACATACATTTTAACGCAGCTTGCAGACTTTCTCCCTTTTCTTGAAAGCAATAGAAATGTGAGGTTTGTTGGTTTCTGGACAGATTAAAGTGTTGCTAATACTGGGATAGAGACTAAACATTGGAGTGTGGGGGATATTCTAGCTTTCTGTGTGCTGCACAATTACAAACAAAGCTGAATCCATACCCACTACCCACCCGTGTATAATATGATAACTATGATTCTGTAACATGATATTTAAGAGAGTGATTATCTATCTAAAAGTAAATGTTAGCCAATGGAGATTGGAGACCACAGTCTCACAAATGGCTCAATCTCCAAATTCATACTTTTGTGTAATTACTGGAGAATTTTATTCCTAGTGTGAGAAAAATAATATCCTTGAAGTAAATTTGGGTGATTTGAGAATAATTTATAGTTTTAATATAAGGAAATATATTAGGAAACATAAGGAAATACGAAAGAAAAAACTTCTTGAAGACACTCGCTATTAACCACATAAGAATAAGTTGACTAGTTTTCATTTTATGGAACCATGTATTATTAGTGACCTTAATCGCATCCAAGCTGTGTTAAAAGGTATCTGAAACCAATAAAAGAGTTCATTGTCGAACTGCACTGTCGAATTATACCCGAACGACTGAATAAGTGAAGACCCATAGATTCCATAGAAACCATAGTGTAACTGTACTCTGCCGTCTGTGAGTCTGCAACTTTTTTATAGCCAGAACCCAAATTCCTGTGCTTAGAATTATTAAGAATAATCACAATATGCTAGCGCTTGGATTCGCGATGAATGAATTGGAACTGTCTTCATCCCGATTTAAATTCTTTCGTCCATCCCACAGATTTGTAAAACATATCGCAACTGCTATTATTTTTTCCATCAAGCTGTCAAATGCTTGGAGCATCTCCAAATCATTCTCCTACCTCAACTTCTCCTTTAGTTTCGTATAGTTCAGAGTATTGGTGTTGCATATAGTTATGGCAGGTAGTGTCAGATTCTTCTCCCAACTTATAGAAGATTCAACGTAGGATTTATACTGGAATTAGTCATCAAGCTGGTAAACCATGGAAAGAAGATGATGACAATGCCCCAAATAGTCCGACACCAACCCGGTCTCTCCACCTTCCTCATTACCTGATAGTAGTTACTGTCTAGATCCTCCAGCTTAAACATCTCCACACTTCTTACACTTTCATGAGAAAAAGAGCTCGCTGTAGAGCGGATTATAGGCTCCACCTTTACGAATACCATCCTACCTATCTGGTTATCTTAATGTATATATCTGAACACCAGGTCGTCTAGCTATCTGAGGGGTTTAAAGTTATTTGAAGCGTGCTCTACCACTCAACTTGGACATTGAGATATTGTATATTTATAATTATCAAGAAGCCTCCAAACACGATCAATGCGGCCAATGTTTAATAGTCGAGGTATACGTTTACAACTTAGGAAGTAATACGCCTGACAGGATACCGTATTACCCGTTGTGATAAGCAGGGTAAACATCTTAGCTAGGATGGAAATAAAGAAATATTGAACATGATCTGCAAAACTGATTCAGAAGCTTATATCACTGACGAATGGTCCCAGATTCTCAGATAAGAGTATTATAGCTGTTAATTATTTAAGTTTGAGCTTGTGAACAATCTCATAATATCATAATTTTACGATAATGTACTTTCACAAAAATCTAAACTATTCCTTTATCGGAACGCTGTTTAATCGTAGCTTCATTCAATGTAAGAATGTACAACGTACATGCAAAAAATATTTAAACGTCCTCAAAAGGAGAAGCTGTCATCTTGTTGTTGGGAACACATGTTAGTTAGCAGACATTTAGATAAAGGGTAAATAAGCAGAATCTCGTATAATTTAATATAGTTCTACAGTGAGGTCCTCAGTGAATGAGAATGGAGGCTCACGTGACACTCCCACTGCAGTACGTACGGGTTACCTCCTAACGTCATGTAATTTAAACTTCCCAATATTGCTCGTAGAAATTGCTGCTTGCATTAAGGTAAATAAGGAGTGTCCTCTCGGAATGCAGCATTTTATTTTATTACATTTTAAAACCACCCACGAAGATGACGACTAATAGTCACTAATAATGGCTGTTGTCCATTACACTAAAGTCTCTAGTAACCACAACCTCCCGTAACTCTCCTGTTTAGATTAATCCCACAAATATCCCTTCAGCAACTGTGTTGTTTTGGAGCCGCCAAGTTCCGTGGTCAAACTGCGTTTATACAATGGTTCAATGGTTGTAGTACATTCTATATAGTGTGAACATGTGGGTGTATAAAGGATGAACTGGGTGAAGACATTATTTCTCAAACACATCAGCCCCATCATATCTCATTAAAAGGGCTACACACATAGAGTAACTACTCAACTCACCATTTCATATCAGGATGGGTGTCCACGAACGCTTGTATTCCAAACTCCAGATATCTCTGAGCCACATCTTTTGAAACAATTGCTTCCACCAACTCCTAAACCGGAGAGAGAATGATATTGTTTCATATTTAGCCCATATTTAGCTCGCATATTAATATTAAACTAATTTCAATCGGGCATTTTTCGGGAATAATTTGTTCGGGGCTAATTTAGCACGTACACGTTGATTACAAAAATTCTGATCACGCTTATTAGGTCGAATTAACTAATTAGTGTACATTAATTAACAACTTACAGTAGGGACGAGTATGGAGCAGTCGTGTCCTGGACACTCAAGACTGTTTGAAGGGTTCTCTGTTATCTTCATGGTTAGGTAGTCCGACCAACATTGTACACATATCACGTGCCTGAATAGTTATTCAGTAAGAAATTTTAGTGAGTCATTTCAGTCTGGCTATTCAGATCTGGGATCCGAACTTTGAACCTCTGAAATTCTATTTAACGAACATAAAGTTAAATTATGTAATGCACACTAAGATGGATCAGACTATAACTATATGAAAATACTTATACCAAAATAGGAGATGCTAGAATTTTAGAAATTCAACTGCAAAAGGAAATAATGAAGAGCAATCCATATGTTCTTTGATTGGATTGGATGACTCTGAGAGCTTATTGGCTAACCACTTCTGGGCATAAAAATAAACTTGCGCTACCTACTCATGAGTCATGACCAGCTTCTATTTAAAAAGCGTTAGTTTATATATTTTATAAGAGCACCTTCATGGTATGAGTCTGGTGTAACGTCAGATTCAGTTAGTCAGTTAATCAGTTAATCAGTTAGTCAGTTAGTCAGTTAGTCAGTTAATCAGTTAGTCAGTTAGTCAGTTAGTCAGTTAGTCAGTTAGTCAGTTAGTCAGTTAGTCAGTTAGTCAGTTATTCAGTTATTCAGTTAGTCAGTTAATCAGTTAGTCAGTTAGTCAGTTAGTCAGTTAGTCAGTTAGTCAGTTAGCCAGTTAATCAGTTAGTCAGTTAATCAGTTAGTCAGTTAGTCAGTTAATCAGGTAGTCAGTTAGTCAGTTAGTCAGTTTGTCAGTTTGTCAGTTTGTCAGTTTGTCAGTTAGTCAGTTAGTCAGTTAGTCAGTTAGTTAGAAACTACCTGCATGATATGATGAGTCTCCGGTCAGGTGTAAAGTCAGAGAAACAAATCTCACATTCCTCGTTCTCCTGAACAGACTCAGGACGTCTACTGCTGCTGGACTGCACTGCTACTGTAACACTGTCCACTGAGGTAGAATCTAGAAAGAGAGAGAGGGTGACGTTATTGAAGATATCCTCTATAATACTCTAAATATATAAGCGCGTGCTGCAGTATGTATTTTTTCCTTTTCACCCTTTTGAAAAAACGCAATGGTGAAAGGTTACGAATGGAGGTTTTTGCAGAAAAACGTGGATTTTGGAGAACGAGATAGGTGGGTCAAATATATGTCGTGTTCCTTGCTTCCGTCCGTTACCATGCAACGAAAAAGTTGCGCGCGCGCGAGGATTGCTTGCGGAGATGTGATGTATAGATAGCCTGTGATCTATGAATGCGCGGCGCGACTGTGTTTTAATGTATATGATGCATGTAACAGTAATGTATAATATTACTATTAGGTAATACGCCCAATTTGTACGTGGCACGCGTAGTGTATTGATGTGTACACGAGTATAGTTTACCTTTGCTGATAATTTCTTGAATTACAGCTACAAGTTAAGTTCTACGGCAATTGAACTGAATTTTTCCCGTATTTGATGCATAATTTATCAATATTATTATCATGAAGATTGTTAAGTGAGCTGATTGGAGCTTATACTTAAATTTATAGTAAATGTGAAATGGAAATCTAGCGTCCGCCAAAACGAAATAACGGGCGCAATTCTTGTTAAAAGTAAAGGGAGTGGTATTTTACGATTAATAATGATATTGGTGTGGACAATTGAAATTGAAACTATTCTTTCGCCAAGAGGCTGAGCTAATAAAGGTATGAGAATGTGTACCAAATGTATATGAAATATATATAATATGGTTCCGACCATCCCGGCCCACAGACCCCGCTTTGCGGCGTAGCAACGCCTTAGGGGGCGGGATTTTCTGGAAGGTAGCAATTTCTTGAAGGGGGCAAAAAACGCCTGTTTGTTTTTTATTTTTTAAGGACATAACTATAAGAAACATTTTAGGAGACCTGCAAACAAAAGTTAAAAAGATCATAGAACGTTAATTAAAAAGAGATGGTAATCTGATTATTATCACAAAAACGAAAACCTACCGTCGTGTGGCACAGCAACTCCAGCCCTGTCACAAGTCTTAGCTTTATCGTGCATCCACTCATCCAGCAGCTTCTTACGGTTCCAGTCTAGTAATTAATTAGTGCGTTAGTTACGGTTCCAGTCTGGTAATTAATTAGTGCGTTAGTTATCTAGTAAACACTTTGAAACTTTAATATAACGTTGCAGAACTTCACAGCCCCTTCTCTACTTTGAACGAATCATATTAAGTAATAATAATATGAATTATACAGTTTATTGCCATGAGGTGAATTGTTATCATGCGTATAAGAATATCTGCATATTTTACAGCTATGATAATAACATCCTAACCATGAACTTTAAGGAGAGCCTCAGCAGTGAACAGAGGTATTTTCAACATGTCTGCCGTCTCAACAATTAGCTGATCTTTCTGCATCTGTACGTCCTGGCACCTCATACCGCTGTACAACTGAGACGAGAGGCTGTTAGCTGAGACGGGAGACTTAGCTGTGACGTCATGATGTTCAAAACCAGGGCTAACAAGAAGCATTATCCATATAATATAACTATCTTGACGTCATTTTTGTGAATTATACCACGCACTTGTGGCAAGAAAATGCCTATATAAGTCATAATTTTTTACGTCTCGAGAGAAAGTATAGTGGAAGTTACCGAACCTCAGCTTTAGCAAAGTCGAAGTCGTCGTTTACTGCGTTCGCATGTTCCTCGTCCTTCTGGAATGTTGATAATATTTAGTATCCTCACATTGACATCACAACGTTAAATGTAGTCATCGGTCACAACAGTAGTCACAAGATTGGTCACGAGTCACGACATTGGTTACGATGTTGTCCAATATATCAGTCAACTTATCATTCAATATATTAGTCAATATATCAGTCAAAACATTGATCACAAAATGGTTACAAAATGTTAAATTACACAGGACAAGTTAACCAGTTCCACCTAGCCTAGAGTGGGTCAGACTTAGCCTGTATCTTTGTAAATTGTAAAAAGATGATCATGATGAGTTTTTCAGCTCACATTTCATGTTTTTATGAAGCAGTGGTTAACACAAGTGCTGGTGACATTGCATGACAGGATGTCAAGACTCAAGAGGCCGTGATCTACATGACTCACAGGGCCAGAAACCACGTGTTTCTTACAAATATCCGTAATTCTGAGGTCGCAAACCTCGAGCTGTATAAAGCCAGTTACATCCACATTCCCGTGACTATAACACATCTTTAACTTAATAGTTGTAACATTCTCTGGATTTTAAATCACAGTACAGAACTTAAAACAGTACACTTTAAAAAATCTTACCGAGAAAACCATTTTCCCCTCGAGATAAGACGCAATTTCAGTGAACTGTCCATCCTCGCTGAGATCACACGCAGTCTTACTATCCTTGTTCTCAATGAACAACTTAGCACCGTGTTCAACTAGCACTTTGACACACCTCAGATACCCGTGACCAGCAGCGTAGTGCAGGGGAGTGTTGAGATGCTGAGTGGGATAGTTAGACACCAAGGTGTTTAAATCTGCTCAAATATTTAAGTTTGATAACCATCATATTGTATTGAAGAGCAACGCCTTATTTCCATTATATAATATGTTTTTACGTTTGGTGTTATGATACTTGTTGAGTTACCGATAAACAGCAGGGTTTAAATAATTTTATATTATTGATGACTATTACAATCTAAAACATTATGGCTATTTGCTGGAACTTTGACTATATAAAACGATAATTTTACTTAAATGACAATCATAAATAATAATGATTTATCATGCAAGATATTATTTTAAAGTGATAACACTGACGATTGTGTTATACATCGATCATTTAAAATGTTATCCTAGATATTATACAAATCAGGCTTCTTGACAAAATATGTTTCAGGACATTATAAAATTATCTTAATGGATAATTCACTCAGTAGAGATAACATTGCAGTTAACAAAATTGTCAAACTTGATTAATTGCTATTTGTTCGATAACATCTGGCTGTAGAGATTGCAGCAGATTGGTAACGTTTAAGTTAATAATCTAAATTACATTCGATTTTATTATATATGCATTATTGTATATTATATTATATTGTATTATATAGTGCATTATTATATGTTAGGTCTGAAACTTACAACTTAACCAAAAAATGCATTTTAAAATGATGTAAACAGAGAAAAAAAAAGCAAATGGAACTATGGCATCTGATAGTTATGATAATTACTATTAAAATGAGCTCTAACCTGATCAAGCTCGTTGATTTGAAGAGGCAGCATTCCAGCCAGGTGTTCACCCCTAGCAGCCATATCAAAGATAACATTTAGACATGCTTCTCTGGCCTGATCTTCGTCCTCTTCGATTTTTATTACTTTCAATTTCTGTCGTTTGCTTAACCCAACTACAGGTTTTACACATGCATGAAAAATATTCTCTTGCCTAGAGTTTTTTGTGTTTGGATTTCCTCCATTCTCTATAAATCTCTTCAATAATGTTGACATGGCAAAGCCAGCAGCTAAATGAATTGGGCTGTTCCGCCCATAAAACAACCAATCATTAACATTAACATGTTTACGCAAGACTTTATCAGTGTAGTACTTCAATGCAGTTTCTTCATCAGCAGACAAAAGGGCTCTTCGAAATTTTGAGCCCGATGTACCCATGAACCTAAATATTTGGAAATAATTTAGGGAAAGATAAAGTCTCTTTCGAGAAATAAAACAACAACAAAAAATAGTTACAATATGAGTCTCAAACAGGTATATGGGCCCATTCATTTCAATTTGAGGATATTGGTAAATATTAGTAACCCTATTACATTTTTAAAAAGGTACGATGTTGTTTACTTCGTCACACTATGAAATTATGTAAACTCTTGATGGTTAGGTTAATCATCTCATCCTCTAGGCAAATTTCCCATCAGAAGAGGTATAGAGAGCTTAGATGTGTACTGTGTCACAACACATGAGAGCACAACATAGTGTTGACTGTTGTCCCTTCCCAAAAATCGTACAGAGCACATCTGCAGGAAATTTGTAAAAGCAATCAGTCTAAAACTCTCTGGTTTAATCATGACCTCACTATTCTTGCTAATTTCATATAATCTGTATCCTTGTATATACAGCCAGGTGATGTGTAACATCAGGACACGCCTGAGCATGGATATAATGAGGAGTGTGCTAGTAGCAGTTAGAGGTGTACGTGGAAAGGCAAAGAAGGCATGGACTGCCCCTATATCCAATGTCTCCTTCAACCTGATACCTGAGGAGAAGAGCTACGAGGGATAGATGATATCTATTGCTCAGGATTTACAATTGTGCTCTGCCAATTGCATCACTTGATTTAATTTATTGTATATATAATACTGTTTGACATTTCTTGTATTTAGAGGTCTTTTTGTTCTTCTAACGTTTTCTAGAAAACACCCAGCTCTGTAACACTTGTATTGTCTTTTCTAGCTCTCCTGACAGCAGTAGCTCCATCACTGATTCACAATTTGGTAGTTACCAGAAACACTAGTCAGCTATTGACTGCAACAAAATCTCATCCTAGAATTGGACTGTGGCACAAGGTAATAGTGAATCATTTCTGGTACTTGTATAAAGAGGCAATTAGAGATTCTAATCTTGCATTGGAAAGTTATATTTCATTTATGTATATTGCTTATCTCATACTTTAAACATTCACAACTGAAAGTACAAGCAAGTAATCCACAGATCTATCAAGAGTCTGAGACAGAGCATTACAATACCCCGGCCTTATCCTACAAAATCTATTATGGACTGCAAAGATGACAGGTTGAATTGCGAAGATGACAGGGTGATCCCATGGTAAAGTACCTATGATTTAGTTATGATTAAATGAAGAAGAGTGCTTAGTTCCTTAACACTGAGCTGAAGTCACAATTTAAGTTTATTTTACGGATGATGATTAATCACTCTACACTCGACTGTCACGTGACGTTTTCAACCCATTATCTAGCTGACCCTGAACGACCATTTGAAACCCTAACCCTCTAATCTGATCCCAACCCTAACCCAATCCCTAACAAAAGCATATTATGTTGAAACCCTAACCATAACAATAAATTACACCAACTTCCTTGTACGGTCATATCATGTGATCGAGACAGTTTTTCGCCAATATCTTGCCCGGGAAGCATTTTAACCCTATGTCATAGGGGGTGATTCGGAATCAGAGTCCGAAAATACATCGATACAAAATAAATTTACAAGTTTTTCTAAAAGGGGGCCCTTTTAGAAAAATCTCGAAGATCGAGTGTAGAGTAATTTGACACGCTCGTTATTTTACAACCATTATAACCATTAATGCAAAGCCCATTATTTTTTGCCAGCCCACCAATAGATAATATTCACCTTCAAGTGGCATTTTATTTTCTTGATTTACACAACATAAATTTAAGCATAAAGAGTTTCTGTCACAACAAGACTGCAATCCCTAATAACAACATTTTATTTCTCCCTAGAACAATTTGTATCTGGTCAAAGTAAGAGCCTTTTCTCCAAAAAATCATCTGGAATAACGTTTCGGTGTGTGCAAAAGCTTCAAGGCCTGCACATTCCTTGCCCCGTTAGCAGTGGCGTAACGAAGGGCCCTGCCGACCCTGCAGTGCGGGGGGGCACCATGATCTTATAATAATAATAATTTGGTCGACCGCAGTCGGGGAGCCGATTTCCCTGTCTAATTGCATTTCGGCCACGGTCCTTTCGGTACAGATTTCCCTGCAGTATAGTCGGGAAGCAACCCCAGGCATATACACTCATGTTATTTTCTTTTTTACCCACGTTTCAAACCATGATCTTAGGGGGGCGCCAATTCGTTGTTTGAATATGGGACAATTTGGAAAAACTTAACTAAGGTACTAGCAAAACTGTTGTATCACGTGGTGACCCCCACGGTCGCTTCACTATAGTGAAGTAGCGTCTTCACTATAGTGAAGTAGCGTCTTCACTATAGTGAAGTAGCGTCTTCGACGCTACAGGGGGAGCCGCGCACTTCGTTCGCGGCGGGTCATACAACGTATGACAACAAAACTGTGCGTTTTCCTCTAGAAACACACTTTTTTAGAGATTTTACCGGCGTATCCTCTAAAATCAGCCAAAAGGTGAGGGGGCGCTAACAGCAGAGGCGGCTATTGAGGGCGTCCAGGCGTCCGTGGACGCCCTAAAATTATTATCTGGTGGCTGGTGCTTGAAAATAAGAATAGTGATTATAATGGTATTCGGAAATATCTAACCGCAATATAAAGCTCTCTATTCATTCAAACGTTCGAATGTAAGCGCACGCATGATCTTTGTGAAATTTTGTGTTGTAGGGTGTCAAATCCTCGTTTGGACAACTAAGACGAGCAGTTTTAACACATTACATAGTTAATTGTAAACGGGTACAAAACACATCAAGCGCATCCACTACAGGTAATCAATATGATTTGGTTGTCCAGGACACCTTGCAATCTGAACTGTTATGATACTGCGCGGCTGAGATCGTACACGTGTGTGTCCTGTTTCAGTCATGTTATAAGTTTTTGCTTTTGTTTATTTGCTGTCGCTTGTGACACATTACATACATGAAACACTGTGGCCTGTGTTTAACTGTAATGTACGTACGTTGGAATAATTTAATTAATTAATTAACTATCTGCTATTACTATGGTAATAGTATTGTATGCAGTCATCAGTGAATAGACATCGGCAGGGGGGATAGGAGGGGATAGGAGCTTGGGGCTAGGTAATACGTACTTGTAGCGCGCGATGCACTACTATATATTATATTGCTACACGTTGTATACCGAGATGCGAGAGAGCCGGCCGCGCGCGATCAAAAGGGGTTGCATTGTGCATGTGCAGCGTGTGTCAATATATAAACTGGGCCGCGCATCAAATAATTATAATTCTTCTCGCAACCACAGTTGAGTAGATCGGCGAAATGCACCACTGGGCCTCGCCGAACTGCGAAGGATTGACATCGAGAATCAAGGTAATACAAATATGGAATTGAGCTAGTGCGAGCCGCACGTCGGGTCAGTCCATTAACAATTAACGGGTCATACTCGTAAAATATCTGTTCCATCGACGAGTCCAACTCGGCGCGCGTCCTGGTAGGTTGTAAACCTACAAATTAACAATTGAGAACATGGCCCATGGGGCGCTCAGCCGCGCTTGTCATTTCACAATATCTTAGCTGAAATGGCCACGTTTTCAATGTGTTTATAACAAACACTGGCCTGAATTAGGGCCTGAGCTTTAACCTGACACGCCAAAAAATCAGTCAAGACTGAAGACAGTGAAATTTGGGTCGCGGAAAGCTAAAATCTGAAAATGTACTACCGCTAGGACATTTTCATAATTTTGCCTTTCTTCAAAGTTTTCTTCGTATATATTCCCTATATTAAGCTTAGTTTTCAGTACTTCGATGGTGACTAGTTTCACTCACACTGACCTCACTGATTGGTCACTGGTCAAAAATTCAGTCTAACTGTAAAATTTCGGTCAAAGAAACGGCAGAAAAGCTTTTATTTTCAAGAGGGTCGTTTATTTGACACACGCTGCAACCCCTTTTTTGACGGATGCTACTCGTCTAAATTTCTTCGAAGTAGCGCGCGCCGCTTTCTTCTCGAAATGGCCCGACGGCAAGTGCTACGAAGTAGCGCGCGCCGGGCCAGACCATTAACAATGGTCAACCCCTTTTGACCGCGTGCACGAGAGAGGTTTACAACGTGTAGCAAGTCGTATATTTATCATAGATAAGCTAGAATTAGAACCACTACTTTAAACTTACAACATAAATAAATTAAAGGCAACATGATCAACGATATGTGCGACATTTCAGTCTCCACAACATCTCCACGTTATCTTGAAGGTGCAACGATCGTCGGGTTGGTATCTTCTTATAAACACAATTTAATAAACAATAATATACTCATTTCGCATTCCATAAATTTCAAACTTGAAATTGAAATCAAAACTTTTATTACAACTGATTGATAACTATATGATCTAAATTCTGAATAATCTCTGAAATCTAATATAATATAAAACGGTAACTCCAGTTTTCGCAGCGTTAAAATATAAACAACAAAAAATCTAATAATAAAATTTTGTCAAGAACATATACATCTGTCATGTGCAAACGAAAAAATAGCATGCATTGATGAGTAGTAAAACTCCCAGTGAACCCATGTCCACCAGTTCAATTATTTTGGCTCTGACAAAAACGAGCCAATCAGGGCATCCAATCAAACTGAACAACTACAAGAAATTAGATATAAACAACTGGAAACCGTACCATTATTGCTGGAGATGAATTATCACAGGGATATATTGCGTGATGCGCATTGGAGGATGTCATTTAATGATGATAATAATATGAGCTTCCTATCGAGTACAATCAGCCATCAGTATTCAGTATCACTACATTTGATAACAAAAGGGTACCTTAAGTACAGCTAGAGATTTCCGTTATCTAAAAAATCAAACTACAGTTATATACTGTTTGTTCCTGGTAATACCTAAATCATGAGTTCGATACTGATATGTGAGACTGTTATGTTGATCAAGCGGCAGCATATCTTATAGCCATTAAGTTTAGCACATAAAAATCAATGATATCACCCCATTGAGCAAATAATATCACTTTATGTGTAAGTTATCAGCCTGTCTCGCATCAAGGTGGCAAAATGGGCAACTCAGCGTTATCATGCAATTGCCACGACAATTCTTATGAACTCATAACCTATTTGATTTTTCTATTAATATCAATCTTTTAGTTTAACTCATACTTCACAAGTCAAATAATAATCAGATGCAAAATGAACCGGACTCTAAGAACAAGAAATCTACACATGCATACAACGATCATTTATGAAGGTGCTAGTATTTCTAATGTGCTGTTCACAACCGGTCACAGCTACTTTATCACAGCTAGTGTTAGCAGTGGTCAGAGTGACCACAGGTTGTTGTAGTCAGTACTGTGCTGTGTGTTTTGACGTGGCTGGAGTGCTTCCTGATCTCACGTGTGCCACTTCGCCGCCCTCTTCCCTCTTTTGTCGACCTGAAGGTATAGGCCGTCAAAATTATTTACTATAATATGTCCTCATTACAAAAAATAATGAATCAGATCGTTGAATTTCGATAGTTTTAAAACTATTAGTGAAGCTTTAGAAATTGAATAAATATCAGTGTTTTTACGACTGTTGTTAATTTTTTTCGTTGACGTAAGATTCTCCAGCGTAAACACAAAATACGATAGGTTTGATTCTAAGATCATTTCTTGTTAAACAGAAAAAACAGGTTAAACAATTTGTTAACCGTTCTACGATCCACAGTTCACAGCTTATTGATCACAGTTTACTGTGCACAGTCCTTCAACGACCAACTACACTCTACCTTTTAAATCAAGTTTCGTGTTTATCTAGATTGAGGACATTGGATCCTCGCGACTGTGATTGATAAAAGATATGTGACGACTAGACCGGGCAAAAAGCAACAACATCTGTACTAGATGTTGTAGATATAACAGGTGCACATGCTCAGACTCGCACATGATAGCAATATGGAGACAGTCACCTGTCAAATGGAGACAGTAACCTGTCAAATGGTGCTTTGCAGTTCCATTCTTATCAGGTTGAGTTGAAGGCTAAACACGAGACCCACGTTTTTTCAACAGACATTCTGCACGGCGCTCACGAAACTGTGGACAAAACAGCTCACCCAGATAGAAAAGTACTTCCCTTCTTACCCATACACACGCTCTCAATACCCTGACATCTCCCTATTGTTCTGACTCCAGGTCGGGTCTTCATGTCTCATATACTGTTTTTATGCATCATAATATGATCATGTTGTTCGGGAATTAAAGATCCGCTTTTGTACTCTGGTTTCCAGTGGTGTCACATTGTCTAAGAATTAAATGCATCACAAATCATTGGACAAATCAAGCGGTCAGGTTTTATATGAATACAATTATCACCTTTTTCCTATTGGTCAGATGAACACTTTTGGAGATCACATGATTTGAGGACGGGGAAATTGTTAATTCTTCAAACTCTTCACTTCGAGCAACTTTAAACGGGGTGTGTTTAACAGATCCAAGTTTTTAGTTTTGGTCCAAAGTTCGCAGCGCTACCAATATTATGTGGACCTGTGGAAGAAACTAAACACATATTTTACAACAGCTCTACCATGGCATTCGGGAAGAACCATCTTGTCATTTTGGCTCTCTTACAGTCTGTCATATTCTTTTTGGTTTATTAAAGTGAAGACATTCATTTTTACTCTTAATTGAGAAATGAGAGGTAACTTTTCATGCTATGCAGCTTCAGGGTTTGGACTGACTAAAACTATACAACGATGTAAATAATGTTTCTCTTGTCCATAATGTAATTAAGGGATTTTTATTTGTAATTATGTGTTACTAATTGTTAATAATCTTACTTCTGAAAAAAAGAACCCGATTTTTTATTTACTCAAACATATTTCAATTTCTAAAAGGGAAATGATTAATTTTCACTTTTGATTACTCGAGCTTGTAGTTATTGTATTATTATATTATGCAACTTCAGTCATATTAGTTAATTACACTGCTGAGTTACTAATGAAACTCCTAAGTAACTTATCACGCTCTTGAAATTTTGAATTTTTAGTGAACTCTTTAACATTTAGTCAATTTGGTAAAGAGGTGAGGTGGAACGACAACGTCAAGGTTTTACAACCATATCTTATTACTACATTCATCAGTGGGGTCTTATCCTATATACCTGTTGTCAGGATCTGAAGTCAAACCCTCATCTAGGTACTAAGTGTCAACAATTAAGCTATTAACGCCGAACAACAATGAAGTTATTTTGAAGTTATTCACATAACTGATAACTGCCAATATAATACAAGAATCTTAAAAGCGTCGAAACACTTAAACAGATGTGCTATCCCCCTCTTTCTCGATTAATATCGTTACTGTCATAGCAAAGTTCACGTGTTCAAAATTTCAGAGCTAAATGTGTTCTCATTCTTTTCGCACACAATAACAATTAACATCATCATAATTACGTCATCCTTAATTCCGAGCAAACATACTTCAAGTCAGTCGAAATATTCATTTAAATCTACAAGGCCGGCCAGCTAGCTAAGCTAGGGTAGCTAGAGTTTAACCGTACGTGCGCGCATTTAAAATCATAAAAACACCCCGCAACCTACAACTTATCATCCAACTTTGTGTGACCGCAAGGGATAACATGGGCCATGGTAGAACAAACAAAACTACCATACCGCCGGTATGTCAGATAAGAGTAAACATCGTCCCGGTATGATACCGGGACGATGTTTACTCTTATCTGACAAACGACTACAATTAATTATCGCAAATGAATTACCTGAGGCTTGATCAGCTCCTCTCTTTATCCTTAGCTGCACAGAAACATACGGTCTGTTGAGCCTCTGTATGGGCTTAGGCTGGGTTGTTGGTTTGACCGTGATGATGAGATTCTGAGCGTTTGCAATCATCATGTCAGTAACTTGATCCAGTGTTTTACCTGTGTGGTGTTTACGTGTTACTGAGATGTGATGAACATTGGTCTCATTTGTTGAGGAATGAACGTGGAGCACTGGAATGTTAATATGAGACGTTATCAAGGAATCATTTATATTTTGAAATCTAAGGTCGAGGTAGGGGCAAAACTTTTGCTTTCTACATTAACTGTCAGTTGATGAAACTGTGGAATTCAAATTCTAACTGTGATATAAGAACACTGAAACATCTTTCGAATTAGTATTTCTACCGTAGTAGCCCAGTACTCTTATCCTCCAAAATTTTTCAAGAACTTACCTTCAAGGGAGATATTATTAACCTCCAAAACTTCATCTCCCACACTTAGCAGACCCGTGCTGTCAGCCAGGCCACCAGGCAACAATCGGGATATGAAGATACCTGGTTTCTTTTGTATTCCTTCCTCGGATACCTGACATAGATAATTTAAGTATGGAAATATCAGAAACGTGAAAAGTGCAAAATCTGCTTGATTAATGATGATGTAATGATGATGTAATGATGATGTGATTGTAATAATAAAATCAAATCAAATTAATGATGATGTAATGATGATGTTAATGAAACATACAAACAATTAATATATAAGTAGTATTTTTCTATTCTAACCGATACACTAGAGCCGTCTCTGATGTAGAATCCTAGCGGTTTATCGCTGGCATGTTTCATTAACTTCACCCTTCTCTTCCAAGTAGGCAGAGAATCAGCATCGATCACAGAAGATACCTGAAACAAATGACGTGTAGGAGAACAAAATTAACTTTTCTAATAAAAGAATCAGTAAGACTGAAAGAAATGGCTTTAGAAGTGCGATCGTTAAAATGTTACCTGTCTGAATTCCTTAGGAGCACTGATTTGTAACGAGTTGAGTTTCTTTTCGTGCTGCTTACTGAGTTTCTGGTACATCAAATCAGAGTCTGGAAATTTGTTTAGTTTGGAAAAAATGAACTATACGAAAAATGTCAGAGAATTGTGACAATTGTTAAAGTAAAACGATTAAAGTTTTACTGGTCACTATTTTATTATTATGATTATTATCACTAATCACTATGTATTTAGTTTAAATAAACTCGCACACAACTACAGTAATCGCATCAGCTTGCCAAAGATGGACATCGAAATTTGAAAACAAAAACGTTACCCGATTCTTTGAAGAGTTGGACTCGTAACATGGACTTGCTGGTTGAGATAGCCTTTTGTAGATTATTGTTGTTTGTGATGGGCAGTTCATCTTTCTCTGAAATACAATGATTGAATAAATCACAACTATCAGAACATCAGATTATAATATAAAATAAATTATCTGAGATTTAAAAAGAATTTCAAATAGAAGGAAAATTGTAGCTAACCGATTGGATCAGTGTAAGATATAAGAACCGTTTTCTCTGGTATCCTATGAATGTTCGTAACAATTGCAAGGAAGTCTTCAAGGGAAGTTATCTGATCTTTCTCTATAGAGTATCTCCTAATGTCATTATAGAACTGAAATACATTTAGCGTACTCTCGACAAAATCGAGTCAATTCTATACAGTATACAGTATAGTATATACTATGCAGTATACAGTACAGCTCTGTGTTGAGAGAAAAGGATGATATATAAACTAAGTTTTGAATCTCTCAATAAATATGGTACACACAATTCTAGAAGTCTCGACAAAGTGTGCGTTAAATATCATGCACTTCATTTTCTACATATAAAATCTATTTAACTTCGATAATATGGGACTTACCCTGGATTTTATTTCGAGCAATGTAGGGTTGTACAGAGCAATGGATTTAGGTCGTCCAGAACCACCATTACTTTCGTCTGGATATGTCATGCAGACTTCAAGGAATTGTGGCATTATATTATTATATTGCACACATATAGTAATTAATAATACAATAAACATACTATTCGTTTAATATACTATTTGTTTAAGTAAACGTTATACATCGCCTTGTACAGATAAATTCTAGTTTAGCTGGATTGCAGGATTGAGTGAAAACGTTGAGGTTTAAATCTGTTAATCGGAATCGGCGAATCTGTCGTCAAGAATACAAACTAAATTTACAAATACAGTAGCAATACTCCCGAATTCTGCATTTGGAAGGAAAATAGAATAACAAGGAATAGCACGGTTGGAGGAGTCGGAGAGGAGTAATAATGTTAAAATTCTACGTTTTATACATACATCTACCGACATTATCATTAAATAATTGGATGCACAAAGAAAACAAATTTGAAAGTTAACTGAATGAACGATATCAATTTGACAACACAATTACTAACACAATGAAATCATAATAAGAATTAAGAATGTAATAAATCATAATAAATTAAAAGTGCACAAAAGTATTCAAAACATTGGCAACCCATTCAATTTACAATATTTCTTTTCTCTATAAACATAATTTACTCAGAAGAAAGCCACAATCTGTAGCTGCTTAAAAGTTCATCAACTATCAGCTCTTCAAGTTCTGACTTATCAGAGCCCTTCGTCTCACACAACCTCTCTTTCAACACGTTATCTTTAGAGTGAGAAATGAAGGTGACACGAACCCTTCGATCAGACAAGGTGTTCCCAATCACCAGATTCTGCTTGTACCTTTGAAGAGACCTTTCAGCTTTAGAAATCAGTATCGTTGAATCTGTTTCGAGTTTGAAAGTAACAGAGAAAGCTTCAGGAGACCAGGTATTGCAGAGATGTCCCAGCATTTTGGGGACAGGGAATAGTTTGATATCTAGTGCTGCATCGCTGGACTGTATTTTATGTTCTGACATGGCATCACGAGGTATGTAATAATCAGAAACCGCTGCTGCCATGTAGTAGATTGCATTACTTTTATAACTTGTTAGCAGATTAGCAATACCTCTCAAATACCATAGATATTCGCTACATGTTTCAAATTCTATCATGAGAAGTTTGTTTCTAAATTTGTGATAAGCATCATATATTGATCTAAAGTTTTTGCCCAGCTCTGAATCCTTTCTTACCACCAAATCATCCCTTTCATCAACCGAGAATGCTTCATCAACCATGTTAGCATCAAAATGTCTGAAAAACGGTCTCAAAGATCCAGATCTATGAAGCAATATAACATAGCAGTTCCTTCTAAGGAAATACTCAGTGCTAGCTGAACCACGTTTCCCAGTGCTAAAATTATCAATGAATCTGACAGTGTTGCATTCTAGTGGCACTGTAGTGCCGCCAGATGTAACAAGGACAATTGGACTATCACAGTTAATGGCACAGGTTGTCAAATATACCTTTGCTTTTGAAATATTAGAATTGTACTCTGCTGGTTTGTAAGCATCTCTAAAAATGTCATCAGACATCCTGAAAATGATTTAATGATTAGTTGAACATTAACACAAAGACCCCACAATTAACAAAATATTTGGCAACAAAAGTTAGACTTACTTTTTTTTATTTGAAAATTCAATTAATCATTATATTATATATAAATCAAGCGTTACATTTCAGCCATGCAAAATTACAATGACATATTTTGATATATTAATTGATAAATGGTACTGCAATATAGGTTGCTTAATGTTTGGCCGGATGACAACTAACGACAACAAGAATTGCGCCGGTTAGCGGACGCTAGATTTCCATCGACCGTAGGCATTACCTTTTGTCGATCGTTTAGATTTATGTTGGCAAAAATAATGAATAATTACGTTGTAGGTAATATAATGTTAATAATAATAAAATATACTGTCCATTCCGTATAATAAATCAATTTCTATACTATCATGTCCAACATAAAATCAACATCATGGTTTATACAACAATATAATTAAGGATTACTAATATCGGGACCCAAGTCAGTGGTTGCACCAAGCACCCACAACAAAATAAGAAGTTTGTATGGCATGAAGTTAACGAAAGCTTAAACGACAAATATCAGTACAAAACAAAATGTATTATAGCGGAAAGAGAAATTGTATACGCGCGACGCACACGCGATTTATCAGCTGCAGTCATGGTATAGAGTACACCTTGACATAAAAGCAATGTAAAATTCACGCGCGTGACCATCACGTGATAATATCATCGTCCGAAAATACTTCGATTGAAGTAGGTTTCGACTGTCGTGGGCCCTTTTAGAACAATCTCGAAGATCGACCGAAAAGTGATTTAGCATGCTCGCCTGTTTGGTGATTGATATGCAGTTAAAAGTTTGAAAAACAAAAGCCATGTGAAGGAATGGTTGTTTACAAGTCTACTGCATAACTATAAGTTTTTCGATTAAATAAAATGGTGGTCGTGAAACCTGTAGTACTGGTAATCATAATGTAACTCATAATAACATTTATGGTCCATTTAATTTCGTATAACAAATCAATCACTCGACAATCACGTGCAAAATAATATCAGCATCATAACTTGTTCAACAAAGGATGATCATGATGATTAATCACTTTGCACTCGACTGTCACGTAACTTTTGCAACCCGTTCTCTAGCTGGCCCTGAACGACTATTCGAAACCCAAACCCTCTTATCTGATATGTTAGTTCCAATTTTAGAACAATCTCGAAGATCGACTGTATAAAGTGATTAACTTTAAGCACGCTCGTTCAACAATATAACGGATTACTAATAATCTTCATTCAACTGATTGGGATCTGAAACATGTAATTTTGTAATGATCTTTCTAATTTCTAATTTCTAATTTCTAATAATTTCTAATTTCTAATTTCTAATTTCTAATAGCATTATCGGGAGCCAAGTCTGTTGTTGCACCAATATTAGTAACTCACAACAAAACCTGAAATTAATAAGTTGTACTTGTAGCGCATCAATGATCAATATTATTTAAATTAAAATCCATTTAAAACAACAGAATAAATGATTGTAATTACAAATTACATACGCTGACCGTAACTGTTATGAAAACTTCAGACAGCTTGGCGCCGCGCATCTGAAAGTGTAATTCAATCGTCGAATCGTGCAAATGTATGCGGAGGGTAACCGTGACGACGACACCTTTACTGCTCCGCGCGCAGAGAAGATACATTTAAATGGTTATGCGGAGGGTTATGCATGTTTTGCTTTGTGACACCGAACGAAAAACATATACCCACTATACCCATTCTCAAATCCTACCACTTCTAACCATCTAATGCCTTTTTAAGGCGATGGAAAAAATAAACTTGATTACATAATAATTAATTCGGCTGAACCAACACATAGCAAGAGCCACATTAACGTTGGGGCCGTCAAAAATTCAGAAGTCGCCATTAACCCATTAAGGATGAGTGGGTTGCAAATGTCCTCTTATCACGACTTTTCAGCTAAATTAATTAATTGTTAGTGATTGATAGAGTCCATATTGTGAGGTCAATAATGTAGCCCAATATATTTTGAGCATCTGTGCACAAGATTTGTGGAGTTTAGTATTTTTTTCGTCTCTACATTCTATAACCTCTAGGAGGTTATAATAAAATAATACCTTGACTGTTGAGTCCTACCCGCTATAATTCCTGACGCTTTGGCGGAGGGATCGCGGGACACAAATCTAAGCCAATGTGTTATTTGTTGTAATTTTTTCCGGTTCTGAATGAAAGGATGTGGGGGGGGGGCTGACCATATTAGAGTATATTAAAATGTAGGTTTTTTCCCGATTTAGGGGTGGGGATATATTTTAATATACTTTAATATACTTTAATATACCCATATCCCCTATATCTTTGGAGGCCTAAATCAAAAATTGTTGCTAAAAACCTTGGAACTACCAGTAATTTTTTACAGAATAAAATTAAGACAAATGGATAAAAAGTTAGTCGACCTCATAGCCGCAAAAAAGAAGGAAAGATATTGTGATGTGATAACTGGTAAGGTAAGTGAGGACGAGGATCAGATTTGCAAAGTTGAGAACAACTCTTATTGCTGATGGACAACAAACATGAGACCCCTCCATCAAAAGTCTCATACAACCTCATTCCTGCCTCTATGATGGACTAGATCATGTGTTGTATACACAGTGGCGTAACGAAGGGCCCCGCTGACCCCGCTGTGCAGGGGGGCGCCGTCTTAGGGGGGCGCCAAATCGTCGTTTGAATGTGGGACAGTTTCGAAAACTTAACTAAAGTACTAGCAAAACTGCGCGTTTTTCTCTAGATACACACTTTTTAAGAGATTTTACCGGCGTATCCTCTAAAATCACCTAATTTGTTCAATTTTAGGGAGGGGCACCAAAAGGGGAGGGGGCGCCCCAACAGGGGGGCGCCTTTTCGGCGGGGGGCGCCAACAGGCAACGTTACGCCACTGTGTATACATATTATTTTTAAACAATAGTATACATATTTGATTGTTTATAAGTTCAACAATCCTGTGATAATTATTTTAAAATGATTGATACAATGAAAATTTCAAGCCAACAACTGGAAAACTTGAAAACTTTGCAACAACAATAAGTGAGTGCAATGAACAAGTAATTTAATATATAGATAAGTGACAAGTGTTCTGTCGTAATTATTAATAATTTTTAGACGGATTCGTCTTTTCTTTAATTTCTGCACAACTTTTAGCACAAATTTATTAAGGTAAAGTAAACTGACTGAATCAATAAAATTCACCGGCCACCCCAGGAAACCTTACCGGCTGGGGCCTAGTTTCTAAAGTAAAAGAGATAAAGACTTCCGGTTTTTTGCAAAATTTTCGCCTTTTAAAAATAACGTTACCTCAACAGTAGGTAAATTTTTTGAAAACTGGCCACGGGCCTATATATTATTATTATCAATCAATTACAATTCATTAACATTACCAATATTAAAAACTGTCCAAAATATCTAAGAAAGTATTCTCTAGCCAAAGGGCTCAATATTTAAATCTAAATCTTCAATATTGTCTGGTTTATATTGCAACTTGGGCCCTCTGCCCCCCCTTATCGAAATAACTGTTGTCTTTAATACCTCAGTTTCGCCGGGGCTCATGTCTTTCCTTGAGGGAGCATTAGTGTCTACAGAAAAACTGACTAATCCTAGCGAAGTCCAATCTGAACCACATCTTCCATCAGAGGTGGTGCTGGGTCAGCTGGTTACTGAACGGATTGGCCTGGAGAAAGGCATAGTCCTGTTATTCTCAAGCTAACCACCGAGGTAGGGGATTGGATGCCATCCGTCACACCTGGTTCTTGGACTTGTCGCCCTCAGACCCACAGAGGTGGGTGCACTGTCGGAGGCCTGTCACCCAGGTTGTCGGTGGTATCTCTCCCTCTGCCTCCCCTTTGGATCATCGTATCTATATCCCTCTTTGACATAACCTCAGCCTGCCCGTTTTCCCGCTTTGTCGTGACCTTTATGGTCGCGGCGAAAGCCATTCCATTTTTATCATGGAGACCGTTTACCATTCATTCCCTGCCATGCTGCGCACTTTGCGCGCAGTTTTTCCTTTGTCTACTTTACCCTTACAACTCTGCATCACGCAGACTTTTACAGACCAGTTCCAGGCCCTATGGTGAATTGGCATCCACTAGTGGAATCACCGACTTATTAGAGGAGCCAGGGACACCTAAGGCTGTCCCTAACGGGGCGCCCAGCTCAGGTGTTTCCACGGCAGACCCCGACCTGACTCTCCTAGCTACTAGGACAGACTGTAGAATACTGACTAGAGAAGACGCATTCCATACCCATACAGAGATTGCTATAGCGGAGGTAGACTTCCTAGAATCACTAGACACTAACCCGCACGACATAAACTTAATCTACAATTCGAGACAGGCACAAAAATATTTTAATCAAATCATTATCCCAGCCCTCTCACATGGATCAGTACAAAGAACAGCTCTACTTCTGATCACAGGAACCATCTCCCCCTCACCGACCTGTTACTTAGAGGTCCTCACCCAACTCCCCCCTCTTGACCTCAGGATTCACTCCATTTCTCTCATAACTTTCCTCAGGCTTAACATCACTTCGTCCGCCTCAAACGGACTTAGAGACGGAAAGCTCACATCTCACTCTATCCTTCTCTCCGACCATCTCAAGAAGATACGTCCACCTCTTTTCCTTTTAGATATACAACACTTTTAGACATGTAACACCAGCCTCACCCAACCTGTCACAATCATTCAAAACGGATTATATACTCGAACGCTTGGAAGCCCTAGTTCAGATCCCACTCCTCCATAAATCTGACACACTAGTTGGGTACACTGACAGCTCGATGAAGAACAATCTTGCAGGAGCGGGGTTCGTCCTCTATCCTAACTCATCGACTATTTCAGAACATTACCACCATACACCACAATCATCTTCCAGGCAGAGTTGCTGGCTTTACTCCACCTCTGCATTCACCTCCCCAAGACCAACTACGCAGCTACTGAGCTCCACAT